TTTCAACTATGCATCTCCTAGAGCAGTTAATAGTAGAATTCATTCTTTCTGCTGATCCTTCATATGGACCTAGTCCAAATTTATACAAGCAAGCCATGGCTCATGCTGCCCGTGACCAATGGCAAGATGCTATAGAGGATGAGATTAAATCTCAAATGGCTAATAGTATATGAAAATTGGTTGACTTACCTAAAGGTCATAAAGCCATTCCCTGCCACTGGGTTTATGTAATAAAACCTGGTGCACCGTACAAAGCATGCCTCATCACCAAAGCTTCAAGCAGCAAGCTGGCATAGATTATGATGAGATTTTCTCTCCAGTCACACACTTTGAGTCACTTCAACTCTTGCTAGCACATGTAGCTTTACATGATTGCGAGGTAGAGGCCCTCGATGTAAAGACCACCTTCTTATATGGCGAACTGGAGGAAGAACTATACATGGAACAATCTGAGGTTTTTGTAGTCCCCAGGATGGAAGATGAAGTCTGCCACCTCAAAAAGGTGATTTATGGCTTGAAACAAGCTGGTAGACAATGGAACAAAAAACTACATGCTGCCTTATTGAACTTAGGCTTCACGAAACTCGACTCTGATGATATCAATCACCGACACAAGGGAGAGCCTCTAATTTTGATTGTTTATGTCAAAGATCTCCTACCGATGGGTAGTAACATGCAACATATCAAAACCTTCATCAAAGATCTTTCAAAATACTTTGAAATCAAGCATCTTGGACCCATTTCTAACTTCTTAGGAATGAGGATCCAACACGATCGTTCTGCTCACATCATCTGAATTAACCAAACAGAATATATTCTGGAAACTCTTGATCAGTTTGAAATGAAGAATTGTAAACCCAAACAGTCATCATTACCATTCGGTATCAGATTGGAGAAAGCCAGCAAATCTTACCAAGTTGATATGAAATTTCGTCATCATTACCAATCAGTTATTGGCACCTTACTATGGATCGCCCTTGATACATGACCAGATATTGCATATGCCGTAAACTGGCTATTGCATTACAACAACAATCCAAATGAGGAACACATGAAGAATGCTATGTGGATCCTACATTACCTTTGCCATACCAAGGACTATGCCCTCTGGTATTTCAGTACATCAAATGCTGGTCTAATCAGTTATACTGATTCAGACTGGGCCAAAAACAGGGATGACCAACATTCAACGTCAGCCTATATATTCTGATGGCAGAAAGACCAGTTTGTTGAGATACAAGAAGACAACCCACAGTGGCTCTGTCATCCACAGAAGCTGAATATATTGCTCTGTCTGATTGTTCTAAGCAGGCAACATGGCTTCAAAGTTTTAAATCTGCACTAGGATTTAGCACGGAGATGCCACTCTCACTCTGTGTAGACAATCAAGGTGCAATATTCCTTGCAGTCAATCCAGCTCATAATCACCAAACAAAGCACATTGATTTACGCTATCATCGCATATGCCACAAGATCGAGAGAGGGACTATTGTCCTCTATCATGTTCCCACTGAGGAACAATATGCTGATCTGCTTACCAAAAGTTTTAGTTATCTACGAGTTGAAAAGCTAGCATGGTATATCAACCTCACTCATACTTAAATCAATTATTTGATCAAGAAAGAGTGTTGAAGGATTCACATCCTGATGATCTTATAGGAGCGACTAGCACTAGCGAGCATTGATCACATGTAATGAAACCTTATAGAAGGTTCTAGCAACATCTAGGAGTGTCTGGAATGACTGATGTCATATCCTAAGAATAGAGACCAGTCGTATTATTCACCAGAGTCGTACGATGTCCTATTAACCAATCGTATAATCCTCCAGGATCATACGATACGGCCATTACCATTGAGTAATATACCATTGGACAATACCTGTTGCCACTGGACTAAATGTATTAGCTAAATATTACTCATCTATGTAAGTAGATGTGGCTGTAGATACCAGAGGTCCTATGACTGGTGTACAGGATCTTGTACCACATGTATAAATACTGAGTAGCTACAGTCCGAATAAAAACAAGTCTCTAAGCCCCACAAGGCTACTCTCCACTTCAGCTGTAACTTGTTCAACATACCTGAGCTGAGCTACATAGAACTGCGCATTCAATGACATTTCCTGAAAGTCACTGCTTCAAGCTGATGGCTTGGCAGCATCAGATTCTACGCATCTGTCACAATACAATGCATATCAAATCAGGCTCCTTCCCATCTTGCTTTCAGGAGTTTGGGGGGGGGCCCATCCTATATAGAGAGGGTACATGGTACCACATCCTAGACCAATCAGCCATGTGCTCAATCATGATGTGATCACTCATTTTGAACTTCTCACTCTGATTTTTCCCTCCAACTCCCTACAGCAGCTGAGAGAAAACAAAAGTAAACATTGGTATTCAGTGTGCAAACATCCCCCATTTAGAAGGCTCATCTCCATGTGGCAAGTAATTTCATGAGCTAGACATGTGAAGTATCGTGTCCATTTAGATACTACAGTGTGCTCAGTGCATAAAGCTACACATGGTCCTACCCTTGAAGATATTTGCAAGAAGACTCTTAAACAACTTGGCCATGATTCATGCCAATGGCAAGCTTAGGTGGCATTTAAGAGATGCTGAAGGGCAAAACATACACTGTTTGTGTCATACTGACAGTCAGATAGGCATTTTGAATGCCTCTGCTGTTCTGGATGATGGCATGAGAAAATAGACTAACAAAGCACTCACATTTCTCGAGTGAACATCGAGGTGACATGCACTTAGAATGCAGTGCTACAGAATTCATTATGAAAATCGCAATATTTGGTATCTCACAATTGCCCTATCCATTCCCTTTTTGAATCTTAACCACCACCATCACCATGGGTGGCTAAAGCTGTTTGGGGAATCCAGTCCCTGCATGTACCCACTCATGACCATGGAGGACCCGAAAGCCCCTCTAACAACATTTCATGCTCACCGAGATCTTCCACGATGAGGTGGAGCACATCGATTGCCTTGTAAGCCCCTCTCTCGCACTTTTCAGTGCCAAATTATGCACGTCCAGCACCACACATCAGTCGTCCCCCTCCCCTCCTTCACCCACCATCTTTGTAACCTTTGCCGACTCCTTCATTCAGTTCCCATAATGGATGGCCCCCAGGCGCTCGATGGATGGGCTATGGCCTTCATCATTCCCAGTCTTCTCCTCCTTTTTCCCTTTTTCACCACCTCTACCCTGACACTCATGGACCCCAGACCATCTCCTTGATGTCTGCAAGCAGCCTCTGCTTTGCGCAGAGCATTCAGTTCACCAGCTGTGCAGCTGGCCTTGGAGCGTGACTGTGATTGCCTGGATCAGGAAAGTTTTTGTCAGATTTGTGATGAGCTCTGTAGATCACCACTAGCTATTTGGGTGAGAAGTCCGAGAACAGGTTGGGGTCAGGTCTGACCTCACTGATGTTAAAGTACTATGCTTCTATTATCGGTAGTCCTACACTCAACTTGTTCGTTTATACATTTTTGACACGACCTACGGCCGTGTATAAATAATATATTTTAAAAAAAAGCAATTGCCCTATTGCAGTGGTTTTCAGCCACAGCACAGATGTTTACATTTGTTTTCTCCCAGCCACTATAGAGAGTTGGGGAGCGATTAAGAGTGCTGAGTTTAAAATGAGCTGAGTTCGAATATTGTGGCACAAATGTGGCTGAGGTGGTGCTAGGATAAAGCACAAAGTCCCACCCATAATATTGAGGCGCCCCTTAAACTCCTAGAAGTGGATGGGGAGGAGCCTGGTTTTAAACAAAAATCAGCCCATACCGGTGGAGAAGGACTCTCAAATGCGCCGGAGCTCCAATGCTTTATAAAGTATGAGTGACATCACGTGCCAGCATCTTCAGCGCTGATTAGTGCAGATTGATCTCACGGAGCTGCCACCTTGGCTGCACAGCTCTCTTCCACTGCGGTACATGTCACTAAAGTTTGGCACCTTTCTGTAGCTATCAAAGTGCCACAGGCTACTAGAAAACCAAACCTTGAGGGGAAGTCCGACTGCAGGCAAGATATGCATAAATCTGAATCTTTTGGTGATTATGCCAGTAACACAAGCAGCAGCGCCTGTCACTGCAGATATGTAACATGTCAGCCGGTGTTTTGTATTTGTGAATAATCTGTGAAATGGATTTGTCTCTAGCTTAGTATCAGGATATGATTGGCCATTGTGGTCTATTGATATCACATAATCTACTTACATCTACAATTACACATTTTCATTGCTGAGTAAGTATTATGGTGCTGTAGCGAGTAGAACAGCCTTTTGCCCCTCATATTGACAAGGGCGATTACAAACTGTTAATCTCAGAAGTTTCATTGATTAGATTATGGAGAGGTCTCTCGGTATGACATTGCAGATCTGAGGTGATGTTTGATGATTAATCTTATGGAGGCTCACAGGGATGCCTGATGTATATCTACAGACAGAAATAAGGTCGCTGCTGACAATCAACTTAACTGTGCAGTCCATAGAGCCTCCAAGGTGAGAGTTGTCATCATTATGAAAACTACAGGTGTTAATGAATGGAGTGTAGACGTTTGTCTTGGTCGACGATGAACGCAATAAGGGCAGGTGCGCAGGATCCAAAAGCACTCAAGGGCTCGAGTGTCACAGCTGCTGATGCTATTGCTTGGCAATCGCACAAGATGTGGTGTGCACATTCTGGCAGTTCTGCTTGGTTCTCAAACCATTAAGCATCAATAAGCATCAAGCTTCAGCCTCATCAAGCAGAGGCAGCTCTATGCACTGCCCACATAAAGGACCTCTAGGTGCTCTAACATCAGCCCTTCTACCCTCCTTGTGGTTTGTCAATAAGAACATATTCGCATCCCAAGCAATGAAGATACTTTCTGCTGCATTCTAGCATGCCGTCCAAGGCCCTCAGGCAGTTCACTCCCATCAAGAATATCCCCCAGGTGCATTCACTGTATGTGATGCATTGTACCATGTGATCAGTTTTGGCCATGCAGATTCACGAACGTCTACGCAGTGGATTCTGCTCCGAGAAGACAAAATTGATTACATTCCGAAAAGTACAGCTTCTCTGGTTCGGCCACCTCGTCCAGGACAACATAAAACTTTTCAAGGATGCGTTCGCTGCAGACTTGGGAAGGTGTGGCGAGGAGGCCAAATTGTAAGTTGCTCAGCCACAGCTCTCTGCATTGGAACAATTGATGTCATATAGCCTCGAACTGAATGGCACGCCCATAAAAATCAAGATTGCACTTGATAATGTCGAAAAATGGGCAGTGCCGGAGAAGTCACCATTCTCTCTGTTCTGGTGGGGCATGTCGTCTACGATTAGGAAGTAAGGCTCCAACATTTCTATCTATATACTATGTTACATAGTTTTAACTTTACTATATCTGTTTATTTACAGTTGGGCCTGTACATAGTAGAAGATGTATATATATAGTATAAATAGTTTTATGATGATATAAGGCTATTGAGTGCACAATTGCTAGATTTGACAGCACAACAGTGAGTCAATTGAAAGTCATAGTGTTTGACAGAAGCCACCACTGACAGTTGATCATCATATAGGATCATGAACATGAGTTTCCTGTCATTTCTTGAGATTTCCTTGTCATTTCTGGTGCAAGTGTTGACATTAAATACTTGTTTTCTGCTCACTGTCATGTGTGTGCTGATGCACACAGCTCCTTAAAGGCCTCAACAATCACAGAGGCTGCTCACAGTTGAGTAGAACTCCACCAAAAGATGGGACCAAAAAACTATATAAACTTTATATAAACTGTTTATATGACATATAAACAACTACAGTCATCAACCGGTCACTGAGATGCTCAAATCTTTTTGACACTCTAGCGGGAGACTTTCTATACATAAGTAAGATCGGAGTTCACCAGTAGTTCATGTACTACAGAACTGCTATATCTATGAAGTTTTTATTCTAATCGAGCACAAACAGAGGGCATGGGAGGAGAATCAGTGTCGCAGTCCTTATCAATCAAAATTCACTCTTTGAGACACGGTCACATCATGCTTCCTTCTTATCATATTTGAAAACCAATAATTGATGTGTCTCACTCAGATCCTTCGCTTTCATCCGCGTTCTGCTCATTTTTCGTGCAACCATCCCCTTCACTGTCCTCCTCCTCAACAAGCTTCAGCCTTGGTATCGCTTTCTCCAAACCAAGGGCTTTCAGTTCTGGCTTTCTCCATGCTGGCCGCCGATGCTCTTGCTTGGCTTTATCATGTTCTATCTCCCACTTTTTGACTGCAAGGTCAAACTCGGCCCTCTTCTCCTTGTTTCTGGCTTTCTGCATCTCCTCCAAAGTCTTCCACTCAGCAATGACTTCTGCATGTGCAGCACGCTGTGCCTTTTGCTGCTCCTTCTGCTCCCTCTCATGCTCAACCCTCACCTCATAGTCGACCACCTCCTGATAGAACTTGTCACCAGTCAATAACTTTGGGAGGCCATCTCCAAAGAGCCTGCCTGTCTTCTTCTGTGCCCTTGTCTCTGTTGCTTGCAGTTGAGATTGAGACCTCTCGACATAAAGGCTCTGTAGAACAGCCATGGCCTGCATCCCTACTGTGTGCGCTTTTCGAGCCTCATTGCAGATTTCTGATTCACACAGGGCAGCCTGAAGCTCTCGCTCCAGGTGAGTTTGAGGTTCAGCATCAAGGAGATATCTGTAGTGCCCTTGCTTGAAAGGAGAGATTGGAAGAGTTGTCACAGAAGTGATTGGGTTGGTGGATCTGATGCGAGGGGCTTGTGTCAGAAAGGCAGCCAGTGTATTCTGAAGGGTGTGGGTTGATGGGGAAGCATCTGCTGGCCCAGACTGCAAGGAAGAAGTAGATGGGGAGTCCGTAATTGTATCCCTATCACATTCCGCATAATGATCATCATGCTGGTGCATATGGAGCTGATTGCGAAGGAGTTCGGTGACAGCCTGCACCGCAGGTGCTGGCTCATAAGGGAGATATAATTGGATGGCCATTTTCTGGCTTGGCACCATCATTTCTGCTGTAATGACATTACGATCGAATGGCACCACACCGGTCTTGCGGAACGCAGCACGAATGTTTATGCTCGTAAGAGCTCTTATGTGCACTTGTGCATAAACTTCAAGAAAATTTTGTTTCGTGATCTTCTGGCCCATTCTGCACTCATAGTTATCGTGTGCCTCAGTCCAGTATCACTTCAATGCTCCGAAGATTACAACGTCGAGTCCTTGATAAACATGGGTTGCATGCAACAGATAGCAGATGACAATAATATGATGGGTGCAGGCATAGTCAAGGAATCCCTTGGTGTAGTGGGAGTTGTGTCCATCCATTATCAGAAGCCTGCATCATCCAGCAGCTTTCACTGTTGTTTGTGTATCAAAATGTTTAATCCAGGCAACACCAATCTCCCCAGTCGTGTACCCCTTCTTGGAGTATCCAATGCTATACCACGATGAGCATGCTTTTCAACTTATAGACAGCACGGAGATATGCTTATGCAGCATTTAAAGGATTGTCTTGCTTCCACTTTGTGTGGTAGGCCTCACCCTTGAAAATCACTGCGGGTGGAACTGAAGTCCCATCAGCACAAATGCTGACAATAACGGTAATGTTTTCTCTGTTTCCACTTCGCTGCTGGTATTGTACCTGAACACCTGCAGGCCCATATACACACTCACGATTTCCAACACCTCCCTGTAGCCCTGACTCATCAGAACCCCATATGCACTCTGGTGAGATTGGCTCCTCACCCTCATTGCCTTTGATTGCAGCCTCTAGAATGTCGTAATAGGCTTCATTATTGTTCTTATTAACTGCTCGAGCCCAAGAATGATCCAATGAGTGAGACCAGTATGGTCTGAGGCATTCAGAGTGCTTCTCGACAAAGCGGTCAGTCCAGTTCTTGCCAACTCCTGTTGCTGGAAAAATGTTGCCATGTTGTGCACCAGCAATCTCATCAACAGCCTCCTTGATACAACAGTGGGTCAGTGGAAAGCCTTGATGTGCAACAGTGATGGCGAAGGTCAACACTGCCTCTATCTCCTCCTTATTGAGCCAGCCTTTCTCTTCTGCATTTGACTCTTGAATGCTCCTGCCACCCTTTGCTCGTCGGCTAACTGTCTGCTTGTCAATCTTGGTCCTTTTGCCTGTTTCCTTGAAACATAATTCTTCTGCCTCAGTGCAAATCACCCGCAAACCTAGTTTGACTTCCCCTGGCCCTTTGGCTGATTCACTCAGCCATTTGTCTGCTGCCCATTTGATCCACTCCTCCTTCAGCTCTGATAGCATTTGTTGCTTCTTGGTGTCTGACTTTGCTCAGCCAGGCATGTCTTGATGACAATATGCAGTAGGAATGTGAAGAAACGTGTAGGAATGTGTACTTGAAGTCGAACCAGCTGTGCACCATTCAGCTGATGCCAAATATGGAAATAGCGTGACGTGACAGAGGGCTGCTGCGTCTCAAGGCTCTCATATGCAGTCTCTTGCTTGTTCTGCCTGTTTAACACTCGTTTCCCTTTGCACAGCTCTCAAAATTGGGGTAATGCGTAGCCAAGGAGTTGAACTTCATTATGAGATTCATAATTTCTAGCAAGACGCAAACGTGGAAGTATGAAAAATCGTAGATTGCGAGGTTTCAATTTCACACTCATGTAAACTTCAACAAGAATGAAAGCTGGTGAACTCCCTGCCCAGCCCATCCTTCTAAATTTGTTTTACAGTAGTATGAACAGTGTATTGATATCCATGCCAAACCAGAGGGCAGATGGAGTCAATTTGGGGGGGCTACATGGATTTGTCTCATTGACCGGTGGTGTCTCATTGACCGGTTGATGACTGTATTTACTATATACTATTTATTTACACCTCAGGAGTGTAAATAGTATAAATAGTTGGAGCCTTATTAGGAAGGAGCTGAAGGGGACCGTCCTGATCATCAGCCCGTTCAACTATCCCGTCTATCTGCTCCTGTGTCCTTTGGTATGTGCTGCTATCTAATTCTGGAATGTAATTGACCAAGCAGTACAGGCATCCGCGATCGTCGCCGGAAACACCATCATGCTCAAACCATCAGAGTTGACCCCGACAATGACGAGCCTGTTGGCTGAGCTTGTGTCCAAGTATCTTGACCCCGACGTGGTCCAACTCGTTAATGGCAGTGTTCCGGAAACTACTCGGGTATGCATTATCAAGTCACTCACCGTCTATCGATTGACAATCACGACAGGTCCTCGAGCTCCCGTTCGACCACATTAGGTTGCTAAGGCCAGTCGTGCCTTAGGATGGTGCTACATTTTGGTCCAGTCCATTACACAGGTGTGAACCCATGTTATGTTCCATAACTGCTCGCGAACTCCCACTCTGGCAGGTAATGGCCATGTTGCCCAGATCGTGATGACAGCAGCTGCTCATCACCTCACCCCCGTAACGCTCGAGGTCTGTTACCGTGCGATGTCTCATGCTCCACACACTGCTCATCAGTCTTCCTCATAGCTCGGTGGTACACCCATCCCACGCACTCGTGTCGTGCCACCAGTCCAACGTTGCTTGTAGGAAAGAACCCGTGCTTTGTTGACCCGAACTGCGATGTCAAAGTCTCAGCAAAGCAGATCGTGTGGGGCAGGCTCGTGAACGGAGGCCAAGTAAGTGCACCATTCCGTGTGCACATATAGGCTCGGCTCAATCACGCCGCGCCAGCTCTGCTTGTGTCCAGACTATGTCCTCGTCCCAGAGGGCTTCCAAGACACCTTCGTCGAGGCACTCACGGACGCGTATGTGCCCCGCAGGATTAATATACTCACGTCTGCTGACACGCATGTCCAGATACAAGGAGCTGCACACCCGACGGACCCGTATACGTCCGGGCTGGTGACGCGTATCGTGAACGAGCGCCACATGGTGCGCCTGAAGGGTCTGCTGGACGCTACGAAGGGCGACGATTAAGGCTCCAACTATTTATACTATTTACACTCCTGAGGTGTAAATAAATAGTATATAGTAAACAGTTATCTATATGTCATATAAACAGTTTATATAAAGTTTATATAGTTTTTTTTGGTCCCATCTTTTGATGGAGTTTTACTCAACTGTGAGCAGCCTCTGTGATTGTTGAGGCCTTTAAGGACCTGTTTGCATCAGCAAGCACATGACAGTGAGCAGAAAACAAGCATTCAATGTCAACACTTGCACCAGAAATGACCAGAAAATCTTATGTCATACAAGAAATGACAAGAAACTCATGTTCATGAGCCTATATGATGATAAACTGTCAGTGGTGACTGCTGTTAAACACTATGACTTTCAATTGGCTCACTGCTGTGCTGTCAAATCTAGCAATTGTGCACTCAATAGCCCTATATCATCATAAAACTATTTATACTATATATATACATCTATTTACTATGTACAGGCCTAACTGTAAATAAACAGATATAGTAAACAGTTAAAACTATGTAACATAGTAAATAGATAGAAATGTTGGAGCCTTAGCGACGATGCGCTCATGAGCGAGTGCGTGCCCGCGCATTTGATCTGAGCGTTTTGCTGACTGATATCTGTGATTGAAGAGAGCTGTTTGGTCCGATCCTCGCTGTCGTTCCTGTAAAGGACCTCGATGAGGCTATCGCGTTCGTCAATGCACGGTACGTCTGATACCGTTACATGTTCCGGCGCTTTGACGAACATTTCCCCAGCGACAACCCTCTCGCGATCTATATCTTCACGCAGAATACGAACGTCAAGAAGAAAGGTGTGTTGTCCGAAGATCTCATTGCATTCACGTGCTGACTTCGAGCTTCTGGCTTCCCAGTTCTCGACAACACCCAGAGTGGCTCGGCCTCCGTAAATGAAGTGATCATGCACTGCCAGGGTGAGTGGCCGAATGGGATATAGCGCATCCGGAAGCTGAGTAGTACCACCCAGCGTATGGCATGCCATTCGGAGGGATTGGCGCGAGCGGTAGTAAGTACAATGCTGTTTCGTGCCCCGGCACAATGCTGACGACAAGGACCAACAGCGGGCTATATGACGGGTAAGTATGCGTTCGACACATTCACACACCTGCGAAACACCGTGGACAACCCATACTGGTCAGTTGGTCTCCGAATTGTTGCATGCTCTAGCAATGACACGCTGGCGTGCTGCGCAGGACCGACTCGACGGTGCTGTCTGCACGGTACACGCCGTACAAGATCAGTCGCATTCGCATATTATAGGACCTTCGACGATGGCTGAATTTGCATTATGTAGCCTGGCCCGCTTTCATGGTTCAATTGGCTGCTGCGCCCCAAGTTTCCGGCGTTGCTTCGTGAAAAGTAGGCGAGTGAGGAGCGATTTGTAGGCTCGCGTGCCTTCGGATGTCACGCAAAGACGGGAAGGTGCGATTTTAGCGAGGAACTATTTAACGAAAAGGTCGCATGGTCTGGGGAGTTCTTTTGGTTACATGCGGGAGGACGTATACCAAGGTCTCATTTGGTGTATCCGTAGCGAGTGCGATCGATGCACGTCACGCACGGAGTTCATTCTAGTTTAGTTTGAGTCATCATGAACGAAGATTGTGCTTTACAGTGCTCCTATGCTTATTCTTACAATCTTGAAGCAGCGTGGTATGTGAACGTCGCAGGTACGTGGTTATCGCATTCATATCCTGAGGCTGTCTACCAACCTCCATCAAGCCATCCTCTCAGAATCGTCGTATTTTGTGTTGGTCAAATCATGTAGCTATGGGAAGGTCTCAGATGTGGAATTCACAGGAAGGATAAGTACAACTGTAACGTTAGGCTGAGACTCGAAGCTTTCCACGATGGACAGCGTCAACGTCCGGAATACATTCATCTGTCCTTGATCTGTTCCTGAAGCCAATTCCACAGCTGCTCGCCAATCTTGTCATCGTACGCCTCCTTACGGCACTGACCGACCTTGGCCCATGGAATCAAGAACTGTGGCAAAGCGTTTCATGATATCTTATGTGGTCACAGAGGTGGAACACACCTTGCCATTGTGATTAAGAGCCCCTGGCATTGTTCCTGCCCACAGTTGTGTGAGAGCGCCCCAAGGTGCAGGGCGCAGGATTGTCATCCGCTGCAATCAATGTAAAGGCAGTGGCTCAGCATCGTACGTAGTGTTAAAGAAGATCCGCACCATAAACTTGCGTTTGCCGTCGGGTACATATCGCTGCAACTCGGTATCAATCCCACCTTAAGCGCAGCTTGCGTGAGCACGAGCCGATTGACGACAGGTAGCAGTATATGACGGATACCAGGATTAAGCGAGATGGAAATGATGCCTTTATCAGCGTAGCGCTTTGATAGTTCTCGTGCGACTACCACATTGCCCTGTGAATGCATGTTAGAGCAATCGGTACTTTGACATAAACGAGCACACACAAATTTGCTCTGGCTGTATAGGTTCTCGGTAGACATCTTGAGCCGTGCCTGCCCACCTTTGAAGGTGTCCCAGTTGAGCGTGTACAGATATGCGGCACTGGAAGCGGTAGTGATCACGCGTGCGTGATGGTCGGGGGAGCTCTCCACCCCTGCGAAGAGAGCGGGCATGAGGAGCTCTGTAAAGTAGAAATGACCTGAAGAGAAAGACAGTGAGAATGATGGCGATAGCGGGAGACGCCATTGACTATGTAGACGAATTACCGAGAACATTCGTGCCGAATTGAAGATCATACCCATCTTCCGTGACCAAATCGACCGGACACCACATGACACCACTTAAATGATTCAAGGCATTAGCCGGCAGTGAAACGTACGCAGGCTCAATAACGCACGCGTTGTTATATAACGCATGCAAGGCCGGCTCCTTACTGGTGGGGTCATGATGGGACTCATCGTATAACATCGTGGACTATTGCGGGAAGTACAAACCTTGAAAATTCCTGAGCAGCACGCTTGATTGAGGCGAGAATACTGAGATCCAACTGTAGAAAGATCGCTTCCCTCCCCGTCATCTCCTTCAGTTCTTTGATTGCTGATTCCGCCTTCTCCTTGTTGCGAGATGCCATGTACACCTTCGTGTTATGCTGCAGCAACACCTGTAGAACGGAAGATGTTGGCATTCACTCGTCGAGTTCACCGAACCAATGTCCACCTTAACAGTTTCCTTGCCAATGCCCGTGTTGCCTCCTGAAATAGGAATGTCGAGTTCGTCCGGTTCTGCGCATATTAAACTCGAGAAGGGCGCACCAGTGACTATTGCAACCTGCCCTGTCAAGTCAGGGATCTGATCCGGACTGAATTCTGGCTTCCCGGGAAACAGCTGCGAGATGACAGCTATGATATTTCTGAGGCCGGAGAAGGCACCACCCATAGCTGATGACGGTGAGGAAAAGACGGCGATGTGCAAAGCGAAGTAACGTTGGGCAACGCCGGATGTGCTGACACAGAACACGCAGGCCCATCCTATATATTCATGTTTGTCACGGTGGGTGGTGGGAAAGACAAGAGGGAAAAGAAGAAAGCGTGGGTTCCGCGTTGCCCGAAGAACTCCGTTTTGAAGCACGGCGTCGTAACGAGAAGAGCGGTCACATAACGGTAATGATTATCTAGGAAGATTCGCAATTCTCATCAGAATCTGCGGCGTTCAAATTAGACGAAGAATAATTGAGCTGCTGTGCCCACTACGAACCATAGCAATCAAGGCATTAGCCTGAAACCCCCCCGCTATGCAGATTTAGCGAGATTCTACCAGCAACAGTCGGAGTTCAGTAGTGCAAGCATCCAATCCTCTCTCAAAGGTATTCGAAACGCATGGTAGGCCCGGCGTGGACGGAAGACTGTCGCAGATTCAATCAGAATGTATAGGATCTGCAAAAACCGCCTATCCGTTGTCCGAACGCAGCACAGCAGCCAATATACACTGCTGATACCGGGCGGAATGGCACGCAGGGACCGTAGCTATACTGAAACGGCGCTCAGTTCATCTCCCGCTCTTGCACGAGTCGCTCGGATGTCACTTTTAGAAGGATCACACCACAGCCTCTCGTGGTTCAATATCACGTACATGTCAGGGACCACAGAAGAGTTGAGCGGTAGCGTGTACTTGCCGACAGGTATGTTAGCAGCACGAGGTAGAGCGACGTCAGCCGAGACGTTCGTACTGATTGTCTTACAGATGAACGGAGCGGCATGCGGGGGAGGTTCCTCTCCGGAGCTCATGACCGAAATTACCTCTTCTCGTGCCCGTTCCTTGAGACGGATGGGAATTTAGTAGATGATAACGCTGAAAAGTGCAACGGTTGTCAAGCCCTCAATACCTCGTAATCCTTCGGACATGTTGACATGTTGGTGTGCTTCGGGCACATGTACGATCGCATTAAAGCTGAGATCGTGAAATTTTGCTGATAGCAAAGCGAGGACATGGTCCAGTATCCCATCGATTGTTCTGCTAGACTTCTGCGATGAAATAGTCCACTCCAAGGAACGAAGAAAGATGTATGCGGAATCGGATCATAAAGTCGCCATCTGTGAACGTCGCCAGCGCATTTAACGTAGTGGCTTAGTAGAGAATCTGACAACTTATCTAGCGATTTTAACTGGAGTACGACGGAGTGGCCTTATATGCTAGTTCACTTAGGCCGTCGTCGTTGCGACTCCACTGCAACCGTGAGACCGACGCGAACTGCTCGAACCCCCCAGAGGATACATTGCAAGAATGTACAAAAGAATCTCGAGCGTTCCAGTGGTAATCGTGGAGTTATGGATCCGTAATGTCTCTTTTGCCTCATGTGAAGAAAGGCATCAAATACCTTTTTTCTAAAAGTAGCATGCAGGAGCTGTGGCGGAAGATAGATACGTTTTGCAACTCCGCTGTGGCTGAGGACTCTGTGGCGACCAGATCATCTATCGCAGTCATCATCCTTGCTGAACATCTAGACTATTCTGATTTTGCATTGACCTCGTACACAGCTTTGCTGCACTACTTTCCGAGACACGAGACGGCATCATGTTCTCAACGCTTTCATCCGATCTTATTCTCCATGTTTTGTCAGAGCTCACTATTCATGACCTGAATTCCCTGCTTGTAGTCTCCCGTCATGCTCACGACTTCCTATGCGATCATGAGGATTCGGTGTATCATCAAGCAGCGATTTTGCACAAGTTTTCATTCTTAGAGATGCCTCTCGAAGATATAATTTCGTCACAGGGACGATGGTTGGATGGTGTCCGTAGTTGGAAAGAATTCTGTAGGCTTCTCAATTCCTTGACGTGTGAATATGTGAGATTGACAAGCTTGAAGGCAGAAGACAGGTTATTATGGAGCGTAACTGGGACGGACGAGGTTTTGTCAGAGAGGGCGCCTACGCCCTCGACGACAGCATCCTCCATTTTAGGATTGACGAGAAACAGCAGACCGCGCTCATCGCAGGTCGGACCGGTGGTCTCACTGTACGCGCTTTGGAAGACTTCAGGATTCTGTATGAGTTTGATAAGGTCAGTCAGTACTTCGTTCACTCACTCGCCCAACTATCATCAATTGACAAAGACACATAGCACTACATGAACCGGCGATTTGAACTGTCACATGGCTTTCTTGTCTTCCCCAGCCGGAAACGTGGCATCGAGATATGGCGGCGTATGGCAGATATATTCTCTCGCTCAGAAAGTCGTGTCAATGTAAAGGTAGTCTCTACTCCTCTCACTGAATCTTCGCCATTCGCGGCGCGCGACTTTCAGTTCGCAGAAGCCCAGCGCACGGGTGCTCAAGATGTCCGTTTTGCGGATCTCGTCACTCTGGACACACCCAATCACGATCTTCGGGGACACTACACACCGCATGCGTACCTTGGCGCGCCGTTCATGTCTAGCATCCGTATGTTCCGTCTGAGTTTCCCGGTGCTCGCACTCATGGGTTCTCACGACTCAAACACGCTGCTTCTTCTCGATGTGTGCGATGGCACACTACTGCAACAGATTTCCTTAAGTCGCTTGCGCTTCATGGGCGCCCCGCCGGATTTCAGGCTGACACCGGATGTGGACCTAGTGATCATGGACATCGACATCTCCCACGACTATGTCTGTGTATCCTTGCTCAACTCGCTGCTGCTCATACGTCGCCGCAGCGAAGACTCCGCAAATCCTGCGAGGAGCAGTGCAGATGGGGGGACGGCCGATCTCGCTCTTGTGCTCACCGAAAGGAGCCCTCCTCAGGCATTGCAGCAGCTTGCCATGCAGCTCAACACGACAAAGCCATCGGCTAGATGGGCCCATACTTCTAGTGTACGGCATGAATCATACGGCAAGTTCGAGTTTGTGGCTTCTGCGGATGCGTTAGAGAGAATAGCCATTGTGCCGCCCCCCGAGAGTGCACAACAGGCGACTAGTCTCGCTCTCGTGCAAACCGGCCACGGAATGATGCAAGCAGGATTCATAGCAGGTATGCCTTAGCGTCTTGTGAAGCACCTTTTTACGGCTGTCAATGACTCTGATTTTGCTCTAGCACAATTCTCGCCAGATGGGCGCCATTTGGCTGTGCAGGAACGGCATATGGACTGCTTTATCTTATATTGGATTATGCGAGGGCAGTATCTGGATCTAAGTCTCTTTTAGATATCGCCCGACGTGTCTATATCGGGGATTCGCTGAAGGATGTCATATGGGGAGAGCAGCAGAGACGAATCTTTGTCCATACTGTAAGCATTCACCTCTGCTTGAGAACACGAATAGGCTAATGCACCATCCAGGTCTCAGGAGAGATGTATATCATCAATATCGACCCGGCATACCACTCGCTGCACGTGCAGGAGCCCACCGCAGGTTTTCTGTCAGCAGACAACACTGCGGCCGACAAGGACGACCTGTTCGCACACATAGCCGTTTTCCACCTTGCGGACTTCAGCAGCAGGAACATCGGGAGCCCGGCATCCATGCGTGATGCATCACCTAGCGAGACACAAATCACGCGCACCGGGCTATGGATGATGTGGGAACTAGCGATGCTAGAGAGTCGCCAGGTCCAGCGAGATACCGCAATATTGGCTATCAAAGAGCCTCCCAGAACGGGTGGGTGTCGCAGCTGGCGTCGCACGTCACATGCGATAACGCTGATATATTCTCCATTAGGAACTAGTCTTTCGCTCTGTTTTTTGGATTTCACTGCCGGTATGTGATAGACGCCTTCCAAATTTCAATAGATATGCGTACGATAGAATGTCGAAAACTTCATCTTAGAAGATCGATCGATACCCGCATACTATTTTGCGTTGTGCTGTTGATAGTAAGAAAAAAAACTATGATCACCCGAGGAGGATTTTACCACATGCCTATAGTCGTTTTCCCAGGAATCTTTATAACGATTGTCAAGCGGGATCCCTCTTCGGCGTTGCATGCAAGGTGACGCATGGCTTCGAGCAAATGTTAAGAACTGCCTGGCAGGACTGCAACGGTGAGGAAGCTTCAGTCATGGACTCGAGATAAGTGGTAACACAATATGCGCTCCAATGCCATGGATAGCAGCTCCACGCAGAATCATAGTGGAGGCGCAGTCACAGTTGATGCTAGTGGCATAAGCAAACCACCCTCCCCCCTTCCGGATGACCGAAGGGCACATATTTGTGCAGGAACGTAGGAGAAGGTTGTGGATCACGAAAACGCGCATTCTCCAAGTGAACGGCTTGTCCGAAGTTCCGACGCGCCTATGGCGTGAATATGATCACTGCTTGGCAGAGGATGTCACTTTCTCCGGAGGACAAAATTCGGTGGACATCGTCTAGCAGTACCTCGTTTAATGATCTGGCTCAGATGCGTGCAACGAAGAATTTTCCAACAAGACGCAGGAAGTAAGTCAATTCAGACAAAGACCTTCACGGCCACGCATTCGCTGTGATGTGCGTCGGAGAATGCTCTGCTTATTTGGACTGACATACAGTCTGAGCGGTCTGCGGAAGAGTCCGTCAGTCTTTTAATGTTGGACCTGCGGCTCTGTTATACGAATCATTACTCAGTCATCGCTTTGTTGGCCAAGGTGTGCGTATGATGTGCTCCGAGTCTATCATATCCAGGCTCAAGCAAGACGGAGTCGTTCTGGGAGTCAATCGTGGAAAATGATGGCGAATATACCAACGAGACTCCTACTTTCAAAGGTTCAGATATTCGCGTATCCAATTTGCCCGATGCTCTCACAGATGCTCCCATTCCCGATGTATGTTCACATTTGTAGCATTCCATGGAATTGCATATCCATAGATCGATGGTACATCCAAGCCTTCCTTGCCTAGTGATCTCCACAGAAATACGAGCCGTCTAATCTTATTCGTCGAGCTCACGCGGTGCAGCCACGGACTGTGCTATGACCGCATTTTGGAGTAGTAGCACAGACCATGCTTAGCGCATAGTTGATCAATGCACCACCGCGGTTTACCTGTAGACAAGCGATGAACACGTCAGAATAGTTATTCAACATGTAATCGTATATATACAAATGAAAGAACACATGCCAAGCAGAGATAAATTGTTGGTCAGAAGATACTTTGCAGCAATGATAACCTAGTCAACCTCCGCCATGCGTACATGCAAATACATTTGCGCGCCCTCTTTCTCTCGACCACGTATGACTGGCTTGATGGTGTTCCCACCCGTGCGGTAGAAGTCATATATGGAACCATCTTCTTCGAAGGTGAAGTTCCGCAACAGAGTGGCAATCAAGATCTATTTCAGTATATGTCAATACGAGTTTCAGATATAGATGAAGGTGCTGACCTTGAACTCAGCCAATGCTGCAGTTTGAAGACCTGCAAGACTTTGCACTTCATCCCATCAGGTACGTCGTTTGCGCCTTCAACTTCATTGCGTCATTTACAAGATGAGCATCCTTGGCCTACGGCCAGCAAATTTGACGACTCACCGATTTTTCGGCCAAGGCATATTTTCAACCTATGACGGTCGCATCAAAAAACGCTTGAGAATAAGCCAAAACGCGTGATGGAACTGCTATCTCACCCATCTCCGAACGTGAGAACATGACCTGGAGCGTGTATAGCTTTAGCTGCCTCAGGCAACCCATCCTCGTCCAGCCAGCGTTCAGGACGGAACTCGGCTGCATCGGGTCCCCAGATAGCTGGATCAATATTGATCCCGTCACGCACGGGTACGTGCACAATCTGTCCTGGCGTGACGTTAACGTACGAGCGACCAGTGCCAGGGATCGGAAAGAGGAGCGGAATGCTATCTGCCTCGACAGCCTGCACGTGAATGTCAGTATGTGCCTAGGGTGAAGTGTGCGGTGTGCACGGAGGCCATGGCAACGTGGCGTGTACGTACCTCACGTTCAATCGTCCTGAGGACTGCCTACGTCCGAAGAGTCTCCCGGGTAACAGCGTCAAAGTAGATCAAATGAGTCGCGCTCATTAAATCGTCATACGTCGGCTTGCGGCCCACGTTTCTCTCAAATCGTGCGAGCTCATCTTGGACTCTCGTCTGCACCCGAGGTTGTCGCGCGAGCTCGTACAGGCACTCCTATGGATAGTGTGATCTCCATGCAACAACCTTTGGCAGAGACACACTAGGACATACCGCAATGACGTTCGCTGTGGTTTCATAACCTGCAAAAAGCATGCCTACAAGCTGATGTGCACGGTGAGTTCATTGAATACAACATCAAACTTTGTGGCGGGCTCACATGTCCAATGGCGGTTTCGCGCGTCATCGGTTCCCCCGTTGCAGTCTTGCTATTGTCTGATGGAATCGCGTTGTGAGCGGAGATACTTATAGAAGACATTAGCAGCCGCACTCACTCAACGAGTCCAACAACTTCGAATGCATTCCGACATCACGATTCTGGACGTTCTGAGCCCACGCTGCATCTGCTAGACGTCCGAGTTCTGTGGGCAACATCGCTGTCCATTGCTTCATGGGATTTGGCAGCTCTAAGAGAGTTGGGAATACATCCACGAATGCATTGGCCAGAAGCGTAAAAGTTGTCTGTGGCACGTCGGAGATCTTGTGAATCAATTTTGGGATAGATTGTCCAGAGTGGCGGACATCGTAGGCATAGGCTGTCATAGCGATCGCATCCAGACTGTTGTGTAACTGAGTGATAGTCCGCGACGAAGGAGATGGCAACTCACGCGACTCTGTGAACCAAACTAGTCATCTCGATGACTGCAGTGCTGCCGCTACTATGTTGATCCAGCTCGTGGTCTACGGCCGATACCAGCTGTTATTGGTGAGCGCACGTCATATGATTCGACATCGGAAAGTCTTACCCCGTATGCAAGATCGAAGATGACGTGAGAGACCTCCCGGACATTGGAGGTGCTAGCAGGTTGTTTAAAGAATCAGGAGGCGTGGCGGGTGGAAAAATTAAACATACGTGAAAGCAGTCGCTAGAACGGCTCTTGAGTGTTTGTGCTCCTCCCCTAAAGTAACAGTCATGTAATGCCACTAAGCCTGTGATGCTAAATACCTTCAGCACTGAAGAGGCTCTTCCCGAACTGCATGAACAGTGAGAGTTTGATGTAAAAGCAAGATCATATTGATACGCACAAATTGTATGAGTGCGAGCCTTGTAGACTGAGGTCTCACATAGTTGCTGGAGTATAGAACATGGGCGGTGTTGGAATCTGGGCATGGAGCGCAGATGTGAGAGGCCCCGGTGCGACCTGCGCCACCGGCGTGGGAGAGTAGTAGTGCGCGTGTATATAATAGGGCACGGCTACAATGGGACGGGCCATCGGTTTGGCCCCGTGGAGCCATCTTCTAGAGAGCGGGCGACTCCCGAACTCCTGGCCGCGCAGAGGGCTGGCTGGGAAACTCAACAGGCGGCACCTTTGGGGTCTCCTGCGTGCAGCTCGGAGGTCTGTGGGTTCGTTGTGAATGACTGATGAGGCGGCCTGAAAGCTAACTTGAGCTTAGTCCGAATGCGCCTTTCAGCTTGTATGTAGGACCATATTCACGAGCCCATTTCTTGTACAGTGTTCCGACCGGTGCCTTATGAATGACAATGCCGTGTCCCAGGAGCCAACTTGGACTCGGTGGGCCTGATACATCATTTAGTGTAGAAATGCGCAAGATGCGACGAGCTATAAGGACAACCACGACAGTGAACAGAATAATAAACGATGTCTGTCCGTGGGGGATGTCGAAGTCCCAATTTCCAATGGCTCGCATTGCGATGCACGAAGAGCAGGAGAGGATTACTGGAAGATCCCTCACACAAGGGTCTTCGTCTTAAGAGGGCAAGGCTCGATGCTATCTGAAACGTGTTCGAATACTGACGCGGCGGAGAAGTATTTAGAGTTAGCGCGACATACAGAGATGCGCCGGAAACCAGGAACGATGGACTCACATATAGGCTATCCGCAAGTCTTCTCTCATTCATTACGTGAGAGTCCGCGACTGCTGTCTCATCCTCAAACTTGATGAGATTCGGCGAGCTCGCTCAACAGCGCAGCGCGTGGGGTGCTCTTTATCTCAGCTATCTAGGTGCTCGAACTTATCCGAGCGGCATTTCTTCACACCAATATTGATCCGCATCACATCCACTGTGATTACGTACATAGTGACGGCTTTAATAGCAGGTGAGGCGAAGAGCGAGATCGGATGAGTAGTGAGCGACGTCGAGCGAGATCGCTGGAAAGTCCCCGGATATCCGATGCTAAGATTGGCTATGGAGGCAAAAGCCTGAGCTGTCGCAAGACCAATCACTATCAATCCTGCGCTCGAAAAATAAGCTGACGTTGCATGCTTTTCCTTAAAGCATCTTGACTAAAGGAAATTGCGACCCGTGGGCTTCACGCTTGTAGACGCAGAGATCTGCGCGATTCTTCTGAACGCAGCTACCTCGTAATTATGTGAGTATCTTCGTCTATCGTCTGTGTCCGTGACGATGAAAAATTGAGCCCACAATATCACTAAGCCTGTCTGTGACAACAGTTCATATCGGAAGATCGTCACAGATAATTTGCATTTGTTTGGGCTTGTGGGTCCATTTCAATCAGCTTCATTTATCTGCATCTAATTAGTAAAGAAAAGACGTACGAGCTTTTGCAGAGAGAGCGGATGAGATCAGGAGAATGAGAAGAACATAGTAAAGCCTCACCGACTGGTTTAGAACGCCTTCAAAAGATACACTGTTTCAATTGCTAACAGTTCCGATTTACGACACACGGGAACCTGAGCATTGCCACGACCCCGAGGGTTGGAAGTTGAACCATGGAAAGAATCTTATTTGCCGACGACTCAGATGAGTGTCGTCAGGATTGCATTGCTTCGCGCGAGCCATCCGCAAGCTGCGCGATAGAACGACCTAGCAGAAGCTGTATATTATACGAATATGCAAGACATTTGTGGAGGAGACGAAAGAGATTTGCAGAAGTCCAGCAGAATAAATGCATGCTACATAGTTGTGAATGATAATGAGGAATTGCCAAAGAAAAAGTTGAATAGGACGCGGCAGCGCGCATATGTATACATATCATTGCAGAAAATGACGGACTCGTTCAATAATGAATAAATGGCTATGATGCATGAGAGCAAGAAGCGGCTCACGAGCAATATGGATAAGAGAACACGAAAGATGGAAGACATACACGTATAGACAAACATACCGTCGTCCGAGTGGTCCGAGTGCTCCGCGAAAGCTACGGTCCTTGCCCTCGGTATGTATCGGAGGCAGAGCTCGCTGTTCTAGCTCGAGAATACATTACCGTCAAAGGCCCAACTGCGCTGAACAAAGGTAGGTTCAAATCGCGTCGGACCCTTCTCTGTCGTCTCCTATCTCCGGGTCCATGCGACCGAGCACTTCGCCCGACGCGACGCTAAGGCCGGACCTAGCGCTTGCTGTCGATCCCAACCTCGGCCGGACATACGATGGTGGTACACCTATGGGACCCACCCTCGCACCCTCCAGCATAGTGCCCTGTTGCACACTACTCCCCGCCACGACTGGCTCTATCGGTTGTCGAGGAGCATGAGTGCTGCCGCCTCTTGTGCGCCTTCGCCCATCCAGTCCCCTAATTGTCGTCATGAATGCTTCGTTCATCTCTCGTAACCGTTCATCCACAGCAGCTTCCGTAGCCAGCATCGGCTCGGGCATCGAGCGCGTCCGCGTGTGCGAGGCAACGCTGGCCGAGCGTGAAGGCTGCGATGCTTCCGAAACTTCCTCAGGTGTTCCCTCTCGTGATGGTGTGTTCCGCTCACGTAGCCCGCCAAGCGGCTTGCGTGTGTCAATGTCTTTCATGAACGCTGAGATTTCTTCATCATCCACATTCGCGCTCGGGAATGAGGCGCCCTGTGGCGAATTTCGTAAGCATGACGACAGATCATAAGCTCAAACACGAAGCGACTGTACAGCATCGCCAGTGACTCACCGTAGTCCGTTCCGCTTCTCGCACACCACTACCCCCACTTCCATCACTACCTACGCCTCCTGAAGCAGCATATCGATGGCCAAAGCTGCTCGAGTACCTCTTTCCACCCATCCGTGGACTTTCTGATCCTGATATAGATACGCCCTCTGCACTCACCAACGATCGCCGGTCTCCCAAACTTGACGGGGCGAACGGCGGAGAAGGCCTGAACGGAGTCACCGGAGACGACGGCAGCCGCGCGCTCATTGGACCAGCGCGAGACGCAGCGGGCGACATCTGCACCGGACGTGATGGCAGCGACGGGCCCGAGCCACCGGGAGTGGAGGACAAAGGCGAATACTGTCGAAGCGAAGGCGAAGGCGAATGAAGAGAGGGCGATGGTGAGATGGTGGACGCCTTGAAGGGGTGCACGTTCGTGATCGGTGATCGGCGGATGGGTAGTGGTCCTGGAATGGACGGCAGATCCTATGTGCGTGTAAGCATCAAGGTAGTTCGTCTAAGGTAAAAATTGACTCACGGGTCCTCGGCTTCGCCCAATACTCTCTCTCCTTAGCCGCGCAGCCATTGCGGAAACGGCATCATCACGCGAGGCAACCGATCCCGCACCGTGCCTCGAAGACGACCCATCCGAGATGCCAGATGGTGAGCCAGCTGCGCCTGGCCCAGGATTCGACAGGCGTCGTACGGACGGCAGTGCTACACTCTGCAAACGCGGACTACTCCCGCTTACTGTTGTGAATGTTGTTGTTCGAGAACCGACCGCAGGCGGGACGACAAATCGGTCGGCTACAGAGGAAGAAGGGGGCGTTCGCGGGAGCGATGTCCGCATGGGCAGGCTTCCCGGTGAGCCGGACAATGAGTCACGCTGCTGGTGCTTCACGAGCGTCGGGGTGAACTCGGGGCCTTCGTCGAGTGAGAGGAACCGCGAAGAGAGCAGAGACTCGAGTTCGTCCAGCTGGAACTGGGGCGTGGTCAGATACGTCACAGAGAAAGTCAGCGTGCCGGTCAAATGGGTGATCGGCGGGAATGCATGCGTGTCCTTCGCGAGCGGAGCGACGCCTGGCGCAGGAGGCATGTCTGGAACGCGCCATCAGTACTCAGAGGCAGCACGAAGGGATGCAACGTGGCGCACCAAACCCCAACACGCCACCATCATCCTCTGCGCCTTTCACACGAAGTTGGATGGTCAGGTTCCCAATCCGGTTCCCTCCAGTTCGCCTGCGCAGCCGCCTGGCTAGCCTCCACGCAGGCAACACGCGTAAAAGCGTGAAAATACTGCGGAACAGCAGTATGCCGTGCTTGTACATTGTCGGCGGCGCGACCTCTGCGCGATCGTCCCCATAGCGCCGGTGAGCGGTGGGCGCGAAGAGGATGTCCCACGACTCCAGTAAGATGTACTTGGGTGTGGGATCGATCCTGAGACGCGAAGAGTCGGGTGCATGATAAACGAGCACCTGGTTATTGCTCAGCTCTGGGACACAGAGCAATACATGAAGTTGGAATGGGGGGACTGTCTGTGCAGACGAGATGGAGCGGTATAGACGGGTATAGTCCTTCAGGATGTCCGGGCCTGGGGTCTCGAGATTGAACTAGTCGGAGTCAAACATCACCCGTGTCGTTATCCATCAGTGAAGAGACATACCCATCTGTCCTCCTTGGCCTCCGGGGATGGCTCAACTGTTGCCCTTGCATGGTTGACGACAAGAGCAAGTTTGGCGTAGAACTTGTGAGCTATCTGGTCGATCCTCGGGGTGTCATTGGACATGGCAGGCCGCAAAGTGTGTTCAGACGGTGGATAGGCGCTGCATGAGGGCGGATTCGTCGTTCAGGCTGTGATGGTCGTGGAGGGCACGAGAGTGCGCGAGCTCTCGATCTGACGATGCTGGATCTTCTGCCCTGGGAACGAATTAATGGCTTCCCTTGAATGCAAAAGGCTATTGTGTCGTACCAAAAAAGTAAACCTCGGCCACCGAAAGAGGAGAAGCGACTGACGTCGGACAAGAAGAAATATTATGCGTCTAATTATTTGGAAACCATTAGAAGAAATATAAAGCACGTGTTTTGAAGGTAAGCTATATTATTGCAAAACATTACGTTCACAAGCACATTTTGTAACGCCTTTCCTCTTACCAAAAGTTTATTCAAAGCAAATTACCATGTCGGCGTTCAAACTAGCCCAGGACTATTGATCATGCCGCTGTCATGATAATTGAGGTGATGTGACAAAATCTCGTTGTACTGCAAGTTGCGTACGCTCACAATGTATTGAAGGATCAAAATATACCCAAAATGAACGTAAATCGTGCCAGTTGGTCCACAAGACTCCTCGAGAATATTACCGGCCTGTTCAGAAGCTCCTCCGAGGGGCATTCGACGGAATATGCCTACCTCCAGCTGGGTGATCCAGAGCACTTCTCAGACTTCCCCACAGAGGAGGAGCGTTTGAAGCTGAGAAGGGTGGCCGATGCGATTCCTTGGAGCGCATATCGTCAGCACTGAATTAGCTTCCCTGCGAAACGTGTCTCGCTCATTATAAATTGCTTCTTTGCTAACAGTAGTAGCTTTCGTCGAGCTTGCTGAGCGATTCTCGTACTATGGTACCACCGTAGTATTTGTGAGTATACCGTCTCGACCGCTATCGTGAGCCTGCTGCTGATTAGCGTTCAGACCAACTTTATCCAGCAGCCCCTGCCGCCTCACTCACGCACGGGGGCGGGCTATGCAGACGGCCAATCTGGCGCCCTCGGATTAGGCCAGCGTGCTTCGACTGCTATCGGCACGTTTAACAGCTTCTGGTAAGTTGAACGGCTAGATAAGCGGAAGCCACATCGAACACCTGAAGGGTATACATCATCCCTTTACTAGGTGCCTATATCGCCGACACACGCTGGGGGCGATTCAAGACAATCTGCATTTCTGTCGGCATTGCATTAATCGGTCATGTCATCCTGGTCGGCTCAGCACTACCCGGGCCGATTGAGCACCAGAAGTTGTCCTTGTCAATTTTCCTCACCGCTGTGGTTATCATGGGCATCGGCACCGGTGGTTTCAAAGCGAACATATCTCCTCTTGTTGCGGAGCAGTACAGGAGGACAAAGCTCTCCGTGACGACTTTGCAAACCGGGGAACGAGTAATTATCGATCCTGCTTTAACCACTGCGAGGATCTACATGGTGCGCTCTGCTGTGACGCGCATTGAGCCATTGACCGACATAATTCGCCAATACAGTATTTCTACCTATTCATCAATACTGGAGCTCTGGTTGGTCAGATCGGCATGACGTATTCGGAGAAGGTGAAGCCATTCTAGCCATAATGTTGCACGATTGACGAAGTCTACGTCTTTCAGTATGTCGGCTTCTGGCTGGCATATTCCCTACCCACACTAGTCTTCCTCCTTTGTCCGTACATTCTGTACCTTGGCCGGAATCGCTATATCAAGACTCCTCCATCTGAATCTGTCCTGCTCACAGTGTTCCGCATGGTAAAATTCCAGATGAATGGACGATGGTCGATGAACCCATTTATCATCTACGAACGCATGCAGTCTCCAGGATTCTGGACCCAAGCAAGGCCCAGTCATGTACCACCACACAACCGGCCTCTGTGGATGACTTATAGCGATGGCTGGGTGGACGAAGTGAGACGTGGATTCAAAGCATGCGAGGTCTTCCTTTGGTATCCAATCTACTGTAAGTATGCCCTCAATGCCGCTTCCTCTGTACTGAATTAGTGCCGTCAGATCTCTCGCTAAATCAGCTCAATAACAATCTCACGTCGCAGGCTGCAACGATGAGGACGGATGGTGTGCCTAATGATGTTCTATCCAACCTAGATCCTCTCACGCTGGTTATTTTCATTCCCATCTTCGACTTCTGCCTATACCCTAGCTTAGGATACGCCGGGTTCCGGTTTACGCCGCTGAAGAGAATAACGGCCGGGTTCATCATGGCGTCCATAGCCATGGCATGGACAGCCTCCGTCCAGCATTCGATCTATCAGCGGAATCCTTGTGGGCTGTATGTCGCTACGTGTGAGGACGCCGACGGTCGTGCTGTCACCTCCGACCTGAGCGTTTGGCTGCAAGCTCCTAGCTACATTCTGATAGGACTGTCGGAAATCCTCGCCTCCATTACGGGACTAGAGTACGCATATACAAAGGCGCCGAAGAACATGCGCTCGCTTGTCATGGCAGTGTTTCTGTTCATGTCGGCCGTTGCTAGTGCAATAGGCGAGGCGTTCGTCTGTGAGTACACCAGATGATCCCATGAACTGATTATCCTGGAATTAATGGCTCATCACGTCTACAGCACTCTCCGCTGACCCTTTGCTGGTGTGGAATTATGGTGTAATGAGCGTGCTTGCTGCAATAGCAGGCACCGCGTTCTGGTTCCACTTCAGTCATCTTGATATGCAGGAGGATGATCTGAACAACCTCAGTGATGAGAGTCTGCTTGATATAGTGCTCCAAGAGTAGATCTGCATTGTCGATGTATCGTTGCCGTTGCTAGAGGTGTTCGGTATCTGTGTCATAGAGACATGGAATCCATTTCCATTTGCTTTGTCGAGCTTGTGATATATGGTTATTTGCTAAAGCAACGTGAGCATACTCAGACATGGCGTACTGTGACATGGGGCGTTTTGCAAAAGTCCAATTTTCCAGAACTGTCATAGCTTCCGCCATACTCAAGAAAATATCAGACGAGCAGTTGATTACCTGACATAGGGTGATGATAATATGATATTCTTCCAAGGTCCGAATGGGACAATCCTCGGAGGTGATGCAGAACTGTGAGAACTGTGCGCATTAAGATGTTCATACGCACTCGGGTGCTAGCCAAGGGAGGAAGATGCCAAGATTATATCTCGCAGAGAACGATCCTTGACTTATTTTACCCAATTCCATATCTTTAATGTCAGAGAATTCGAATGTGGCTCCTGATTTGCATGAACGGAGATGTGCTTACTACTGTACCTGTATTTCACATAATTATTCACGGTGTGTTCCCATGCCTGATTCTTGACATAGAGATCATCTACCTGTCAGCGCAATGCCGCTTTGAAGATCGTCAAAGCTCATTGAGATTCAAGTCTTGTCAGATTGAACACCAAACAATGCGGAGAAAGTGGGATTACTGATCACACAGGATCCAAACCTACCCATCCCGTCTTTCGATTTACTGTCATTTTATGGCCTTCATGCATCACTATACACCGTATGAGACTCACTGCTTTGTTGAGGCATTGCGGGAGGTGCTGAACATGATTGCCTCCGGAAAATGTGGATTTATAGTGCTGAGAACCCCTCCCTTCTCTATTTAGAGTGTCACAGTTAATGCCGTAAAGCAGTCGACATATAGTACCTTTTGTGTGTGTTTCCGTGTCGCGATCCAACGCGAGGAAGAACCGTTATCCGAAAGAATTGCTGCGTCGCGTTTTGACATTGTCGCGACATTTGCGATCACCTGACCGCGTCGACATCCGACCCTCCGTGCATTCCTTCGTTCTCTCGCTTGCAATTTTCACTTGTCAATGCTCATGCTTCATTGAACTTTTCGGTTCCATTTGCGAAGGATACGGTCGAGAATTTACTTCGTCGAGCTGTCGCTAGTACGAGCGCTGGTCGGGACGGCGGTCTACTGAGTCAGATGACATGACAGCTTAGGCGGGGTAGCTTGGTTCAAATACGGCAGACATCAATGCTTATTCGCTTCTATTCTTCAACAAATGACCTATGAATCTCGCTCTGCCTTGTGTGCCTTGTAGTCTGGTCGGTGGTTTCCTCGCTGAATCACTGCAGCCATGCCAGCCTCCCTGCAGTCTCCTTTGCAACTTCCCAATACTTCGCCGCACATGGAGAAGTCAGATCCACGGGCTAACAAGCGCAACGTTTGGGACCAAATGCCAACCTGGGTTTCCTCAAATCTACGCTCACGCAAGTCATGGAAGATGCTAGTGCGATGTTGCGTTGCATCGTGGGTCTCATTCATCATATTGCTACCCTCGAAGTCGCTGCAGGCTATGGGGAATGCGTGAGTATCTGGAGTTTATGAGTCATTCTGCGGAGACTCTGAGCGGATTCGTGCAGCGCATTCTTCGGCCTTCTAGGTAGCTTGATGATTCCACCCAATATGCCTGTCCAGATGTATCTTGCGGTATGCATATCTCCCTTTTCAGCGATTGTAATACATACATCACGTTTAAGCATGCTGATAAACCCATTCATTGACTTTCTAGGCATTACTCACGCTAATCGTCGGTGAATGCCTTGGCTGGGCGTTCGGTGCCGCTGGGATGCGTGCTGCACTAGCGGTGCGCAATCAGGTTGTGACGCAGGCAGAGCTACAGAAGGTAGCACAAAGGTATATGTTAATTCTTCCAAAACGAATATCTTATAACAGGTGTCAAGTGCTGCCGGACTAGCAAACCCTGATGCGCTCTATGTTGCGAGCATCTTCAACGGAGACTTCTTGGACACAAACTCTACAGTACTCTTTGGTGTCTTTCTAGGCATAGGCACATTTCTCTTGGCATTAATTCGCGCATATGCTCCCCGTCTCACGCTGCTGAGCATATTTGGAACGATTGCCATTGACATATACTGCGTCAGTTTCTCTTGATCTACCTCCGTGTCAGTTCCTGATTATGTGTTCATAGAGCTACGGTCCTCTTTTCCCATTTCCTCAGTACACAATTCTGAACTCATTACTGATCTCACTCTCATGCTACGTCGCAATCGGACTTGTAACCATCATCCTTGTATTCCCCGAGACGCTCAACCACGCTGCTCTCTCCAGCACTTCGGAGTTACTTGGGCATATCGGCGAGGGCATTATGCTGCAGGAGGAAATCCTGAATGCACCAGCAGCGCAATTAATCGGTGATGGCGAGATGTTGGGGAAGGCGGCGACCGCGCGAGAACACATGATCGCGAACATGAAACAATGTAAGTGATGATATCATACAGCTAGTCGACATCTCATACCATCACACCTGCACAGTATCCTCGCAACTACCCTTGCTCAACCTAGAGTTCAGCTGGGGAAAATGGAATGGCAACGACATCAAAGCTCTCAAAGAACCATTAATGACACTTGTCGGCCGTCTTGGTGGGTATATACATTTTTTAATGATACTTCTGTTCATATACAGGTCCGTTATTGTGCCAGCCGCACTTCAGGGATTTTCAAAGCTTCTTGGCTCATACCTTTCATCCTCGGCTGATTTGTCGGAGGCTTCCTTCCATGGTGAGAAGCCTGATGCCGAGGATTGGAAGACCGAACAGCGATCGGTGGGCGATGCGGAGTTATTCCGCCAGCTACACACACGCCATCATTCGCATGCAGCACCTATCCCTCTGACGGATTTGGTCCCGGTACTGGGCGACGCCACTCGCGAACTTCGTGAAGCAAGTGCAAATGCCATTGCATCCTGCAAGGCTGTGATCGACTCTATAAACACAAAGCGGTACATCCGCGGGAATGTTGCGGATCTCAAAGTGCACCTGGCCGAGCTCGATGCTGCCGAGCAGAGACTGGTGAAGGCTATCGATGCATTCAAAGAACGAGATCGACTGATACTACTGGAACCCTTCCATGGTCTGCTCGATGCGGTTGCGAGTGGCAAGCAAATCGAAGAGCGTGGTAACGCGCCCTTCCGTCCTTTGTATATAGCCTTCGTCTTCACAGCGAATCTGGTCACGGTTGCGAAATCCGCGAAAGCAGTGGTCGAGGTTATTGGTGATACGGCGAGGAAAAGGAGGCAGAATCGACTGTGGGCACCGAAGGGCATCCGCGCGATTGGCAAGCTGATAACGCAGCGAGGCGATGCGGGTGAAAGAGCACTGGGTGAAGATCCCGCGCCTTTTGAAGAAGAAGAACCGGAACAGGTGAACGAGAAGGCATACAGTGCGTGTTAGTCACCAGCCTTGTGATAATCACGTCTGATCGAGCTGTTCTGAAACATTAGGTCGAGATCCCGATGCCGGACCTCCTAGCAACTTTGTTCAACACATCATGAACACTGTGCATGGAGCATATTTGTGGGCGAAGACACCGGAAGCATTGGTGAGTAAATATACTCTCTCCGGACTATTTGGCAGAGAGCCGACACGCTGCATTTACTCCTCTATAGTTTGCATTCAAGTATGCGGCGTTGACAATCGCTCTATGGATTCCAGCAGTATGCAAGACCAGTGCTCGTATGTGTTCCATTCTGTGTGCTCTTAGAGCAAAACTCAACACTTTCAGACTTCATATATGCGCAGAAGGGGCTATGGTTTGTGGTCTCTATTAGCTGTGTACTCGACTGACTTAGGTACTGCATATCACACAGGGCCCTCATTATGGCTCAAACCACTCTCAATATCTATGCTGCTGATCAGATATGGAAGTGCGTTGCATGTGATTGGTTCGTATCACAGTATGTAACTGCCTGCCTTGCGTAGCCTCGTTTTACGTCTCGCTGGCACATTCGTCGGACTTGTCGTGGGTTTACTTTGTTGGTACATCGGTGCGCATCTACCGTAACTTCATTCGCATGACATGGGACTCATCAAAGGGCATTTCGATGCGTCAGGATCGGCGAAGAGCGACGGTAGTCCATACGGAATGGCCGCCAGCGTCGCAGTGTTTCTTTTCCCTGTTCTATTTCTGAGGCTCTTTGCTCCGCCGAAATATGTATCAGGTATTATGATGGGCGCGGTGCGTTTAAGTCACCCTAGTGTTCGCTGAACTCTGACGGTCGTGGTGCAGGTAACATGGGCGCTAATTGTGGGCTACTCCTGGCTCGATGGACATATTACCGTGCTGGGAGACGTTGGCATTGGATGGCCCGTCGCATGGCGAAGGTTCGTGTTGGTGATCATCGGTGAGTTTGTATCGATGATGGTGCAATAAAGTACCAATTTACATAAACCTTTGCAGGTTCTGTCGCGTCGTTCGTCGTGATGATCCTCCCTCCCACTTCGGCACGCAAATCTGTCAGACTCCGCTGCTCATCCACCATATCCTCACTATCATCTCTATATCAGCATCTAATGTCGGCATGGATCAATGACAGAGCATTCGATGACTCGGAGAAGGGTGGCTCGGAGGAATCAAAGTGGGCACAGCAGTTCCGCGAGAGGTTCATTGGCGTGTCACAAGATATTCAACTGTTGAAGGCTCAGGCTAGTATCGCGAAATTTGAGGGTAACGTTCGTGGGACATGGGCCTCTGAAGAATACAATCGTCTCGCAGACGTCGAGGGAGAGATAGCTGTAAATCTCGCAGTCGTGAGCGGTCTAGTCAAGCTAACTGAAATGCACACTGAAAAGCAGATCCATCCAGATCGGGGGCTCCCTGGCTCACCTGGATCACGGCACCCGAATCGCCCTGCTCCGACATACGAAGGTCGTCAATCCAAACTTCGTGCGTTGGTATTGAACGTCGATAGGGCCATTTCCTCACTAGGTTGCCATAGATTAGCGACGTCATATCGACCTTTGTAGCAATCTCGCAGTCGCTCCGCACTGGGGAATCACTCTACCAAGCACAATTCCAGGACCTAATGGAACGGGTGTTCTACCACGGCGATTATTCATCACCAATCGACAGGATAAATCAGGAGGCGCGGAATGATTTCCGGTTGCAGCACTTGCAGTCAATTTTCAGTTACGACTATATGTTCTATGCGAGCGCCATTGTCTCCGTATTCAAAATGCTGCAGGTAAGCTGCTTCATGTGAACGTCGCACACCATGACTGAATGCTCGCAGGGTGTGAATGAGGCTCGAGCGATCACTTCAAGACTATGCGGCGAGGTTCCTATGGTCGGTTTCGAGCAATGGCGAGAGACCTTTGAGCGCGATTACAGCGCGGCGGTCTTGTCTTCCTGAACAGCTTCCCTTAGTGCATACACTGGATTCTGCCTTAAGGCTCCATTGATCATTCTTAGACCCCAGCAGACTGCGTTGTCACATTGAATTTGTTATGATCCTATTCTCACTAGTAATCTTTATTTATGTCATTATCAATGGATGCGTACATGGTGCTCCCTTCCAGCAACCATGCGTCCGGCACGATTGCAGGAGTTCAATCAGTGGCCCCTGTAATAGCAAAACATTGCATGTTCTTCGGAGGTCAGTGAGGTGATGGAAATTCGGAACGCCTGCGTAATGGACGCAGTCGTCACCACACGTCGCTTCGGACTTCCTCAGTAACTTGAATATACAACTCGAGAGTAGTACTCACTGATGAAGAGTGGTGTAGTCTCCCGCGGGCAGACGAGACAACTTCGACCTGCGCGGGAGCGCTCCGGATATCCTTGTCTGACGAGACGTGCCACCTACAGAGATTTGTAGTCACGATTTGCTCAGAAACGATTGAAACTTGGTTGCCAATATTTCTGAGGGGTAATATATCTACCAATCTAGAAGCATCGTTGATTGTAAGAACAGGAGGTAGCGTCTGAAGCCATGGACAAATATAAGTGCAAGTCGACCACTGGAAATTATAGGCGCCCATATCATGATCACCCTTGCGGCACTGCTGCTTCTCTTTCAAGTCACTGAGGTCATCCTAGGACTGCTCGTCCTCATGTCCGTTATTGACACGGTTTCCATCGTGCAAAAATGAACTCAACATCGCTATGGGTCTTCTGGTTTCTTCACTCTGTGCTGGCGTATGCTCTGAATATACCGCCGCAAGATGCCCAGTCGGTGTTAGAGGGCACGGCAGTAGCGTCGCATGCGTTGCTTAAGTCATTCGTAGTGGGCGACCAACCTCGGGACATTGATGGCCTTCTGAACATTGCAGAGGTTCGTTTTCACTTTAACTTCTGTCGTTACAGAGGTGAATTATTCGAACTCAGGAAGCGGATGTGGATGTCTGGCGGATCACTCCGTCTCACGTAGATGTCTACTTCCCCAGTGTCACACACTATCTCTCTTCTCCATTTAATGGCGCCGATATACCACACAAAACGACAGAATTCCCTTTATCTGCGCTCTCTCCGCCTACTGAGCAGCCCCATCCCAAGTCTTGGAACCTCACATCGCTATCGAACACCACATTCCATTCAGTCTATCACCCACTCGATGAAATCGAAGACTTCGTACAGGCGATGGTCGCCCTCTACCCAGACTATGTGCAACTAGTCAACATCGGTCATTCCGCTGAGGGCAGAGAGATGTTTGCAATGAAGATCTCGAAGGGTCAGAAGGCCAACTTCAAAAGTAAGTCTGGATTCGTTGTCACAGGCGCTCAACATGCTCGGGAGGTACGTATATGCTGTCTTCTTTGGTCTCAAGTGCTATACTCATGATTACATAGTGGATAGCAACGTCCACGGCGCTATATCTGGCTCATTCCCTGGTCTCGAGTGCGTCTGAGCCTTACGCAATAGCATCACTATTGGATAATTACGTATGTGCATTCTAGCATTCTGTTCAATCCATCATTCCATGCCGCAGGCTGCCTTTGTTGTCACTCACCTCTATGAGACCTTCATGTGGTGTCCATATTCTTATCTTCATGAAGCTTGATGCTGACGATTCACCAGCATTTCTATATCATCCCGGTACCCAATCCGGATGGTTACGTCTATACCTGGGTCACCGATAGGCTTTGGTAAGATTATATTCACAACCATTGGTGTTCATATTTTCTGACATATTCACAGGTATAAAAACCGCCAGATACTAGGACCGAATGAGAAATGTGTGGGGTTGGACATGAATAGGTAGGTTAACAGTGCACCCATTCTAGTCGCCATCTCATTGCCACTATACCTAGGAATTGGGTATGTTGTGTTCGTTCATTCACATCTCTTTTCCTCACCATCGAACCTCCACTGCAGGGCCACAAATGGAAAGCACGTGCAGACTTCCCCACCGCCCAGAAGAAACCCACGACCCCGACCGACCCATGCACGCCGTGGTATCCGGGCCACCGTGCCTTTGAGTCACCCGAGGTGAACAACATTGCGAACTACATTACGACGCTCCCGTCGCTGAAGGCGTATATTGACCTTCGGAGCTATGGGCAAATGAGTGAGTGCAGTCGAGAGACGTGTGTTGGATGTCGATGCTGATGTACTGCAGTATCGACGCCGTTCGCATATTCGTGCAAGAAAATCCCAAAGGACGCAGAAGACCAGATCGAGGCCGCGCTTGGCGCTGCAAGGGCGATCAAGCAGGTACATGGGACATCGTTCACGGTGAGCGCTGTCGTTCTACCTTGACTGTGTTCTGCATGGATCACATTGCAGCACGGTCTTTACGTGCATATATGCGCATGAAATGATGCCAATCCAGCATTATGAACGTGGTTTCTATGCAGTCGCTTTTCAGTGCGCATATGCGAATGATATGGCATCATCTATCCATCTACATTTTCGGAGAGTCATCCTCCGATGCCTATATGAGCTATATACCATTCTTTGCCTGTTTCTTCGTCGAAAATGTTTCGGCGCATGAATGCGCATGCGCAGAACACATATTATCCTTCCGCGGATCCTCCTTCCCCATGATGTTCATGCCATTGCTCACACCTGTTTCTCCCACCCCAGATTGGCAGCCTCTGCTCCTCATTGTACAAGTAGGTATCATCCTGCCCATTGTCAGGGGGTAATCTAACACGCCGTGACGCTTCATCACGCACCAGGGCACCAGGTAACGTTGTCGACTGGATGTATGCCAAGGCCGGCATCAAGTTCTCCTACGCTGTGCACCTGCGAGACACCGGCACAGTAAGTGGCTCTAGTCATCCGTCCATGTGTCTCTCTGATATCGAGCAATTGCAGTATGGCTTCGCCCTTCCGCCTGAGTGGATCAGGCCGGTCGGCGAAGAGACGGCCAAAATGATCGAGTTCCTTGCTCGGTTCACCACTCCGGGCAAATTTAAGTAGCGTATAGCACCTGCGTGTTGATGCATTCTTCCGCACAGCGCAAGCTGGACGATGCCGCGAGTTCGCATGTTTTCTTATGCTCTGATCGCTGCTACTTGTTGCTTGTAATGTACGTGCTTGTTATATGGTGATACTAGCCGAATGTATGATTTGCGAGGGCTTCGTTGCGCATAGCCAGGCAGGTGTATTGTGTTGACCAAAAGCAAAGAAAGATGTGCACTGGAAAGGTTCGAACCCGGAGCACAACAGTGTCGCAGCTGGGAAGATTTGCAACCAAAAAGAATCCTTCGAGCCGGGATCGAACCAGCGACCTCAAGATTAATTCATCCATTACAGTCTCGCGCTCTTCCAACTGAGCTATCGAAGGCTGTCAATCTAAGCTTTATGTAATATAATGAACTGTGATGACACTTCCCATGGAAGTGCGCCGTCAACTTGTCGCAACGTCTGCTGTTTGGTTGTGCTCTCCTCCTTGCAGAGTGTTGATTCACCCATGCTTTCACAAGGCGTATGGAATAATTCGAGCAACGTGTACTGAATACGTTTATCATTCCTTGGTATGTTTGACTACAACAAAAGCGCGAAAACTTCTAACCGACCTTATCTCTCATAGTGAACTTCGCATCCTTCTACTCTCTGCGGACGTACGGCACTTAGGCGCTCAGCTTCTTGCGAAGAAGGGTCTTGAGCGTTTCACCGTCCTCGGCAAACTTCCTAATACCCTCGTGCAGCTTGTCGAAAGCCATCTGGTCCTCGAGCAGCGCCCAACGGAACTCTGGCTCGTTGTTGATAAACGACACCTTCTTCAACGGCGTGCCCTGGATAGCTGTAAAAGGTGCGCGATAAGTAGGTCTGTCAAAATACAACCGCCAAAAAACGAACCGGCTTGCGAGTCAAGCTTCTTAGGGACGGGCGAGGTGTCGTTCTTGAGCTCCTCCAGCAGAGTTGGTGAGATGGTCAGGAAATCGACGCCAGCCAGTGCCTTGATCTCCCCAGTCTGACGAATGATCGTCAGTTAACTCGTGCAAAAGGGGAAGAACTTGTAAACACACGTTACGGAAGGAAGCACCCATGACAATCGTCTTGTAATTGTGCTGCTTATAGTAGTTGAAGATCTTCTTCACCGACTGCACACCAGGGTCCTCATCACCGACATAGTCCTTGCCCGGCTTGTTCTTCTTGTGCCAGTCGAGGATCTATCGGAGGAAGTTAAGCATGACCTCACGTGATCTCATTAGCAAGACGCTTACACGGCCGACGAAGGGAGAGATGAGGGTGACGCCGGCCTCGGCGCAAGCTACCGCCTGAGCAAAGCCGAACAGAAGGGTCAGGTTGCAATGGATGCCTTCGTCGCGCTCAAGCTCCCGTCCAGCCTGAATACCCTCCCACGTAGATGCGATCTTGATCAGGATCCGCTCTTTCGAGATCCCCAGCGACTCGTACATGGCAATCAGCTCCTTTGCTTTCTTCTTGGTACCCTCCTTGTCGAAGGAGAGGCGGGCGTCTACCTCCGTGGAGACACGCCCGGGTATGATGGCGAGGATTTCACTGCCGAACCCGACGAGCTGCACGAACATTAGTCACGCATATACGAGAGATGCGGTGCACACTTACCAGACGATCCATCGCTATGCTCGCCTGCTGGTCCAGGTCTCCTCCCTTGCTTTTGGCATACTTGACGGCAGCGTCAATTAGATGCGCATATCCCGGCTTGCCTGCAGCCGCGAGGATGAGCGAGGGGTTGGTCGTCGCGTCTTGGGGCTTGTAGACATCAATGGCTAAGAGATCGTCATCAGATCGAGACTCATCGTCCCATCTTGACGGTGTACTCACACTCAAAGTCACCGGAGTCAGAGACGACGACGGTGCCGGTCTGCTTAAGATAGTCCAGTGAGGTGGTCATGGTGGTCGCGATGGTGGAGGGCAGATGAAGAGATGGTACTAATATACGCGCTCGGGTGAGTGGGTCATAGTGGTGGCGATGATCTAATACAAGATCGGCTCGGCCCGGCCCGGACATCGTGGACACTTCTTACTCCTCTTCGGCACATCCTCCAACCGCACGACGTTCGTGTTGGATCTCATATGAATTTTGAGCGGATAGTGTGAAAAAGCGTGGCGTGTCGGTCATGGAGACCGTCCGGCCTTACAGACCTCCAGCGCTCTCCTACAGTTTTGGGCGCATGTTTCACAGGCGGTCATCGACGATGAGAAGGGCGATACTGAGCGGGCGGAACACATCTTGTTGGATGAGAACATGAGAACACTCAGCTTGTGTGAGAACGAATGCTTCATCGCGAGCACACACCTTACGAGGCCAGGAAGCACAATTGACTTGGGATGATCCTAAGTGCTTCAAAGACCAAGCTCCGTATGGTTTCCCACGTCCTACTACCAAGGCATGTCTATATCCGAATGAGCGTGGGCTCACCTCCGTGTGAGAGCCGAGAATCACATATCGCACACGTGCGTGCATATCGGCCAGCCATACAGGTATATTTTTTCGCGTGAAGCCTGTCGACATTCTGAGGAAATACAGCATGGGAAGAGGGAATGAAAAGTAGACGGCTGAAAGCAGATAATGCCAGCCTGTTTTGCCTCTTGAACTTCAAAATCGCCCGAGATCAGACAGAATAGTTTTGTCATGCAATGTAAGTAAACTCACAGAACTCTCAATGCTAGCAAGGTGCTGAGCGCAGAATAATATCGTAGCATAAGATGAGGACGTCGTCATGCTGATTTGGTGAGGGCAATGGTAATTAGCCCTTGAGGAGTACGATCGTCGAGTCATGGCCGGCGTAGCGCCGGGATGAGGGTAGTCCAGAAGGGTAGTCCAGAATTCACGCCCTTTGAAGCTAGGTGGACGACATGAGCGTCTGAAAGATTTGTAACTGACATCTCCGCACGGTCAGGGAGATCCGCCGCTAGACTTTATGAGGTTGACAGGACATACCAGCAGCCAAATTATAGTGATGAGACGCATATATGCGAGCGGTTTGACCAGAATTATGTTGTTGTCCTGAGGAGGGAGTGTGCTGCGCGATTTATCGAGCATGATGGTACTATAGCTGAGGCACAGCAAAAGGACGCATATATGCTGGTCATCTTACCACATTGCGCTACTTTCGGCCGAGATGATTGCTATTTCGTCGCAGAGTATGAGTATCCCAATCGACTAGCCCGCTATCGTCGGGAACAACGTAAGAAGGATGGTCAAGAACCTGTTACGCTGCTAATGGAGGTTATTTGCGCGCAGAGAAACGGCAAGACGCACTGATACCTGATGTCGTACGCCCTTGTTGATTGAAGCCCTTTTGCAAGGGCGTCAATACGGGGATCCGCGCAATAACATGTACGAAGGCCAGGGCTGACATAACTTCGACAGCAAGGCTATGAAGAAGCCAAATGGATAGTACATGCGCCACATCTGATATGTAGAGGGATGGTGCTGGATTGCTGCGGGTCCGGCTGAGTCGCATAGAGTCACATCAGTGGCTTAGAGGGCTAGGCAAAGACTTTCCGTGAGAGCGATGGAGGACCTGTGCATACATGGAGCGCCTTGTGAGTGGGTCCTTCCACATCGGAGTCCACCAAAATGGGTGATTGACCAGGTAATACCGTAGATCTGGAACGGGATAAGCGACTTGAATCGCTGTGGAAAGGGTGTATGCATCAGGACCACAGAAATGATGCGTAACGCGGGTTACCCGGAAGATGCGCAAATTTGATTTGATGACGTACCTTTACTTGGAAACCCCGGCTTCATGGAGTCATTGCAAGTTGAGCGAATACGGGCCTATGCTTCCATTGACACAAGGTGAGGAATGAGGGGGAGTGGGTGTAAATGCTCATATGTATGGAACCAGCCGTCGCTAGGAGCGATGAATTATCACGATTATATGAGCCGTAAGCATCATTGTATCCTGATGTGTTGCACTGCGCCCATTCCACACATCTGCTGCATAGAAGAAAATTGCACGTTCACGTGTAATCTGAAGGAGTCAGTCGTAATCTCGATATTGTTCGCAAGGACGGGTATTCCAAAATGTACGAGTAACGCTGCCGAAGGACGAGTCAGACAACCTTTCTCGTTCTTATTCCTCTCGATGCTGTGACAAATAGGTCGATAGCACCTTGCCAATGATCGATGAACACAGCAATGAATGCAGTGAGCAGAAAGGTCGGATCATGATCTTTCTGGAGTTCCCGGAGCTAAACCTATCCATGGACATCATTGACGGCATGTCCATAGCGGATACCGGATCATCATTAGTGGTCCCATTGCTTCTGAACAGCTTCACTGACCTAGACAAACCCGGTCATGAAGCTCCATTGGAAGGCGACGGTGTACATGCAATATTCCGTTGTCTAAAAACTTGTACTGTTGAGCTAGCGCAACTGTCCGGACAAACTGTAGGCAGTGCAAATCCCAGTAGTGCAAGCATCCGACACCCACGGAGATAAAACGGGGCGCTGCTAGGATACCGTCGTAACTCGCCGCAACATCACACGATGGCAGAGCCTCAGTGCCTGCAGGCAGGCTTCAGCCCGCTGAGGATTCCTCATTAACTAATATCCGCGTAGCGCGCGCATCATTTGAGGTCTACGGGCGCTGAACAGCGCTATCAGACCGCCCAGGAAGCGGGAAGCTGGGAGTGACGTCGAACGCCCCGGCGGTGTAATTGCCCGGTAAATTGTCTCTTCCACAACCAACGTCCTGTCTTTGAAGTATGGTAGCTCCGTAGTGCGATCCACGGCGCAGGTTTCTCCGATACCACGACGCCATCCTTGGACAAGGAAATAGACGTTACACGAAAGTTTGGTGGACCTGTGACAGGTCCTGTCGTATTGGTTGAGCTACTTTGCGAGTGAATCCGGCAGATGGTGAGTAACAGCTCCACAGATTGCGGACGGTGAACTCGGTTTGGCCTGTCAAACCATGGGCGCTGAGGCTGTCCTCCTAGGAAGAGGGCGTACATTACCTCTCATTTACTTGTCAATTTCTGCCATTCCGGTAATGAAAGAGTCACCCGTGCTACGCCGTCGCTGATCATTGTGTGAGCCTTGACAACAGGAGCGCCATGTTTACAAGCATTAGGATGCTCCCACAGAATAGCGACACTGGAAGAGGCGCTTCGAATACTGTTGAGCCTCACTAGGTGTTCTTCGAAGAGTTACAATGAACAGTATAAATGAACAGTATAAATTCTAGTGTTCGGCTAAAGATTTATGGCGTCACGGTACGCTGCAAAGACCGTGCCAGACTGTCACTGCCATCTGCCATCAGTCGAACTTCATCTCGATCGGAGATCAGATCTGCTACTCGGCGTGTTCCGATCAACCCACACCGTGAATTGAAGCGCCTGTGTGGCCCAACCTTGATGTCCATCACGGCACGCGGTACCTTGCGGCAAAGCAGGCCAGAGAACTTTCGTAGAGCAAAATATGGTAACGTAACGGCGAATTTTGAAGGTTCCCAGCTCGGCGCCCGTGCCGATCAGTCTCAGCCATTGGCAAGTAGTACTGTCAGTCGATGCTGTACTCGCCGCCAGGCGAAGGCTGTTCCTGCAGATGAGCCAAGAACCGGATGCCTGTATGCCGGTGACCAGCGTTTCCCGAGGATTTCCCCGCGCCATACTCTGCGATCTACAAGAGGAGCTCCTCAACCAACTTCTCCAGTAGGGACAAGCAGACAGCGACGTATTTGGACTGTCTGATGTCACCTTTCGGTCCCGGGCATCTTTTTGATGCAGCCGCAGTTATAAAGGCTGCTGCTGCACACTTCCCCTGCATTCCAACATGTCTCAGCCACTAATCACCCTGTACGACATTCCCTCGACCGTGCCCCAGCCATGGGCTCCGAATATTTGGCGTATACGGTTTGTTGAATGAAAATGACCACGGCTTATTTGTGGCTGATATATTCTACTACGAAAAAGATTTATTCTGAACTACAAACGTCTGCATTATCGAACTGTCTGGGTGGAACTCTCCGACGTAGAGACAACACTACGTGCCATACGCGCTCCCCAGAGTTCGGTCAGGAGCGACGGTAGAGCTATATATTCCCTTCCAGTAATTGTGGACGCTTCACGGTCAAGGAACTCTCCTACTATCCTATCAAATGCAAGCACCATCGCAGAATACCTCGAAGTCACATATCCAGCACGCCCCATTTTCCCAGAAGGTTCACGCGCATTGCAAAGCCTTTTCGTCCACTACATCCAGGAAATCTTCGCAAAGCCGCTACTCCCAATTCTGGTACCTCTGACCCACCAGACGCTCCCGCAGCGCAGCCAGATCCACTTTCGCAGCACCGGCCCTGGTCCCCAGCTGTCAGGCGCGCAAAAGGAGCAAGCCTGGCAGGCCGTCAAGGAGCAGTTCGACTTCCTCGCTGGAATATTGGACAAGAATGCCGGCACTGATGGAGACGGTACGGTCGCGATGGGCCGTGACGTGAGCTATGCGGATTTTGCGCTGTGTTCCGTGCTGTGAGCGTCCCGTCGAAGTCATCCAGTCATCCAGTCTCCCCTCATTTGTCTCGTTTATTAGGATCTGGATTGAACGGGTATCACCGCACGACGGCTGGATCCGTATCAGACAATGGAACAGTCACCGGTGGACGAGGCTGTGGGACAGATGCAAGAGCTACATGGATGTGCTGTGACTTCATATCGCAGACTGCTGGGATTTCTCTCCATTCCACCTATATTATTATCGTTAATTAGCTGCATAATCTCCTCCCGGTATAGACCGCAATGTATAGAACTACTAGTACTTGTAACGCGAGGTTATTGATTTCACCTTTGTGGAGATAGTAACAGCGGTGATTGGTGATTAGACGGTCAGAAAATAATCTTGGAGAAGCGCATGCGACATGATAGTGACTCACACAGTGGCTATGAGACGAAGTACTAACAAGTACACTTACGGTTCTTGCCATGGCCCATGATCATATAGGTGCATGCATTTGAGTTCTCACGGGACATGGCATGTTCGGAAGTACTCATGCACCGCAGTTATCAATATATATATATACATTCTGAGCAAAGCTCACCAGTTCAGATGCTCGGATAATGCCTGCTGCGGGGAAGCCAGGATAGTAGTAGTGGCCTGTGGCTGAAGAATCCTAATCACGATCACGTGCACCGTGTCAACGCGTCGCGTGATCTTGTCCATGGGCGCCCGTTTGTCGCGAAGTTTGCTGCAGAGCCCATGGGGTGTCCCCTGAGATGCTGCCGTTCGACTCCCACAAATATGCAACAAAATGCCAGTACTTGCAGTAATCGGCGCACTGGTACTCCCAGGTTCTGTACATGCAGAGCATGGAGGCCGCAGGGCACTATGCTACACACACACAAGGAACTCGACGACATCTTGATCTCCAAGCTTTCCTAAGCATCTGATGTTCGCCAAAGTTTTAGGTCATACATTCTACAGAGCACCGGCGATGCTGTCGTACTAGAATCACGGCACAATTACCGCACGGAAGCGCGCCGAGCTACGGTGATCGTACGCGTCGTTCGCCTTATCGAGCGGGAAGGTCTCCACCAAACACTTGACGCCGTGAGCCTTTACAAACTTGACACAATCCTCGCTATCCGCCGCCACACCGCTTGGCCAGCCGCGGATCGAGAGACGCATGCCGATCAGCATACCTGGTAGGTCACGATGTCAGTCTATGCGCTCAGCTGCATTTGAGAACGCCCACCAAGCGGGATGGACGCCTCCTCGGTGATGGCGAGGACCAATAATTCGCCGTTCGCTGCGAGCGCCGGGAGGAGCGAGCGGATGATTTCCGGGTTTGGAGCAGTGCACATGATGAGGCGCGCGCCTCCGAGCTTCTTCAGGGCTTCTGCCTGGCTCGTCTTCGACCCATCGATGTATATTTCCGCTCCTAAGCTAGTGGCGAGCTCCTCCTTTGCGGGGGACGACGAGAGCGCGACGACCCGGAAGCCCATCCGCTTCGCAAATTGAATGGCAAGGTGACCCAAACCTCTGTGAGAGAGAATACGCTGAGAAGTAGTGGCAAGCAGCATAGGCTAGATTTATTACCCTATGCCTTGGACAGCAACGAAGTCTGGCGGCGTACACGACATGTGACGGAGGGAATCTGGAAGTGGAGTTAGCGGTGAGGACGATCGGACTATCCTCGGAACGCACTGAAAGTGGTGACTCCTGCACAGAGGAGCGGAGCGACCTCAGCAGGGTTCATACCATCCGGGATGTCAACAACAGCCTCAGTTCGCACGGTTACATACTCTGCGTAACCGCCGTGTCTTGAAATACCTGTACACGTAGCATTCGTTCAGCGACATAATAAGCATCAAGGCCTGTAAGAGACCTACCGTTGATATCTTCTTCGTCGCAGGTAATGTAATCGCCAACGGCACAGCGATCGCAAGCGAAACAGTGTCCTCCGTGCCAGCCACTGCCGACCCGCTGGCCGACCTTCCACTTCTTCTCGGTGGGAGGGATCGCTACAACGTCGCCCACGATCTCGTGCCCCGGCACGATGGGATACGTCACCTGGGGCATTCCCTGGTGCTTAGCAATCTCGTCGCTAGCAAAAGACTATCAGGGATGATTACAATGGTTCAAGATGTGGTGGGAACTGACCTTGCGCAAACACCGCATGCGAGAACCTTCACCACAATCTCGCCCTGCTGAGGGTCCTTCCAGTCGAAGATAATTTGCTCAAGGGGCCCTCCTTTCTCCGTGAAGCCATATGCCTTGTAGGTCTTTGGATGCGACATGGTTTTCTGGGATGTGTGGATGGGTGGAGTGGATGGGTGGACTCTCAGGGATGTCAACAGGGAGTTGTGCGGTGTTGCACGCCCTACTGCTCGAATAAAGCGAGAGCACCCCTTATATACGGTCTGCAGTCACTGTTAGTCAGGCCCTGGCACCATTAAGGGACGGGTAAAAATAACGGGCATGATGCAAACTCCGACTTGCCTTCCGGAAGATCGCACAGAATTCAAATGCTCGGGCCGCATGTGGGCGATCCTCCATCAGAACTTCGCTAAACTCGATTCAAGTTTCCCAAGCTGCCCGAATATGTGCGCGGTTGTTTCTTGCTCACTGCTTGCTTAGCCATCATGCAAGCAGACTCGCACAGTTCCGACTCTTATGTAAATGCTTCTGCGCGCGCGCATGCCGCCGAAAATGCAGCCTGCGAGTCCGCGTTTCGCTTCTTTGCGAGTTACGCATTTCACGCTCCTGATCTCGGACATAAAATGACGTCATGTGCAATCCGTGACATTCCGACAAGATGTTATGTACATAGCTCCTAAGATTGCACGTCGACCCCCACTGTGTGATCCGATATGAAATGCATGAACCTGCCAAGGAGCAAAATCGGAGTTCTATGAAGTAGATTATCCCATCACTAGCGTCCATGGACCGCTAGATCTCCGACTTCGCCTGGCCAGCCGAAGACCGGGCGGAGTGAACCCGATTCCACAATGAAGTGCGCGACTATCATATCAGAAACACGGACAACAAATTGATCAGCCCGGATTGATAGGAGAGCATCGATCAATGTGTACAGTTGCGCGTCCGTACGTTCGTAGCGATGCTTCTGCAGTTGTTGTGGGCAAACTAGCTCGAGTCGTAAAGCAGCCAGAACCTCGTGCATGACAAGATTCATATACTACTTTCATAATAGGCCTATCGCGGTTTCACTAGTCTGCCCAATCTCACGCTATCCGCGGAAGCCGTCCTGCCGAGAGGTTTGCACTTGTGTGAGACAAAACGTGTCCAGTTCGGAATCATTGTCGCATGCAGCAGCAATCTTGCGGGAGCTTACCACTATATAACGTAAGTTCCGCCGTCATCTAGAGTCTCACTCGGGGCTCCTTATCGCCAGAATGTTCTGACCCTGTCTTGTTCCACAAAGGCTCATTCGGAATTTAAAGCTGCATGAATTCAAGTTTTGAGAACCGTGATCGAGGAATGGAATTCTGTGCACCATTGGGCCACAGGTGTCTGAACAATTGAGTCGTCGACTCCTATAAGTTAATCGGCCAACTTTGGCCGCGGCAACAACCGTTGATAGCTGCGTTCATTGCTTTTCCGTTCAATAACACTGCTTCCAAAACGTGAAAAGTATTGATCCTAGCAGGCGCCGTGCAGGCTTGAGATCCCAAAGCGTTCTCGATGTCGAAAGCGTTGAATGTTCGCAGACTGCCTGATGTATGGACCGTGACCTACCTCCACGTGATTGTGACGCGTCGTGTTGTGGCGTGGAATGTCCGAGCGCTAACGAGTTCACGCAGCGAGAGACATGCGGGACTCCTCACGATGCTTTTCTCTCCCTCCCTCTCCATCGTGTACCAGTATCCGTAAACTTGGATCTCTGGACATACAACAAACGAATCTATGTCTCAATTACAGAAGGACAGCCCGAAGTCATATTTACAATCCTCTATAGTTCGAACCGCCATCAGCACTCAGAGCATGATGAGGAACAAATGAACAAGATCTGAGAATGAGCATGCTGACTTCCGGATATATGCAACGTTACATGGTAGGACTGATATTCTCTACGCTGATAGTCCAGTCCTCATCTGGAAATCCTGGAGCCTCGCCCGAGCTGCCATCCCATCCTCTCGCCATCATCGCAACAGCGTACAAGAGACCTCCCGCACCCGGAAAGTACGGCGTTGGGACCTGGGCGCCTCCAGTTGGCATGCCTACGTCGTCGAATTCGTAGTACTGGTTAAGCAGCCATTCTACAGCTTTCTCCGGATCGCCGTTGCGCGCTGCGGACATCGCCAGCATCGGAAAGTCCCATCTGCAAACATGCAGCCTTTAATGTCAGGACCAGACTTGGGGAGCACCGGAAGACGTACCCCCATATATTGCTGATATTCCAAGTTGTCCACACTCTCTCAGCCGTCTCCTTGGCGATATCGAGGCTCAGGTTCGCAGTCTGAGGTAGCCAACCATACAAGCCCACCAGAGCTGGATGGCTGTTCGTATACTGCGTGGTAGCCCAGAAGTTGCTCTCGATTCCTTCGTACACAGCATACAGGCCATCTTCTATTGGAAGCGGCGCGAGGTGTTCCCTGACCTCCAACCATGCCGGCGGTGCCTCTTCTCCCAGGCGCTCCATCCACGTCTGTGCCATGTCCAGACCAAGCCTCCAGTACGCCAACTCAAACGCTGGATTGCGCGTCACATTTGGGCTAGTATCTTCGCTGACCACGTACATCGGCGGCCCGAGATCATAGACGTCCGTGCTATCATTGTACTTCGCATAGTCTGCCATCCAATCCGCGGTCTCATACACGACGTCCCGCCACCTCTGCAGGGTCTGCTTGGATTCCGTGGCACGATACTCGTACTCTGCGAACACGAGAGGATGCGGCTGCTGCCAGATGAGAAGCTCGTTGATCTCGCCTGGCGCCGAGCGCCCTGATGGGTCTGTCATCTTTGGCCAGCGCGCTCCGTATTTATACCCTTCCTGGTCCTGTGCGCGCTCGATAGAGGTGGCGAGGAAGCGGTGATACACGTCGAGCGATCGATTCAGCAGGTCCCAGTTGCCCCACAAGGCCCAGTGGCAGCTGTGCCAGAAGTACATCTCCATGTGGAACTTGCCATACTGATTGACTTGATGAGCTCTTTCTATTGCCACGGCCAGACAACGTGTCAACACTCACCCAGCCATCATTGACAAGCCCTGACTGCGTTCGGTCAGTATTCGAACAGATTACCTCTCAAAAAATCGAGACATCGACGTACCTCCTGCGGAGGTGTAAAGCCCGCTTCATTCACTCGCATCAAGTAGCGCGACAGAATGATTCTTCGTTGCAACTCATCTGCCCGAGGATCAACAGAACCGCTAATAAGATCGACGAAGCCGTTCATCGACCAGTACTGTTTCCATGTCGCAACACTTTCCTCCATCATTTCTGCAGTGAAGGGAATGGACGACAGTTGCGTCAAAGAATATGCAACCGAAGTCGAGAACGATGTCGAGTTCGCAGATGGCCATATGCTATATCGATGGAAATGGGGCGAGTCCCGCAATATTGTGAAGCCATCGCCGCCGCCGATGGATGTGAAGAACGTTGCTGCAACTTCTGTATGGTTAATCTGTGCTTGGACGTTTCCTCCGAGACCTCTCCAAATCTCCAAAGACGTGGTGTGGCCGGCTGTATTGTTCCAATATCCGACAAAAGGCGCTTGAAATTTATCGGAACCATCATTCCAGGGGAAGTCCAAGAACAGGCCCAAGCGGTCTTCCTGGAGAAGTCCCGAGCTGATTGTAATACCGACCGTGCTACTGCTCTGCGCGGCGTACGTTTGAACCGTTACTCTCTGTCCTTGCCAAACGAAGCTGCTCGTGATAACTCCAGTCCACAGATCCAGTTCCTGACGGGTGTCACTGGTATCCGCCTCCGTCACATCCGTCAACTCCCCGTCCTCGTTCCTGAACAACAGCCCGACGCGTCCCAGATTTGCTCGGTTAGGATCAGCGATGAGCCACTGCTGCGGCGCTGCGGCGCCACCAAACTCGTACTGCACTCCATCCCATACCACGCCGCGATATGTCAAGATGTCTTGCGTGGTCACGCCCGCGGGCAGGCTGTCGTTCTTCCAGCCCCAGTCAGACATGACCGCCCAAGGCTGGAAGGTCTGCAAGCCTGAGACGTCGGCGCCAAACGCGAAGAAGCCATTGCCTACTTGCATAGGGGTGGTGCTGCTCGAGGCATTTCGAACTGGGTTGTACCGTGAGACGATGGCTCGACGAGGAATGGATGCGACTGCAACACATAAGGAGGCTAGCCATATGAACATGAGGTATGCTCCCAGAGCAACCATCATCATGGCGGGGGATGGTTAATCTGACTCTCTCTCGGGCTCGAGCTATCTCTGTTATTTATATCCCATACTTTGGTGAGCTTCGTGCACATCAGCAAGCGGACGACGGCGAAATAGTTCTGCTAGCAGGTGACAGTGGTGGCGGTCCGTAAATCCTGGTTTGGGGCATGTGACCATGTGCTACAACGTCCATCCCGAGTATCCAGCGGACCGTCTGGGATAGGATGGTACGTCAATCACTTAAACGTCATTATCTCATGTATTCTGAGTAGTTGTCACAATGTACGGTCAACACGGTATAGATGATCGAAGGGTCTCTGATGATCAATGGTCTGACATGCTCAGTGCGAGCCAATATGCATATCCTATTATCCGCAAATACTGCATACAGCTTGTACTTCAACGTCCACTATCAACCTCGTGGATAGAACTTGAGTCTGTCTGGTTCCACGTCAGTCGACCTCCAGATCTGCTCGAACGCGTCCACATTTTCCTGTATAGTGTTGATCTTCCACCGCAGTCGTTCCCCAGAGTCCGTCCCCAGAGGTACCCGCAACCACTCCCTCTTACCCCCTTAACTCTCAACCAACCCTTGCGCCATTCCAACCCCATGCACAACTTCATAAATCCTCGCTGATAGTTTCACAACGTCGCCAATCTGGCCATCCCTGACATGTTGTTTCGGCACCTCCTCCAAAGTGCGATATCCTTGCGATGGATCCGTATAAACTTTGGAATCCGAGTCGTGGGAGAACAACGGAGCTGTCTGGAAGAAGTTCGTGGAGAAGTATCCAGGCTCGATGATGAGGACGCGGATCCCGAAGGGTGCAACCTCCTGGCTCAACGCGTCCGAAAAGAGTTCCAGAGCGGCCTTGGAGGCGCAGTATGCTCCCCATGATGAAAAGCCACTGAGACCACAAACTGACGAGACATTGAAAATCTGACCGCTTCGTCGGGCCCGGAAAGAAGGCAGTAAGGCTTGAACAAGTGCAATCGCTCCGAAAACGTTCGTTTGGAACTGCGCCCGCATGTCATCGAGACTGCATTATCACAATTAGCAGTGCTTGCTTGCGACACAGCATGGTAGACTTGCTTGAGCTCTTCCACTGGAGCCACAACGCCATACGCCGCGTTGTTCACTAGAACATCGATATGTCCGTATACCTTCAGCGCCTCTTCTCCGGCGCGGCGTATGTCTGCATCGCAAGCGTTGAGATCGAGCACGAGAGCCTTGGCACCCGCATCGCGCAAGGTATCGGGAAGCTTCGAGAGCGATCGCACTGTGGCTACCACCTACGAAGTGAGCAGTTAGCATGTCGCCTACCTCCCGTAATAGATCAGCTTTACATGATCTCCCTGTAAGAGCACGTACTGAGCCAGTGAGAGCCCAATTCCTGAACTTGCACCGGTAATGAGCCAGACTTTTGCAGGCATGTACACGAAATCGGGGTTGAGGCTTTCGCACAAACACGAGGAATTTATACGAATGCGAGGTACCTCTTTCGCGCGATGCGTCAGCGATGCAGATATGAGCCCTTGGCTCTCTGGGATACAGGTTGACTCAACGTCGGCTTTCTTAGGAAAGCTCAAATCCGACACACTTTTATCCGCTTGCCGTCACCAAAAATACAATAAGCTCGAGAAAGTCTCAGGACGTTCTTGTTACGAACCTCTTTCTGGGCTGCAAGCTACTTATTGTGCATTTCTTCGCTTGTACAAGCCATTACCGGCAAGAACAAGTCAAAAAGGAGGTTTTCGAGCCACAAGTCGATTCGAGTTTTCCTAATGAATGAGACCCACCCTTGGTCCGAGAGCGCCCTTTTCGCAACCGTGCTCCGAAATCCGGATCGAAGACATGCGCAGCCACTCCCGCTTTTAGTCCTGCTTCAACCAGATCCCTGAGCCAGCCCTGTTCCACGTACAACCTCGTATAGCTTCTGCATGCAACGTCGCTGGTCTAGCCGCTCGTGAGATGACGGCGGGCACGGCTCCGAAGAAGTTCAGTGATAAGGGGGCGGATCTTGAATGGGACGGCTGTGTCGGCAACGACTCCAAAAAGGCTTCGAGAGCAGCCTTGAAGGTACTATACGCACCCATGACGGCGAAGGGAGCCACACCAACAATGGAAGGGACGTTGAACATCCTGCCACTTCTGTATGTTCGGAAGGACGGCAGCAATAACTGCGAGAGTGAGCGAGATCACTCCGCAGACGCTCGCTTCGAACTGGATCCTGACAACGCTTGGCAATGCTATGGATCACAGTCAGCATCGCATCGAAGTTCAGACACATGTACAAATCCACCTCAGCCCTTCTACTGCGGCGATGATAGCCATGTACTGCGTTGTTCGCTAGAGGGACGTGCCACAGACCTTCAATGCTTCTTCACCGCGGCATACGTCACTGTCGGAAACATTGAGATCGAGCACAAAAAGCACTTTACCGGTAATTTGTAAACCCTCGGGCGATCTTTCGAGCGCCTTATCGTGGAAACTACCTAACGATACACATATTGTTAGTGCGCCACCACAAGAATAGTTAGTAATGGGCCCTTACACGATCCCCTTGCGAGAATACCTACTTCGATACCACAAGCCCGTGGCCGAAGTGCTCATCTGTCAGAGGCCTGATGTGATGATGAGCTCACTTCTCTAAACAAAGAGGCGCTTACTAGTCTTCACCACCTCGGCATCGGAGCGCCCGCTTTTACTCAATCACTCCACGATCCGGAAGTACGTCTCGTCAGATTACAAGGATGCCAGCGAGGACGTGATACCATTGTCGCACGGCCATCTTGCGCTCTTCCTAAGTTCATAGGGTACAAATGCGTTAATTGGACCCAATAACCTCCGAATTAACCTAAGGCTACAAACCGATAGCGCTACATGCGTTGTCAAACCTAAGGAGAGTGCAGGAACTTCGTTCCAAGCTGCTGACAATCTCGCTCGATCGAATACATCTCCATCTCCATATCAAGGTCCCCTTCTACGATCTCTGATGCATCGGTCCCGTTCTGTCGTCGAGCATTCCAGTATGGCGTGGTCAGGGCCGCCTCGGACGAGACCATGGAGAACGAGTCAGACACGAAGTCTACGCTGCACCGCGAGGCGGAGAACCCCTTGAGGTTCAGGACTAATCGGGATCCTGCAACGTTCACCATAGCCAGAGCGAAGCTATGAAGAACTTGAGTGACAGCAATAGGAGCGAACCAGTGCCGCACGTACTACCGAGCGAGACCGAGGAACGCAGGACCCGCTAATGCCCAGACGCTATAGAAAGATGCATAAACGTCTCCATCTTCGAGAACAGCGTGGCAACTTACAGTAACGACAGTAGCGAACAAACTGCTCAGGATTGTTAGCACGTTGCAGACAGGAACACAGTTGACGAAGATCGTACCAGTCACAGCAACAAAGTACAACATTCCTAACAGCACGTGGATCAGAATGATCAGACTAATCATTATCGTGCATGAACTGCGAGGCTCACCATCACGGTATAATAAAAGAGACAGACTACTGAATGATCGACGTCTTTCTTGACGAAGCATGGCGACAACTGTGAGAACAAAAAGGAGTGTTTCGAAGACGACGCTACCGTGACGTTGAGCACATACATGTACGAGCGCGTCGGCGAGGAGCCTTACCTTGGCAACCAAGCCGTCCACAGGTATGAAGGAACCTGCGAGTGGTCACGACCGGTAGTAATTCGGAAAAAGAGCGGACTTACGGAGCTGACACATTGATGATGTTCGGGTTTCAAGTGGCCTAACGGCAAGTGAGCCAGATCGTTCTTAGGGAGGCGGAACGACTTACGGATGATCGGCACCAGCGACACTGTGATGATCGCAGTAGAGCTCGATACATAGAGCACTGCTGCAGTACACAACACTCTCCTAATCCATGCTTCCCCTCCATGCAGACAATAGAGGCGCCATGCGACGATGGCTGAACAGAGTGATTGGTCGTCAGTACACGTAATGCAGGCCAAGGAAGTCTTCGATGGTTCTTACCGTGGATAGACATAAAGGAAGCGATCGTCAGATAGCCTTGCAACACTGTCCAGATCTTGCAAAACTGGCCGGCATTGTCAACAGAGGATCGAACCGGGCATATGCATAGCACGTACCAAGACGGAGGACGGGTTACCACTGAGGCCCATCGCCTCTGAACGACAACCTCAGAAAGCCATCGCTTCAGCGTGAAGTAGGGAATGCGTACCGTAGATGTCGATGACTAGCACAAGAGGGCTGAGAGAAGACCAGAATAAACTTGTGTAGGAGCGAACGAAAGATGAGCTCGCACACTATGTATCGGTTCTCCATGCGCGAAGAAGCATATTGAGTACGCTTCATGCGCTCAATAGTACAGACGGACAATAGCTTACGAGCAGAAATATGACCGATACAATCCCCATTCGCGCCCTCCATATGTAGTTCACCTGGAATTATACGATGCGCTCAGTTTGCTGCAACTTATGGACGTGCATTGTGATTGACCTCCTCACTGAACTATGAGACATCTCCGTAAGCTTAGAAAGAAGAGGCTGAGGCATTCTCACTCACCGTCAGGACATGATCGTAGATGAGGACCGTAAATCCAGCCACTGGGTGGCGAAACTGACTCAGGCGCACGTCCACCACGTGTATCAAACGTCACTCACGAGTCATGGCACTAGCAAGACATGAGCATGGCACCGGCAAAAAGGGACGCTAAGGCTTACTTGACGGCAGCCTCATCCCTGGCGAGTGCCTCCAGGTACTCCAAGCTGGATGTAGACATCGTCGATGTCGCGCACTTACCCGACCAGATGGTAGAAAAGACGGACCCTGGATGGATCGACAAAGCGCTCCGGTGCTACTTATGCTATTGTGTTTGCGCCCGGCCTGCTTATCCGCTGGAGTTCCGGGATGAACGCGGTAGCTCCCTCGAGCGCTTGAAGGAATCCGGACTAGAAAAGTGGACCGCATGCCTCACGAACCCCGCGATTATCTACCCGACGAGACGCATGCTGTGCTGGGCTGCGCGCCACAAATCGTCAGAGACACCCCCGCCTCGAGGCGGCCTCAGCTCCCCCCGGCTGCTATCGCCAATCTGCGCGCATAGATCAGGGGAGGCGGTGAAGAGGACGGTCATATACATCAGCATCGGGGCGGTGTAGCTGCCATGTCGCGCGTGCGAACGTCCCAGAGCCGCTGTGAACGCAGACGCATGTTCTTCCCCCCTTTCCGGGAAGCTGAATGGCAAGGAAGATCATACATCGCGGAGGTAACATGGGCGGAAGCAAATTTGATCAGAGGCAGTCTAAGGACACGTGTTAGATACAGACCGAATATAGCGTTCAACGGATCACGCTGCAGTCAAGAACCCTCTGAATGCAATTGCAACGGTCTCTAGGAGCAACGAATCCGCAGAAGCCAGCATTTCTAGGAACCAACGTTCCGATGCGAACCATGAACTGTTCCGTGGTCTTGTCAGGAACGACGCACATGCTCATACCAGGACATGATAAATATATCATGCACACTGTGTGAACGAACGATGTCATCAAGCGGTTCCCGTATGATGAATATACGTGATAGCTGGGTATAGCTTGGGCGAGAAGCACTGACATGGGAGCTCAACTTCCGTTTAGCACGAGTCGAGGTGCAGCTCGGGCATCATAGCCTCTGAAGCAGCACGCAGATCAGCAAGCGGGCTCGCCTGAGTCTGAGACTGCATGTTGACGATTTGCCCAACTTGCCAATGGCAGCTGAGATAACTCCTGCGGTCTCGCCAGGCGAATGCACGCTCCCCCCCAGTAAAAATATAATAAAATAACTTTCCACATGCATGCTTACCCATTGAGTCCCTGCATTGATTCGAATTTCGCGCATTCGTGTTTGAGCGCATCGCTGTAGATACAGTATGCACGCACGCTTTGGAAATGTTATGATCTGCAAGGGAGTGGCCACGATTATTGCAATTGAAGGCAGCAGTGTATATCCCGGCCGGCAGGCGCCGTAACTGGCCGGGACAGTAGCGGAAATGACAAGTGCACTTGCCCGACGGCGCCGTCTCGGCCCGGCGCACATGGGGCACAACGGCGGGCAGTCCGGACTGCTCGCATCCTGCACTCAGCATGGAAGGCGTTCGACGCTGGCGATAGCATGCAGGAAGCACAAGAGGCCCTTGAAACATACAAGAAGAAGGATGCCGCGAAAGGTGTGCTCCTTGTGGCCTTTTAGCTGTGGACGATGCCGCTGAACTGAAAGCCACGTCGCAGTGGTGGTGCGATTCAAGGCGGTTGGGAATGCACCCATCATGAGACAGAACTTCTACAAGATTACATCCACGAACAAGTTTCAGGCTGTGATACAGTTCTTGAGGAAGGAGCTTGGCTGGAAAGCTGGGGACCCGCTGGTGAGTGTGCCACTCGTTGTGAACGATTGAAGCCTGTTGAGCGGTTGCAGTTCACGTACATAAACCTGGCATTCTCCCCCGCCCCAGACGACACTGTATCCAATCTGTATAAAGTAAGCGACTGCTGCTGTTGTCTTGCAGCCTTGTTGACCGGTTCATTGTCTACCGCAGTCATTTGCGACGGACGGGCACCTCATCGTCAATTACAGGTGGGCTACCTATGCATACATGACCGTCCTCGTATTTCTTGGTACTAAAATTACGCAGTACGACAGCAGCATGGGGCTGAGTTCTGCTCGTGTCACGCCTCGCCGCTACGTTTCCTTCTTGCCATGTACAGGTTCTGTTTCCCGGTAATGCTATATGCAGGTCGCACTTCCGACGTTAGATGTCATATAGACCACCGATGACACGACACAGGAACTTATAGTTAAGTCTAGCAGCCATCTGGCTCTTGAAGGTGTGACTTATGCTTTGTTGTGATTAAGTTTATTTCTACGAGCAAGGAACACATTGCATTTGCAGTGCATGAACTATGACCTCCTGAAAGCGATATCGTCTTCCGCTGCACAAAAATCGTTATATTGACTACACTATTGCGCCAGTTCTCAATATCTCTGCATCCCAGGGAGTACTTATGCCGTGACGTGTTGCGAACGCAGAGTACTGAGCATATACTGTGGCTGGCGACCTCTCAGTGTATGTCACCTGCGGGCATGGCACGATTGGGAGCGCCGTACGGCACGCAGTCCGGGCACTTCAGAGTCATCAACGATGCCTGGTGGTATCATAGGGCCGTCGTACATATTGCTACTTTGTCTGCACGGGCTTCCACACCTCTGCGGATGATGTGCAAGAGTATTCGCCTAGCTGCGCTTTGTGATCTATCGACTGCATGATGATTTCTTCGTGCGTCCCATGGAAAACTTCGATACCGCGGGCGAGGAAGAATTGCCACACTTCAGGTTGGCCAAACATTTCTGCAAATGTTCCGCCGATTACTGACGAGTCCCCTTCGAACGTCGTTGATTCTCAATGTCAACGTTCAGTGATCATGCTGTGTGAACCTGAATGGTCGTCCCAACATTGAGCTGTAGGCGATAGATTTTCTAACATCCACCAGAAGAGGTGTAGAGGTTCAAGGTAACATTTCGTTCTGTGGCATTGTTTATGTCATGGCCTGATACTCGTCCAGAGGGAAAGGCTGCAGCTCTCTGAGAGGTATGAACGTAGACAGCATATCCGCCGAGCATTTCAACAGCTTCGTGACAGAGGGCATGCACTCCATCACTGCATCTGCTCGTACCGTCCAGCGGCGTCTGCGTCCGCATATGAGGGATATTGATGTCTTTGAACATTGATACGGACAGATAATCCACGAATTGAACTGGAAATCCATTCGCTGTGATGACTGTTGCTACAACGTGGACACGCATCGCATGCGCTAGGTGATGTACAAATGGTTATACGACTCCAACCAAGCCGAGTCCACAATCTGACAACGCACGTAGATATATCCAATAGACCTATACCAAGCCCTTCCGCTCACTCAACCCATACCTCCAGCAGATCAGAAGCGAACCGATCCAGCATATGGATTTGGAACTTCTCGCTCCATGGAGAATCGCCGAACTCGCGCATCCATGCGCGGCTCAGGCCACCCTCCCAAGCATACAGTTCGACGCGCCACCCCTTCTTCAGCGCGGTGCGTACGCATCCCAAGAACCCCTCTTCGTTAAACTGGCCTACATTGCCGTCACCTGTCGCGAGCACGATTGTCGCATTCGGCGGAACGACGTCCACGTCCACAATGGCTTGGTGCAGCTTCAGCTGTAGCAGCTCGTCGACGCCCTGCTCGCGGTAACGAGTTCGACTCGGAGTTCCTTGGCCCGTTCCCGTTCCCGTTCCCGTATCGGACTCGGTTGACGTCCCGTTCCCAACATATGAGCTCCGTTTAGAATTGTTGCGTATATGCCCGTCCCCGCGTCCGTTCCCGGTCGTCAGACCAGGGCTATGCCGCTCGGCATTCACGTAGGAATGCGAACGTGAGTGAGTATATAAATGCCGCCGATCCGCACCGTCACCTGTGTCGGGTACCCGTGCAAAGACGCGCACCTCGTAGCCGAGCTGCTCGGCGGTGCTGACAGGCTGGTATAAAGGCGACGATGCGACCATCACACGACGTGTGACGGGGCGGCCGCGCTCAAGGATGAGCGCCAGCGCTGCATGCGAGAGAAGTTTAGGCCGGTGGCGACCGAGATAGGACATGTGCCGGCGGATGTAAGATAGAAATCCAATAAGAATGTTTGAACTAAAATCCGTCAGCAATGGATCGCGCGTAAGTGAGAGATACACATACTGGTCAACAAATACGTGAATGAGGATATCGCGTGAGCACGGCTCCGGTCCGCGTGTGTCGACGAAGTCAGGAGAGGCGGTAATGACGCCTCCCGGAGCGAGCATCGTTCGGTGCAATGAGACAGCATCCTGTGGGAACAAAAGCCGCAGCTTGTGTGCAAGATTGCGCAGGTGCAGGACACGCGCGTCTAGGGGTATCGATACAGAGGGTATCAAGTTAGGTGTCGATTTGCTGTGATGCAGACGTGGCTTGTTGTCCTCCACCCCCGGATGCTGCAGGTATGCTTTATACAGATTACGCATTCGAGACCTGCCGTCTCTCATTAAGACGCGAGGGGAAGAAGACTGAATGGATGACGATGAGTATTCGTACGGCTCGTCCGCGTCGGCATCTTCGCCTGCAGTGGCATCGCCCGCTATCGCCCCAGTCAGGTCCAGGTCACGATCGGGCACGCGTACGCGAGAAACATCATGGACAGAACGACCCTTCTTCTTTCGACGCTTGCGCCGCGGCTGGATGACGTGTCTCCAGACACTATCCGACGTCGTGGTAGTCGTCGCCGGACTGACATTCTCGCGGAGAGTCCGATCACGCTGTGCCACGAATCTCGCACGTTCTGCGGCGATAAAGTCGAGCGCCTCGTCGAGGTAGCCGAGTGACGGCTGATCGATTGAGGACGAAAAGTCAGCCTCCAGCTCCAGTGATTCATATTTGTCGGCCTCAGAGGCAGTCGAATCGCTCTCTGATGGCGGAAGCGAACGCCCGCGAGAGACACTGTCCGGTGATGAATACGACAGGTATGATGAGATCGGATGTGATGGCCACACGGTGGAGCTAACTGGTGCTTCAGAGTCCGAAAGCGAAGGTGAGAAGGCGAGTGAGGGTGCAACGGGCGTTCCATGGCGGACGTTAATGGGGCCGGTACGCGGTTGTAGAACATTCAATGCTCGGAATACAGTCGTGAAGGCACCGAGGTCAGGTGCATCTAGAATGATTGAGATCAGCGTTGTTCCGTGCGTGACGTGAATGTGTGAAGGTCAATGAATGGTGTGCCCGTCACGACTGTACAAGCCACGTAGTACAGTCCACTACATGCAGAATCATGCTAAAAATGGTCGCCATCTTGGGTTCATTATGAGCATCTGCACAAAAAGCAAACCATCACAATCCCACTGTGCAAGTTTCCCAGAGCAACCCACCGGCATCATCCTGCAGCCCATATTGGTCTGTCAATGCCAGCTGGCGGCTCCCACTCGCCTATATCCAGGCCAACGGATCCGATCCATTGATGCGACACCATCTCTACCGCTTTCCCGCATAGTACACAGGAGGGAGAATATGAGCACCCACCGTCAGAAGTAACGCCGCTGGCGACGGAATATGACGAGAAAGGACTGAGTGGCGTTGGTGATAGCGTGGAATCCGACACAGATTGAGTCATTATACGTTGGCGTTATTAAGTCAGGGGAAGAGAAAGAAAAGGGAACGAAATCCGGCTGTGCATGTGGTGGATTGGGTAAGAGAGAAGATGTCCTAAAATGGCAAGTCTCTGTGGAACTTATATCTCGAGTTAGCTGTTCCACACACCTTGATCTGCAATCACTTGTGCCATTGTTCTCTCTCACCCAGGCATGGCTCAAGTTGAACTGCCGCCAGAAATATGGAGACAGATCATGCGATACTTGCCTAACTTCTCGAGGAGAACGTGCTTGTTTGTCTCTATGCTTGTCCATGATCTTGCGGCGGAGATCCTCTTCTCGACCGTGAACATCCACTTTGGTGCTTGGGAACATTCTCCGACGCCTCACGTAAGAGGCTATGCATTAGAAAGAGCGAGAGCCTCGGCTTCGTGGAATATATTACAACGGATCCGCAGCGACCCGCAGTTTGCGAAATACGTCAAGAAAGTGATTGTCTATTCCTACGCCAGACATCATGCCGTCTTCGAACGATGTGAGCGAAAAGCTATAATACGGGTGGGTGCAACCATTCTGACAAAGTCTGCACTGGAGGCTGTCTGGCCGAAACGTTGGGATATCTGAAAGATCTACGGTCGTTCACCTGGCATGGGTCATCCCCGAAAGTATCCACTGGTGTCTTGACTGCTCTGAAGGAGTCCTGCCCCCAGTTGGAGGAACTCACTATTCCGTGAATCTTGTCCCCACTCTAAGTGAAGCATAACCCTTAACGTGACGGTCAATTTCAGTATTAAAGCGATGTTCGAGAATCGCGTTGATCAATTTGACAATCTCCGCGTCATGGCATTCACGACGGAAGACGACGATTATGTTGGTGCCGACTTGATATTTAATCATTCTTCCGATCGAGAACGTGCTCAATATCGTCTCAATCTGGAGTCGTCTTCCGATGCACTCCTGGCGTTGCGGACCCCATACATCGCGGCATTGCACGACTCCATGCATCGGTTCTACCAGCTTACAGAACTCGACATCTTGAACTTAAAGGACATGGATCTTTTCGCCTACATCCTTCGCAATTGCGAGCAGCTGGAGTCATTCAGCATCTTACTGAACGGTGCAGTTAAACAGGTTCAATTATCGGATGTACTTGCTCAACATACGAACTCCCTTCCTCGTTTACGTTTCTTCAAGCTGATCACTTTATCATTAGATCACACCATTGACGCAGATGTCGAGATTTTGGCTGACTTCGTGCGTGCCAAGCAAGAATTACGACGGTTGTTATGCACTGTTTACTTCAGTTGGGACAATATACGGCCATATCTCGACGCGGTATCAGCTTTGAAGCATCTGCACACCTTTGCGCTCGATGTACCCGGTGCTCTCGATGCCGCGAGTGCATCCTGCGTTCGCCACTATATTCCCCGGCATATCACCGCATTATGGCTAGTGTTTGATTCCTGCGAGAGGCAGCTTCTACGGGATATAGTGAGTGTCTCGAAATATCACTACGCCATCGCTAATAAGACCTGTACAGTGGACCCATTTCGGAGACGTCCGATTTGCGTATGTTCGGTTATGGGAAGAGTCCAACGGTTTCACTGTCGAAGATCTGGTAGAAACGACTCCTCAGTCGCAGCTGGTAGTTCTCAACGGATCCTTTCGTCACGTCGAACGCAGCGGTGACCCCGTCCAGATCTCTCCGCCATGGTCAGCGCGGAAGGTTTTCTTTCGGTCAGTGGATGACTTTGGGTGTGAGGACTGGGAATGGCTTGCCAGACACCACGAGATTGTGGTCGAGTAAGCCGCTCTTCCAATGCGTCATATCATTGCGTATATTGAAGCATTCACAGGTAAAGCGCAGTCAACGTTCTAGCATACCGTCGTTCGCTTTGCACGGGGAGGAGACTCTCGTAACCCTATGTTATTTACATCCGGAGTTGCCGGGCACGAACAAAATTATGAGAACAGCTTGCACAGATGTAAAGCTGCCTGTACTTGATCGCATAACGTCGATTAATGCCATGGCTGCACAGAGATGTCAAGCTCATGGAACGCTCACTATCACCGTTGGGAGGTTCGAAGTCCGTGCTCCACCGTCAACCTGTTCCCGGCCTGCCTTCGACATTGCCCTTATCGTCGGGACGCCTTTCTCCGGCTCGTCCTTCTGCATTAAAACATTTCACCACCACAGCCGGGTGCGAAGCTCCCGGGTGATTGTCCACTGGCAGCTTCTCCTGCAGTCTGTGTAGTGGGAAGTTCTGGTCATCCTCCTCTGTGTACGCGGAATAGAAGTGCACATCATCCAGATGTTCTTCAACAGCCGTGTTGGGTTTCTCCTTGTCCTGCATGTGAGAGACGTGTTCGTATGCCTTCCTGGCGAAGGACTCGCTGTTCATGTGCGCGCCTACTTGTTCGCTTTAGGATCCACATTTTCTCAGGCTAGGCATTCCAGCTCAAACTTCAAACGTTCAACTTTTCATTCAACAAATTACCAAGCTTGAAACGCTTTCGATATTCAGGCCTCGACACTCGAAGTTGCACTTAGTGGCGGAGGAAGCCACAAGTGGATTTACTGAACTTATATGAATGAATTGCACAGTGGCTTGTGCTTTGACATACCCTTGGTACATACTCGCGATGGATTGCGACGAAAAGGCATTTCCGGAGCGCGGCTTTCGTATGCTTTCCACGCCCTAGTACTATAGTGTGGGGAATTGAGATGGTTCTCGTCACATCGACTTCGATCCAACGTATCCGTATGAGAGCCGGTCTTCGATGCTACCTGGTCAGATGCATTGCCCTTATGATGAAGTTAATCATCTTAATTGCCAACTAACACATGATTGGCGATTTTTCAACTCTTTCTCTCGCTGGTGGGACGTCCGGGTACATCGTGGGACAGGAAGCTTTATTAGCCGGTCGCGACGCGAAGATCTCAAGTCCGGCTGCGAGATGGCTGACTGACGGTCGTCAGGAACACAGTGCACGGGATCAGCGTTGTTGGCAAGCACGCACCTCAACGAGATCGTATGGCAGTCGGAAATGAATCCGAGGACGAACGGCAGTCTCAGTTGATGGCTTGTCGCCAAACTCTTTGAGCCAGACACTGGTGAATGGGTCGGGGAGTTTACCGCAGCCTTGGCGAGAATATGCAGCCGAAACCTTCGTTCCTGCGATTTGGGGTCGGATGACACAGGAGGCTTGGGATGTTCAATGAAAACGGATGTGTAGGGCGGGATCGAGTCGTACTGAGTCTTTTTAACGCTCATACGCAACTTCATGAGGAGGAGAATATTCAGTCCGAGTCCACAATGACCCCATTCGTCACTTTGAGAAATTCACGTTTCAGAAGGGCCTTGTGCTTTTCCGCACTTGCGTTATCATGACCCTCACATTCACTTCCTGTTTAACGGCCTCCAGGAGCGCCATTGCTGTCACGTTGGCGATACCAAGCTTGAGCGGCACAGCGGCGAGAGCATCCTTTTTTTGTTGAATACAAATTATATCCCGCGTGCTGTAGTTACGACAGCTGACGGCCTGTAACGGGTATGCAATTGTCGGGCGTAATTATGCGGAGGACGGAGAAGGCATAAGCGGCGAGAGCATCAACGGCCCGTACAACATTGAAGCCGGAAGAGGTGGCAGCAAGGCGGCGTCGCCGGTCATGTCTAGTCTCCCCTATGCGGACTACAAATATCTCCTTCTCTGACGGAGGGAAATCAGGAGATATATAGGATCATGTCGTCGGCCGCAACTAGTATTGTACCGCCTCAACTTCGCGAGATGGATGGTAGAGGTAAGAACAAGCTATATTTGGACTCAAAGCGACGCCTTAAACCTAGCACACATTACGACGTAATCCGCTTCGACGCTATTTGATAGGAGAGACCGAATTACTCGGTTCAGTTCTGATGCCTTCGAAGAGTATCTTCTTTGCTGTTCGGAGAGGTGAGTCGTCGCTCATGAGCGCTTCCGCCTATCCATGTATGTGGTCACCTTCAGCCAATGATATCTTCCGCATTACTCACCGAGCGACAAAATCTTTTCCGACGAACGGACGTTGACGTTCTCGCTCATCGTAACCGAGTTCACCGCGGTTGTTGGAATGGACTTGCAACTCGTTTGCTTCCAAGGTCATTACCATCACAATGCGGCTCTCTCTGAATCTCGCTTGCCAGTGCCAAGCAACGACATTCGCTTCCTTGCCACACACTTTTCTCAGGATCGTCTTCTCCAACCTTACAGCGCACGTTCCGAGGATGCCATTACATATCCACGGTCTGATTCAGCGAGGTTCGTGGGTTGGAACTCGGCAGGCCGGCTGACATAAGTAGTTCATTTAGCATCGTGACCGCCTATATCGAGTGCCTCCATATCAAGGCCTCGCAACGTCTTCCCTGGCTTTCTCCGATTCCCTGCTGAAGAGCTTGCGAAACAACTCGCAATGCACGGTATCGCCATCGCGTTCTCGCTCTCTCTTCTTGCCTCTCTGGTGGCAGCGGTGGCGGTAGAAGAGCCTGTGGGCGTACTGGCCAAACAATGCGACTTCACCTTGGGTGGCAGGCGCTTCGACATGTGTCCCGTGTTCGAAGGGAAAGACAGAGGCTGGACAGTCAGCCGAGAGCAACAGACCCCGCCCACCATCACGAAGACGGAGTACAGGATCTCGTTCCAGGGGCCTCTCAAGAGGAACAGGAAGATTGCTAGCTATGAACAAGTGCGTCTGATGTCCAGGTCCACTTTGGTCCGCTGGACGTGCTGCTTTGCCGTATACAGGTTTCATTGATGATTAATGTGCCGCCCAGTGTCCGGATGGGACCTGGATATGCAAGACGGGCGAGTGTTTCGCTGCATATTCTTGAGTTTTCCCGTTCATCGCCGCTGCAGTCACGAACACGCGGCCTAAGCACGACGGTGAGGAGCCGCGTGTATTGCAAGTCATATCTGTCGCAGGCGAGCTGTCCATATCTGACGATGAATCTGGATCGGGCGCGAGCGAGTACGTGCCGGGGCTCAACATAACGGCAAAGCTCGTCCCTGCAGACACAGAGACCAAGCACGGTATGTATTAACCCGCGATCGCGCTTGATCTATCTGGCGAGACTATGACAGACATCTTGCATCTCCATCTGCACGGTGGATACTACACGCGTCTGCAGCAGAAGGCCGACTTCCAGTTCATCTGCGACCATAACGCTGAAGAGGTATGGTGTGCTTGCACTTTTATTGGAATGTGCAATAAGTTGAGGGGTTGACGTAGCCTACATCGCCCACTATTGGATGGGACTGGAGGGGCACACACACGTTTGAATGGCGCACAAAACACGCATGTGGTCAGGCGATGTCAGCACCGCCTCCGAACGAGCCGGTGTCTCCTACACAACCACCGCCGGATGACGACGCGCCGCCAAAGGACGTTGAAGACGATGATACCCCCGGCGAGAAGAAGCTGCTCGATCCGGGCTTCTTCGGTGGGCGCTCTCGCCGTTCCGTCGTCACGATGTTCGCCTCTGCGTACGTCTCGCTCTATCTCCGCGCCCTCTCGTGATGCTGATGTCATCTACTGCACACAGCTCTCTGATCTGCGCGATCGTGTTTCTCGTGTACTTCCCGCCGCGGCGACTTCGACGCTTTCTCACGTCGTACGTCAAGGCGCACCCCCGGGTGATGCGCTCGCACGTTGGCGAGCGCGTGCTCGTCCGGTGGGCGCGTGAGGACTTTGCGATCGGCCCGGGAGAGGAGGACGTGATGATCAATGCCGAGGCGGCGGCGTTGGCTGAACAGATCCCCCTCAAACCTGCGCCGCGGAGGCCTGTCGTCTCCAACTACCAGTACGGCAGCGCCATTTAGGCTCATCGCGCGATTGATCTTTCGTTTTCTCCGAATGCTTATCCTGTGTACTCTGAGAGCATCGTGTCCACTCACGAATTGTTTCACGTTTCCTCATACTAACGCTCGCTGTTGAGTCCTGATCTCGTCGACCTTGTTATATGAATGTAGACTAGCTGCTTTAGATGTAAGTTGTAGCTTGACGTACTGCAGATTCATGATGGGACAAATGCCGCGCAAACTGGTGCTTCCGGTTGCCGTGTTGAGTAGAACTTTGAATCAATGGTAGTATACGTAAATTAAGTCTGTTAGACCTTCCCATCTTCGTGTGTACAACGGTCATTACATACACATAGCGTTCGCTGCTGCACCGCGACTCACTTAGGCTCAACGCTCGACTTGATTTGTTCCAGGTTTCTTCGTTTCGCCTCCTGCAGTTCGCTACAATCGTTCTGCGTGCGTGCATGGTCATCCTCTGGATTGCTATTGCCAAATATATGCGCTTCGCTGAGCTCTAAGTTTCATTGCCGACGGCCACAAAACGAACAATCTACCGCTGCCAGCGGCCGTTCGTGAGTTCTTTTTTGAACTACTTTTGCGGACTGCTTCGGTGGAACCTTGTGGTTCTGCAATCTGTCGCATTCCCCGCGACCAGGCCTATGATGGCGCTGGCTATAGTATCAGCCCTGCCAGAAGGAAGCCAGTCCACTGTGATTGAATCAATACGACACCTCACTCTATTGTCCAGCTCTTTGGGCTCCCTCCGTCATGCCTCTGTGGTGTCAGCTTCCATCAACATACTGAGGAGGCACACATCGCCACGTCCACATCCTCGTGGCTGAAGCAGGGACGATCGCCTGAACAGGCAGGTGGCAGGTCCGTGCACAGCGATGAAACAGGGTTCTCGCAAGTCTTCCGAGGATAAGTCGTACTCGGATTCCCATGCACGCTGCGCGCACGCAGCGCATGCGACTTCTGAACAGAGCAGGCAGGCCGTGGAGGCCGACTGAGCGATATCTCGGTTCTCGTGATAGGCCCGCCGGATGTGGCGCTGCTTTAGCGTTCAAGTTCAGCTTGAACATGGCGAGCATATAAGGCATAGACGGTGCGTGTCTGGCCCCTCCAGAACAACTCACTTAATTCCTCAGCGATACAACCTTTCGACGAAGATCATGCAGCAAGTAGACGTCTCTTCTATCATCTCCATCGAGGACGTCGATAGCTTCATCGATAGGAATTCCGGTGACTCGTGGACGACTACCCAGTTCAAGCTGAATCCATTCGAGACGCGCTTCTGGGGGGAGTCTGTCGCTCACCGACGGCTCCTCCTACTCAAGAGCCTGTATCGGGCGCACCCGGCAGTCGACAAGCAGTTCAAGGAGCGTCGCACCCTGCACATGCTGCAGGCCACCAGCCAGCCTTCGCCTGTGCACCTGTACGCATTCGAGAAGCTGTTCTCCCAGATCAACCGTGAGCTGGGAGGCTGCTTTGGCGGTGGACAGGTGAAACGGTTCCTGGACCTCGGTTGTTCGCCCGGCGGGTTCTCGACCTGGCTGCTCAAATCCAACGGCTATGCGGGCGTACAAGGTGTCGGCGTCACTTTGCCTGACGACGAAGCACGTTTTCCATTGCAGATCGATCCTATGCTCAGTGCGACGGCATTGTCCTATCGCGTCCTGTTCGGGGACGTTATGAAGCTCAGCATGGAGGCGATTATGGAGGGGACGGACCCTATTGTTCCTCTAGGCGAGACCGCGTCGGGCGCCTTGATTGACGCCGCGCAGTATGATCTAATCATCGGCAACGCGTTCCCGACCCTCCGGGGGCCCACGCGCTGGTGGCTCCGCGTCCAGCTCGTACTCTCACAGATTCTCATCATGATCACTAACGTCGCCCAGGGAGGCTCGTGCATCGTGACGGTCAACACGAAGCCGTTCCTCTGGGTGGTCGATGCCATCGGGCTCCTCCAGAAGATGTTCGATACGATCACGCCTTTCAAGGGAACGCTGCACGCCTCTAGGACGGTGGGATACCTCATCTGCAGAGGCTTCCGAGCCACTCCAGAGGAGGTAGACTACTACGCCGGGAGGGTCCGCGTCGTGCTGCGACAGTTGGATGCGGTGGCCGACGAGTCCCGCGCTCATGAGGAAAAGTCGCCTGTGGAAGACTCATCGGACGATGATGGCGAGCAGCTGCCTCAGTCCTTCCTCCCTGAGGCATTGCCGCTGTTGACGGGCGAGAGCGCCGCCGAGATCTTCGACGCTCAGCATCGCCTCGTGTTGGACCTGTTTGAGCCCATGTGGAAGGCGCAGTTTGACGCCATTCACCGAGATTTCGAGAGATTACTCTCAGGTGAGATGGTCCCGCGCTGATATGGTCTATATTGACAACGATGGTTTAGGTCAGAGCCGCTCTGAGCCTAGGGGGTTCATTCGTCGCGATATGAGCATGCCCTTGAAGCTCTCTACCTCGCTTGACCAAAATGCTCATTCTCTGCGTTCCCCTGCCTCCCCCACTGCACAGCCGTGGAGGCCGAAGCGTCACAGCACGACGTCGGGAGTGTCGCTGAATGAGAACGGCCTGCCACCGTGGGCCGGAAACGATGACAAGTCCTATGTGGTGAAGAATACTCGCGATGCGGGCTTTGATAGTCTTTTTGGGCGCAAGCGCAGCCAGACCAGCGCGGCCGACAGCAACGGCTGGTGGAGGGCCAAGTGATCGGTGCGAATATTATCCTGTATTTGTACATGACAACGTACTAGTAGCGTTCTTCGTATGCGTCGACTGTAACATTGGAGCTCCTGATTGACCTTGTCTTGTAAAGTAGTTTGTGCTCGCATCGCCGGTTCTTTGAATGCCATGTACGACAAAACATTCGTCGCGTGTCACAGTGCTAGGTTTGCGCATAGTCGATGAGCGCTTGAAAGCTCAAATGTCTAACCGCGGTATCATTTGTTGTGATCTGACTCGGTCATGTTGCTCATCGCTGACATATCTGGTTAGGATCGCGTTGTACCGCCTAGGCCTTTGCGCAAGAGGGGCTGACTGAGCGTGGTGATGCTCTAGGTAACCATCAGCGCGATCTGTGATAGAAACCGGGCAAGCTGTGCGAGACTCTCAAGAAGGGGAGACCAAAGTTGAACAACACCATGGTTGCTCAATGCTGTACTTTCTGCAGATCCGCCATCAAAACAGATCAACGAGCGGTCAAGTATCGGAGGCCAGCTTTGATTTGATACCCGCCAAGAACGCGCCGTCCCCAGGAATCAGATCGCGACGCAGCTTTGGCCAACCCTTGGCAAGCGGGGAACGAATCGGAGAAGCAAGATCCCCGCAGACGCGGCCACGTGTATTTGTTCTGAGCTTGTCGGAGGTTCCGGCAGACATGCCGCGCCACAAGCGCGACGGAAGGACCTCGAGTATCGCTGCACCTGGTAACTGTGGTGATGTGCCTATCCTGGGTTGATTTGCTACAGGAAATCTCGAATGATATATATCCTATTCACGAAAGCGTATATATATTTTTTTGAACTGCCACACCGTGAGTTCACGACCTCCGGGCAAGCAGCAAGGAACAGTGTTCGAGGTCCTCAGGGGGTCCTGTGGCGCGATGATCGCTTGCGTTTCGCGTGTTTCTGTGTTTAAACGGTAAGCGCTAGCAGCTGCGTTTCCAAGCACAACTTGATTGCGATGGGGCGTGAAAAGGACCGGATTATCCGCCAACAGTCCTCGTCTTCCTTCTCTTTCTCCCCCTTTTCCTCTTTCTTTGACCATTCCTTGCGGTCGCCGAAATGGAGTCGTCGATGTCGCACGCGGTCGACCCGTTTGCCCACACCCAAAGCGAGTTCTTCTGCTCTCTCGCGAATGCCATTTCGGCGACCGCACTCATCCGTTGCTGGCCTCTCCTCGTGTTCTTCTCCGCCTGGGCGACCATGATCTCAGTCGTGAGCGTTACCGTGCGGGACCTAGGTATCCAGAGCACCTTGCTCACTGTGTATGTGACATTGCATTTGGTGCATTTGCTCGCGTGCTGACTTGTTCGCAGCATTGGTACCGTCCTCGGTTTCGTCATCTCCTACCGCACGACGTCTTCCTTTGAACGCTACAATGAAGGTCGCCGCCTCTGGTCCCAGATCGTCCTCGCGTCTCGCACCTTCACCCGCACGGTCTGGTTCCACGTGCCTGACGTGATGCCCCCAGACGCGACCAGCCCTGTTCCCCCGCCGGTGGATCAACGCAAACTGCGAACTCTGATCGAGAAAAAGACAGTCATCAATCTCGTCGAGGGCTTCGCCGTTGCTGTCAAGCACTACTTGCGCGGCGAGGAGGGCGTGTACTACGAGGACTTGTTCCACCTCGTCAAGTTTCTTCCCAGCTACGCACTCCCACCTGGTATACCGAGCGCACTCTCCTTGGCTGGAATACCTGCAGAAGCGGAGGGTGGCGACGAAGATAAAGATGATGCTGACGAGAAACACGCGGACTCTGTGCCGGGCATGCGCTCGTTCACGAGTCTCCACTCAGCGGTGTCTCAGACTGTCCTTCCGCTCCCGGTGACGTCTCCCACTCAGCCTTCTCGGCGCTCTCACGGGAGGCATAGGAGTGCAAGCGCGCGTGGTACCGCGAAGGTCTCTTTCGACCAGCGCACCGTCAACACCGTGGTCAACACCGGTCACCACCGCGCCGAATCAGCCGAGACCGTTCGCCAAAAGACGTCGATTCCATCTCTTTCCGCGCAGGGCCACGAAACGAACTTTTCGGTTGCCAGCCTCGCTCCGCCCTCAATGGACAGGCTGGCTGTGAAGCAGGACTTGGACGTTCCAGCTGACAATGGGGACGGCAAGGCGTTCTTCTCGACGGACAAGCTGTCGCAGTTCTCGAAGCAGGCGAAGGGCAAGGCGTCGATGGATACTACAGCAGTACTCGCGACTGATGGAGAAGGCTTCTTGCTCCCTGCGTATATACCGCCGAAGTACCATCTTCTGGATCTCTTTCCCCTCAGTTTGTTCGTGCACTGGTTGGCTGGACGTGGCAAGGATGTGAAGGTGTGTCTCATCATTTCTTGAACATATTTGTCCCACGCTGGCCTCCTTTACATCTCGACTTCATAATGTACCGAGGATCGAGCTGAACGTATGTGTGCCAACAGGGTAAGACTGCCGCTCGCATCCGTGCGAAGCTCCGCAACAAGACCGTTACACACAACTTGCCACTCGAGATTTCGTTCTATCTCGTATGTGACCTATATTTTGGTCGGTGCTGATGGGCTGACCTCAGTCATCTGGCTGTCCTGCTCACAAACTACTCCAATCGCGCGCATTTCCATTCGCTGTTTCCTCAAATGATGTTCATTCGCTTCTACACGGTGATCATCGTGTGACTGTAGAGCTCGTACACCGCAGCCCTCCAGTCGAGGAAGGTCGTCGACCCGCCAACATCTAGTAGGTACCTTTATATGACTCATACTATATTGCTGAGCTCTCATCTGTCAACACCATCGTATCCGCCATCCGTTGCTCATGTAACGTCTCGGCATCTTGACCATCTCATCTGAAACATCATCACGATCGTGATCGTACTCGGCATGCACGACGGAACCCTGATTCGGTCGACATCCTATTGTTCCTGCATCGACGTCAATGCGCCACCATCAGCTGCCCTCATGAACGCGCTCAACCAGCTCGTGGACGCGCTAACGGGTTTGGAGCGCATCCTGACAACGCCCATTCCGTTCTCGTGCGTTCACTTCGATTCTTCTGTTAGGAACCGTGGCCTCACGCGCATATAGGTACCGGGTGCACCTCTGGACCGTCACTGTGCTGTACAATCTGCTCTTGGTACGTGATGAGCTCTTGTCACCACGAGCCTTGGAGATGTAGAGGCGATGCTGATGCGATGAATGCTGTGAATTGTGCAGCCATTCCAAATATGGAATACGCTTGGCTGGCTAACGATCCCTGCGACCACCTTGCTGGTACGTGGCGTTCCTGTGCATCACCGCGGAGGAGGGCAGTCCGCGTGCTGACGATGGGTAATACCAACAGAGCTTCATCTTCTTCGGGTTCCTGGTGGCCGGTGAGGAGATTGAGAGTAAGTGTCCTTATGTCTTCGTCATGAGAAACAGTATACTTACAGTTTCTCCCAGATCCGTTCGGTTAGTCAACTTACGTTGCTCCTTTTACCAATGTCTATCTAATTGAGGTTTTACTTGTACATGTGTATATAGGATACGACAAGAACGATCTCGTACGTCTCATCTCACATGTCTCAACTGACAATTGCCGTTGACTAAGTAGTGACTCCAGAATCTCGACCACTTCACGCACAGCATCATCCGAAACGAACTGCGTGCCCTTACAGCATTACCAGTGCCGGACCCGTCCGTATGGGCGTTCTCACAATTCAATGACCAGATCCTGGGCTCTGGCGGTAGTGTCAACAAGGCAAACCGTGCAACTCCGGACGAGTGGATGAACAGAGGATATGCGCGGATGGTCGGCGCTCTGTACGAGGCCGTCTGAAACCGAGACTTACCAACGCATGTGGAGTCTGGAGGGATTTAGATGGAGGCGTGGTTAGAAGCAAGCGTTAAAGCGTGCCGATCGTTTTCCAAGCTCGATCCGTCCAAAAGCTGCGCAGATGCGTGCGAGCAGCAAGCAATCTTGGTCCACTCTCGGACATCGGATTTGTGCATAGAACATTTCTCTCTTCGGCTGTTTAAGGCCGCACGCGCAAGTTGGGACGGACTCGGAGACTCGGACGGTCGTGCATGGTACATATGGTATAATATCTGTTCATACGGGCATCCAGTGGCTGGGCGTCGTCAACGGGCTTGATCCACCAGCCTTCTTGGCTCCCTCTCCTCTATGTTTGTAATCATTCGTCTCGTCGGTTGGATTCCGGTTTTGTTCCACTACTGTACGTTCACGGTTGTCTGATACTCTACACTTAGATACGACACGCGCTTTACGACTTCGCTCACGTACTCCTCCTCAGCACGGACACTTTTGGGCCGTTTGTTCTGTTGCGTATGCATTTTCGTGCATAGTCACGGTCCCTTCCGTACTCGTTATGCCTGGCATGTTCCACCCTCGTTTGTGGTGCCCGTATTTATTCCCAGTACCGCTACGTAGCTGGATACTGTGTTACCTCGTAGCTGATAGACATTGCTTGTGAGTTGGTGAATGCCCGTAGGGACGTCCTGAGCGGTGATGCATGATGCCTACGTGTTCGTAATGGAACTTCAATGCATGCTTGATAGCACAAACCCCACTGGCAAGTTGTTTTTATATATGGATCGTTTGGGCAGTGCGATGAAGTCTATGGACACCGACTCAAGGATGAGAAGGTAATACCAAGAGAGGGTGTAGTATCTGCTTGGGTGCAAGGTTACATGTTTTAATTAATGATGTTATGCGCATTTGGGAATGTCCGCTGAGAAGCGGCAGCCATTTAGTAGCCTAACTAACCATAAACTGTTGACACTGTCAGAGGATCAATGGCCGCTCGATACCTGGTGGCTGGGAGGTCGAGGTCGTGGGAATCCCACTATCCGCGATGCTCTATCCCACTATCGAGTAATTCAGGTACGAATCCCAGATATCAACACTGAACTCGTCGTTAGTCGCGCTGTATATCGCCTGTCGTCGCTCCCGCGGAAAAGGCGATTTAATAGGCCTGCCTAGGGGAGACAAGATCGGACTCCTTACCATCATCCATCCACGGGCCCGGGTGCATCTTTCTCGCACTTGCTTTGTGACTTTTCCCTACATTGGATTTCATTCTCGAGCAGCGCATTATCCGATTGAGTTGTTCTCCAAAAGTTGAACATTCATACACCATCCCGCACTCGACATATCGTTCAGCTCTGTCCTCTGACTGAATATCAAGCTCAGCATAGATCTTCACGTAGGTCATCTCCGAATCCGATGCCGACCTAACGTGCCTCAGATCCGAGATCGTACCGAGTCCTCTCCGCCGTCCTGATCAACGCGGTTATATAGATCTCCACCCGTCTCTCTGCCCCCACGACCGTCGGCACACAACCGTCCTCATACCCATCACGATGGCGCAAGTCTTCAAGATCATACCAGCGACGCAGAAATACGATTGGGGGAAGATTGGGCTTTCTTCGAAGGTAGCGCAGTATGCTGCAGCTGCGAAGGTGCCTGGCTTTGAGCTGGATGAGAAAGCCCCATATGCAGAGGTGTGTACACAGACCGCTGTTTCGTAACATCGCCGTAGCTCACCAAGCCACTAAGCTATGGATGGGCACACATCACACCGCTCCGTCGCTACTACTCTCATCGGGCTCACGTACGACTCTCGCGGAATACCTTGCAGCCCATCCTGAACTGATGGGCAGCAGAGTGATTGAGCGCTTTCGCGAGGCCGGGGCAGCGGAGGGCAATCTGCCCTTCCTCTTCAAGGTGCTCGCGATCCAGAAAGCGTTGAGCATCCAGACGCATCCGGACAAGAAGATGGCGGAGGAGCTGCACCGGACACGGCCTGATGTGTACAAAGGCGAGCTCGCTGTACCGCTACCTTCGCCTACCTGACACTGGTAATAACGCCACTTCCACGTTACAGATGCAAATCACAAGCCAGAGATGGCCATCGCGCTCACTCCGTTCACTGCTCTCTGCGGCTTCCTCCCGCTTTCCCAGATCGAGGTCTACCTTTCCTCCACACCTGAGCTCGCGGCGCTCATCCCACCCACCACCGCCTCCAACTTCCGCTCCATCGCATCCTCCACTGATGCCGCAAGCCCTACAGTCAAGATTGCGCTCAAGGATCTCTTCTCTGCGGTCATGACGGCCGATGAGCCAACGTTCAAAGCGCAGCTTGAACGGCTAGTACAGCGGTACGAGAGCGGCGGGGAGACGGAAGCAGAGAAGGGGGTGAAGGAGCTCGTGCTGAGATTGTACGGCCAGTTTCCAGGGGATATCGGAGTGTTCTGCGCGTTCTTGCTCAATTACGTGAAGATGAGCCCAGGGGACGCCATCTTCCTCGCTGCGGGTGAGCCGCACGCGTATGTCTCAGGAGGTACGTCGAGACACAATGCGATCTAACGAATTACCCTGACGCTCATGCCAGATATTATGGAATGCATGGCAACCTCGGACAATGTCATTCGCGCCGGCCTCACGCCCAAGCTGCGGGATGTGCCCAACCTCGTCGCTGGGCTGACCTATCGAGCGGGCGATCCTGGCAGGCACCTAGTTCGTCCCGTACGCTTCGATTCCGCCGCGCACACGCGGCTTTACGACCCGCCCATCTCTGAGTTCAGTGTGCTGCATGTGGAACTGCCTGGGAACGAGACAGAGGTGCATCCGGGCATAGAGGGCCCGAGCATCGCGATCGTCACGGAGGGCAGAGGCGCGATAGAGTGGGCCGGTGGGGAGCGGATGGAGGTGAGGGAGGGCGAGGTGGTGTTTGTCGGGGCGGGCGCTGAGGTGCGGTGGGTGGCAGGCCCGGAGGGGTTGGCGGTGTATCGGGCGTTCGTGGAGGCGGCATGAACGTGGACGTGAGTGATACTCAAAATGCAGGAGACGTGTATGACTACAGCATGATTAGGCAGACATGAAGAAGTGGATCGGATGTATCAAATAGGCTTAGCTATGTAGAGTAAACGGAACAAAGACCTATGTAGGACATTTATACATGTAAGAGGCCCTTTGAACTTTGATAGCCGGAAGACCTTCACACCGAACGTCAAGGGGTGGCTACTGCCGTAAGAAATGTTACGTTCGCGAGGCACTTATACCGCATTAGACCCGACCAGGGCACGTATCTCGGCACCTTGTTCAGCACCTTGTTCAGCAGGCAGCCCCCGAGCGGCAAAACGGTGCAATTGACGTCAATATGGATGCAGAAGGGACCTCCCACCGGAACTGACACGCTTGCTCCTCCGATTCTATTTGTGTCTGTCGATGAGCTTTCTGAGTCATTTAACATGTTCTGCATGCTGATGTCGATACACCCAGACATCTGTGACACTGGTTTTTGAGATGAATTCAGTTTGATATTTTAAATTCATTGTCACAAAAGGGGATTTTACCGCCAGATTTTGACGACATATTGTCCAGTCAAAAGCGGGCGCATGTCTGGGGTGACAGTGGCTCCGAGAACCACGATAAATCTTTAAGGTGAGCTATACCGAACTGTGGCCTTCAACACGTTCCTTGATGCAGGACTAGGACTGGCACACACAGACCTGCACTCTGTAGGCGTTATCTTGTCCTGGCCTATCCTGACATAGCAGTGGCTAGTGAAGAATCCCGTGGATATTAGCCTCACGTCAACAATAGCCGCGACAGCCGTTCGCCTTCTTTTGGCACCGGTAACGAGCACTTGAGTTGATCCGCACACGACGTTCGAGCGCTTCCGTTGCAAGTAAGCACAGGTACCAGAAGACAGCACATGCACCGTGCAATCGGGACGTCCCAAGTCCATAGGCCTTGGCTTAGAAATGATAACCGCATACCAAACGAGAGAGGGGGTAGATGGGGATGGGATGGTGCTATCACGCGAGTCCACTGGATGCCTTCGCTTGGTAAGGGCTTGGGTCTGATTGATCGCTTGCCCGTGCGATGTACGCAGGGCAGAATGGATTTATTACATTACTGAATGACGTGTTTCAATCCTAAGATGTTCTTCAAAGAAAAAAACTTTCCATGATATAAGAATTGAATAGGCTTTGGCAGGTCACATGCTGGAGCTTTTTTTGTATACGATTTACATCGCGCTTGCTGCAACAGCGACAGATAGCGGCCTGTAATCAGTACGTAAGATTTGGGTGTAATGCAGAGGACGGAGAGGGCGTGTACGGAGGCAGACTAGACGGAAGTAACGGTGTGACAGGGTGACCGTGGCAGGCAAGGAGAAAATGAAACGGCTTGCCTGGGGTCAATTCACGTGCTGTGGCCAAAGCGGCATGCGCCGCGGGGCACTGTCTTTGAGTTTTCATTTGGAGAGACTGTAATGGGACCAGCTTCGGTATCACCGAGAACATTGCTTTCATGTTCTGCCATCCACAGTGTCTCCGGTCTGAAGGTGGCCGTGGGGTTCGGAAGTCGGCGTTGCATTCTCTCCGGGGTGAGGTCTCAATACAATGAGATGCTTCGGGCTCTTCGTGATCCTTGTTTGGATCTGGTACGCTCAGAAGTGCTTCTTGCCTCGAAGAGGCTGCAGAGCCTCCGGCTGTACGATTTCCGCTGGCATATTGAAGGGTTTCAGATTTTCGTGCATGCGCGTAGCTTCCGTCAATTCGTCCTTCAGGTGCTCTGCTGCTGGTCATGCATTACGAGAACTCTACGCACGCAAATCAAAGAAGATCTGACTTAGTCTCGGAACCACTGGCAGTATCGCGCACAGTCGAGCTGCTCGGACAGGTGAGTTCGCGTTACAGATTACTAATGGAGACTATCCTTATTCTTTATCCGCTTAAGCTTCTGTTGAGCTGTTACGCGGTTCCACGTTCTTCCATGATACAGCCTACAATCTTCCCAGATACGACGCTTCCGTATCAGGTTCTCCATGCAGGCCTTAGTGGTTTATGTCATGATATATGAACGGACTTGCGGCCTTTCTGCGCTATTGCTTCTGCAGCAATCCCTCAACATAGTTTTACAGTCAACAGAGGCTGTTTCCGGCGGTGGGACGTGACAACGGGATGTAGAATGCGACGATGGAATTCTGCTCTGGGCTGATCTTGCACGGACTCGCCAAGATCCAGGCACGATGCATCTAGCAGACACGCCAACCATCTCCAATGCGGTGGCTGTGGGCGTCTGTCGAACCCTAACTGCAATTTGCTGGATACTTCCGCTCCGGTCCCACATGACATGACAGTCGCTGGGCGGCTTGTGGATGTATAAGAACGGCGGCTCATCGATTTTCAACCTTCTTCCCTTTATGACGCCCATGGGAGGTATTCCTTGACATTCGCAGTACGACTTTTCTGCTCGGACATACTCCCCATGGCTCCGGAGACAGAGGTCAACGTCCTGAGCGCATTTCGCTCGGACGTCCAGACAATACGTTATTCAGAGCGTACGTCATTGACTGTGCTTGAAGCGGTCCTGCTCATTAGGATTGCAGTGGCGTCCAGTTCCATCATAATCTTCGACCATTGTGGGTGTCCTTATTCACGTTTCCTCTGCAATTCGCGATAGTTGACATTCAACTCGTGCGACCTCCAGTGCTCACGTTGGATCAAGAGGTAAGAGCAGAATCTCAAGGTATCGTGCCAACCACTGATATACTCGATGCAAAGTACGACTTGATTTGGGTACGTTGCTGAGAAACGGCTTTGCATCAAGACATTGACTGTATACAGAGTTCGCCATGGTCTATAGGGAAATGCCTGTTTCTCTTTGTGAGCCGCAGCATGTGCGATAAACCATCGGGCAGACTGAATAAGCGCTTCGCAGAATCGTTATTACACGCTCATTACCATGATGTACGTGCAGCGGAATTGAAGTGCACGCACATCGTCATTGCTGATTCCATGCTCATAGTTTCAATAACTACGGCAAGTCCGGTCCAGAATCCAGATCGTACATTTTCTCCATGATAACAATGTCACCGCTGTGCAGCCCTCTTCAGTCCGAATATCTCAGATTACGTGAGTGGAAGTTATACTGTAATGTGCCAAATGATTGACAGAGTTCGCAGTTGTAGGTTGCTTTCGCACATTTTCTGAGGTCGGTCGCGCTTACATGATCGCCTCAGCTGTAAATTCCCCTTCAGACGTTCTAAGCTTCGCTTACTAAAACAGAAACAGGTCTTCATTGGTATAGGTGGCAGGGTTGGACAGGAGTAATATCATTCGTGGTAGCTGAACGTAGGCACCCAGATGGCCGTGGCCGCATTGCTCAGCTCACATACCGGATTTTTCTAGTCATTCTCCAGCTTCGCCTCTACGCCTTATACTTCCTGGACAAGAGAATCCTCGTTTTCATGGCTACCACTTCATTGATCGCCGCTGCAGCCTCCGCCGCCGTCATGGGCTCCGTGCTATCCAAGATCAAAGGTGACGATCAGTGGAGTCTGATCGATCTATACTGACGATCGCCACAGCTACTGCCCATATGTTCCCAGACCACCCATTCTGCGTTGCGACGGGGATATCCAACCATTTCTACGCGTTCTGGATACCGATGCTAGTATCGGAGAGCGTGCTCTGCGGGCTTGCGCTCGCGCGGTTCGCACAGACGCATCGCAGGGGATCAACGCTGTTCCAGACCGGCAAGCGGCTCGTCGAGAGCCTGATCCGCGACTCAGTGTTTTACTTCGTCGTGTGAGTGCCCTCGTCAATTTCATTCTTAATCCTTACTGATGCTGGCCATGGCAGGATGTTCGCAACGTATCTTGCCAACGCCATCGTCTTCATTGTCGGAAACGTGCGTAGCAATGCCTCTCGGAGATGCGTTTTTGCTGACGTGCAACGCAGGCGACAGAGGTCGAGATACCGGTCGGGTTCTCCGTCGCGTTGTCCTGCGTGCTGGGCAACCGCCTCTGCCTAAATGTCCGCGGCATGATACGCAGGGAGCAGTCGGTACCGTCATCCGAGTACGAGGACGAATACGAGGACCAGTCGTGGCTCCCGGAGGAGATGCAGGAAACCCCGGTCTACAGTATCGAGGCGGGTTCGCACTTGTCCGATGTCGAGCTCAGGGAGCTCCGGGCGATACGCCCAGATCAAGCAGCAACAGTATGAAAGCCCAGACTGTACTCTTATTCATCAATTATGGGTTGGCACGTTGCTGCGCGAGAACTCGCGCTGATATTTTTCATTGTGCGGAGTGGTAAAGAACACGCCCTCGTCTGCAATCAGAACAAGGGTGGCTTCGACGAAGGACATCCCTCGAATGTTTCTATAGGGTGAGGCCGTGGCAGAGCCCAGACTCGTCTCCCTCGCGCAAGAGCAAAAGCCTCCGCACAATACATACCTCACTAAACCTCATCGAGCATCACAGCCCGATGCTACCCCGATGTCGGATCTCGCGAGCGAGGATTCAATAAGAACGATCAGACCGGGCGATATAATTGATTCTCTTCTTTTCACCATTACCTGCTCTGTTCGTAATCCGCGTCTATCGTACAAACTTCCCCCAATGCAGTTCGGTATCTCTCGCATGCCCATGGCAGCCGTGCTCACGCCTTCTTCGCATTGATGATGTCGACAAACTCGGGCTTCAGCGAGGCGCCACCCACGAGGAAGCCGTCGACGTCTGGCTGAGTCCCTGTGAACGGACGTCAGTAGTAGAACCCGCGCGTTGCAAAGAAGCGGCGCACCGAGCTCCTTGCAGTTTACTGCAGTGACACTGCCGCCGTAGATGATGCGCGTGATCTCGGCGACAGCGGGCGAGACGGCGCTCGCAAGGAACTTCCGTATGCCGGCGTGCGCCTCCTGCGCCTGGGCAGAGGTGGCCACCTTGCCCGTGCCGATGGCCCAGACGGGTTCGTATGCAATAACGATTTTGCTAAACGTGCAATGACGGAGCTATAGGAAAATTTGCTGGATGCTGTGAGAAAACATACCTCCAGTCGGCCTCCTTGAGCGCTGCAACGACCGGCTTGAGCTGATCCTGCACGACCTGCGCCGTCTTGTCTGCTTCGCGCTCCTGGAGCGTCTCGCCGACGCAGAGAATCACAGAAAGACCCGCGTCGAGGGCAGCGCGCGTCTTCTGCGCAACAAAGTCGGAGGTTTCATGGAACAATGTGCGGCGCTCGGAGTGGCCTGCGTTGAGGGTCAGGATCTGTTTCGGATGTCCCGCGTGAGATAGGATACGTACCAAGGATCACGTATGGAATACCAGCGTCGACGAGTTGAGCAGGGCTGTAAAATAGAACAGACTATTAGGGCGGGCTCCTTCGGAGGACATTGCAAGCTACAGCCGCGAACCGGTGATGTCACGATGGTCACAGCCTCCAAAGCCAAGAGCGATAGTGAATGCATGGCCACCGGGGGTGATAGCCTTATGACCTGAAACTATGCAGCGAAAGCTCTAAATTGCCAGCGCAGTGCAGCTGCTCATAATGTGAGATGTCGATGCTCACGTCTTGCTATGCACAAGACATAGTTGGCAGAAAACGAGGGGTATTGTGCTCTCCGCAAAAGCTATGCATGAAGTCAAACAATTCGGCCTTCGTGACAATCGTATCCATCGAAGACACGTTGAATGCGATACCTATTTTCTCGTTAGAGCAGCAGATCCAGATGATCAGAGCGATCGCCGCAACTTAAAGGCAGATGTGCACCACGACAGCAAAAGGCACAACTTGCATGACCCACGGCTTACCTGATCTCTCCTGTGAAGGCTCCAGATGGCTTCAAGTAGCAGTTCTGTGCCGATACTTTGATCTCCTTGCGCAGGCTGTCCTTCAGCGAAAGTAAATAGATCGCCGGCGGAGCAATCACAACCTCTAACATGAAATAACGTTTGCTCATTGCCTCCATCTGAGCCTGAGTCACTCACCGACTGCCGGGTCAACGGTAGCCTCGTTTAATGTCTTGACAAGAGAACGCTTCGCTTCGAGCGTAGCGGGGTTCATTTTGAAGTTTCCACCGACGAAGAATTGGCGAGGCATGTTGACGATCTAAGAATGAGGATGAGGAGCGTGATAGATTTCGAGACGTTGGACTGTGCTGCTTGCGGTGAGTCGAGGAGAGTGACGGTGATCAACGAGTGCGGGGCGAGACGTTTGGATGCAATGGGCCGGTCCGGCTGGACTTCTATCCCCGCATCTTATCTTATCTCCCGTAGACAGTTTAGTCCAATCTAATCTCATCTAACCCTCTCAATTCTTGTGGCCGCGGTCACCCTTAGACGGTCCGGTTCGAACATGCAGCACCTCCGACTTAGAGCGTAGATCAAGGTAGTAAGCTTCCATAAGCATTTATATCCCGACTTTCAGTTATATTGGTTTTCGAAGGTGAATCACATCCAGTACATAACAAGGGGCAACGACTTCAAGTTGAAGGAATGACACAAGTCGAAGGGATGACGTAGAAGGCAGCGGACCTGGCAGAATAGGATGAAGAGACTTTGGAGGTCGTACTGAGAGTCCCTCATACTACGATGCAATGCATCAACGCAAACAATAGTTACAACAATTTCAAAAATGTCACAGCAGCACCCTACCAGTCGCCCATGGTAAAAAGATCGTGATGACGGGCAAGCCACTCCCAGTCGGCGCATTGAAAATCTTCCTTGATCCTAAATTTGACTTTCTTACGTGACCAGAGAGGTAGCGGCGTGATATCGTCCGTCGTCCGGTCAATTTCCGTGATGATGAAGGATTCAACGACCATTTTCATGCTCTGAGTCTCGAAGAGCAGCTTTCTGACAAAACTGGGAGGCCAATCGCCTTTCCAGTGTGTATATGTTATCTTAGGACGTTGAGTCCACTAGAAGTGTCTTCAATCAGAAAGGTGCCCCAACTGCGAGGATCATGACACAACTCACTAATTCGAACCATGTGTCGGCGTCTATGTCCACCTTTTTAAAGTAGGTATACAAGCGTAAGGCGACAAGATCTCGGGGCAACGACCGCTGGAGAACTGAATGATCATGAAACGTAAAGGGAGACCCCTGGATGATGTCCAGACCGAGGACTTCGAGGCTGCGGGACGTGGATATCACGTCGAGCAAAGGCTGCATAAATTTCCAGTCGAGATCGACCAGAGATATATCCAGCCGTCGCAGATTCTTCTTGCATCGTAGGAAATTGGCGAGTATGGGTATGTCGTCAGGATCCAGCTTACCGAAGAGCACTTTGAATGACGTCAAAGATGGCAGGGCGGACAGGTTGGTTTTCATTGTACGTTTGATGGGAAGGGGCTTATTATGATACGACTGCAAGACGCACAAGGACTCCAGCCGTGCACCCTGCTGAAACAGGATGTCCAGGTTGTCTAAACTGCACGGTGGCGTCAGGGTGAGCTCCGTCAAATCACGCAGCACGTGATCAGGAGTGTTCCAAATCAGAGAGGCGGGGATGGAAAGTTCTCTGAGCCTCTTCCCGTCAGACGACAGATAGCCATCAAAATCTGAATTGGGGTTCATTAGGTCATAATTATCTTCATCGTCGTCCGCCGACAGGCGGATCACTTCCAAATGTGTGAAACGATTCAGGCATTGCTCAGGGTCGATAGGCCAACTGCTCCAAGATTTATCAGCACACTCTCATTGAATAAGTAATGCCTGAAAAGATACGCACGGTAGAGATACTTCGCGCAAATGTGGACATGATTCAAGCAGCGCATCTAAGAACTCCATTGACGGGAGGGGGTTTTCCCCGTACCAATGCACTAAGCGCAGATTTGGCAGAGACCTAACCATTTCTGTCAACATATCTGAAATTTCTGTTGGCCATTGCAGAACAAGAAAGGGGGAAAAGGCACACTTCTATCCACAATGGCGTATCGTTCCAGCGAGGACGCCACAATGTACAGACTCCGGACGAAGCTTGCAAAAGTGCGATTGCGGATGATGTGCATGAATATGCTCCAGTTTCGGTCAGCGTTCTCCTCGACGCAGTCAGCATCTGTCTTGAAATGATCTGATCGGCCCCAACGTCCAATCTCAAGGTGAAGAGCCGCAAAGACAGACGGAGCCGTAGTTTGGTAGAAAATCCTGGAGACGAAGAGCGCCGTCCATTTGTCCTTGCGAGGTAGGTATGTTATGATTTTGTGCAAGATCTCTAGAGGAAACCCAGCAGGTTGTGTGTTCGCATTCATCGCGACTTTCACGACCTGAGAGTCGACTATCGGATGACAGTGGCGTTTAAGCGTGTTTGATCGATTTGAGAGGTGGCCGTCGATTTCGAGCGCTAGCAGAATCTCAGTCACGTGCACCGCGACTGCCCGCGATCAAGCGCTCAGTTTCAAAGCGGGCCTCTCTCGTCTCTTTTCTCTCGTGCGCTCATCCTCTCGTACGCGATCTTCTGCGCCTCCTCGCTGCCTCGCACAGCACACAACATTTTCTGAAGGTCCAGATAACTGTACGTTTTTCAACCCTCATCGATGGCGCGGTGTTCCTGAACTAAGCAATCGAGTCAGATCTACAAGTTCCGTTAGACGCATAGTGTATGCGCTTTTGCCGCATACGACCAGCTATCCTTCATCATTGTACGATACCCCGCCAGTTCATCCGTCAAAACTACTCTCGCATGGCCGATACCCCGGTGAACAGGACGGCACACCCGTTTGACAAGGCGCGTCTCGAGGCGCTGCTAAATCGCAGGTTCTTCTACGCTCCTGCTTTCGAGATCTACGGCGGTGAGTTTTCGTGTTGTCTGGGATCTCATGTGGGGAGGACGCAAGGATAGCAGGATGTGATGGGAATTGATGCCTGATTCGATGGAGATGCAGATTTAGCAAAATGCATCCGTCGGTTCCAGTGCAGTCACACATGTTCCTCCCTTGTGGTTGGCACCTCTTTGCCAGTCTCCAGAGCGCTGACCAGCTGCTGACTAGGCATCGCTGGTCTCTACGACTATGGTCCGCCGGGCTCGTCGCTGCAGAGCAACATCATTACAGAATGGCGGAAACACTTTATCATCGAGGAGCACATGCTGGAGCTGGACACGACCATCATGACTCCATCGCCCGTCTTCGAGACATCCGGCCACGTCGCACGCTTTGCGGACTGGATGGTGAAAGACGTCAAGACGGGCGAGGTGCTCCGCGCTGATCATCTCGTCAAGAATGTGCTCTCCGCGCGATTGGAGAGCGACAAGGAGGCGCGTGGCCTCGCAGCGCAGCCACTACCGGAAGATGAGAAGGCGAAGAAGAAGGTTAAAAAGGACAAGACAAAGGCCGCTCTCGTGCAGCTTCCCGACGAGGTGGCGGCGGAGTACGAACGCATCCTGGCGCAGGTGGGTTCTGCAGATCATCCGCTTGAACGATGTCGACTCGAGCAATCATATCTTGTAGTTGGACAACTACTCCGGACCCGAGCTCGGTGAGCTATGCCGGAAGTACAAGATCACCAATCCGGAGACGGACAACGAGGTCTCCGAGCCGCAACTTTTTAACCTAATGTTCGCGAGCAGCATCGGTCCTACCGGCCAACATCCAGGGTGAGTCCTTCGTCCAATCGCCAGCGAGACATATCGACAATGCTCCCGCCAGCTACCTCCGACCCGAAACTGCGCAAGGCCACTTCCTGAACTTCTCGCGCCTTCTCGAGTTCAACAACGGACGCGTGCCATTCGCATCTGCGCAGATCGGAAGATCATTCCGGAACGAGATCTCGCCGCGCGCCGGCCTCCTGCGCGTGCGCGAGTTCACGATGGCGGAGATCGAGCACTACGTCGACCCGGAGGATAAGCGGCATGCACGGTTCAGCGAGGTGCGCGACGTCGTACTCGACCTGCTTGATCGGCACGTGCAGGTGTCTGGCAGCACGCGGACGACGAAGATGCCCGTTGGCGAGGCGGTCGAGCAGGGCATCATCGCGAACGAGACGCTAGGCTACTTTATCGCGCGCATCTACCTCTTCCTCGTGAAGGTCGGTATCAACCCCGCGCGGCTGCGCTTCCGGCAGCACATGAAGAACGAGATGGCGCATTATGCGACGGACTGTTGGGACGCGGAGATCGAGAACTCGACGGGCTGGACGGAGTGCGTAGGCTGTGCAGACCGCGCGGCGTTTGACCTATCAGTACACTCGGCCAGGACGGGCCACCCGCTCATCGTACGCCAGGCACTCAAGGAGCCGATCGTGATGGAGAAGGAGGTGCCCGAGTTCAACAAGAAGATGCTCGGGAAGACGTTCGGCAGGGACTCGGCGGTGATCCAGGGCATCGTGGGCGAGATGGACGAGGCACATTTACTCAGGCTCAAGGGCGAGCTGGCACAAGGGTAAGGCGTTGTCTGCCAAGCTGACACACCGTGCGGCGTTTCGCTCACACGACCTGCAGGGCCGCGAAAATTGTATCGTCGGATGGCAGGGAGTTCACGCTGAGCCCTGATCTGCTGACGATCGAACGGAAGACGTTGAAGCAGTCGAGTGGGTGTTGCGCCTCGTTTGCTGCTGCGTGCCATCATCATCTGACCCATCGTCAATATATAATGTAGTCAGGGAATTTACGCCCAACGTCATCGAACCTTCCTTCGGGCTCGGTCGCATTCTATACACGCTGCTGGAACACAGTTTTTGGAGTCGAGAACAGGACGTCGAGCGTGGGGTGCGCGTCTTTCACCTTCCCATGAGCTCACGCGTGCATGCATGGTACTGACTTGACTTGGGTTGGTCGCGTAATCGCGTAATCACCCCCACCCCAATGGCCCGCTTAGGTGCTCTCGCTGCCTACGGTCGTAGCTCCCACCAAGGTTCTCATCGTGCCGCTGAGCGCAAAAGAAGAGTTTAGCCCGCTCGTTCAGGAAGTCTGTGAGTTTGTTCGCCGTGTCAGCTGTGCATCCCGCGCGCACGCACGCATGCAGCATGTTGGTCTCGCGACACACACACTAACATGGGAGTTGCCTCGCAGCGCTGAAGTTACGCCGGGCGGGCGTGTATTCCCGCGTCGACGATTCAAATACGTCGATTGGCAAGCGCTACGCGCGGAACGACGAGCTGGGCACCCCGTTCGGCCTGACGCTCGACTTTGCCTGTGAGTTCCCCACCCCTTCTTTATCTGCACGTTTTGCCTGCTCGCTGCTGCTGAACTCCACTCCGCTCTCGTCTAGCCCTGCAAAATCGCACGATGACGCTACGGTGAGTGGTCGCGCTTGCACTCGCACCTGCACCGTAGTCAGCTGCGCGCGAAAGAGAGCCCTCGTTCCGCGACGCGCGGCGCGCTGCGTGGGGCTCTCTTTGACTCGCACTCCGGCTCCCGATCGGTTGCTGATGCTGGTAGACCGCCTGACCTGACCTCCTCTCACAGGGAACGCGACACGACCGGCCAACTGATAGGTCCCATCGACGAGGTGATCGCGACCGTCATCGAGCTCGTGAACGGCAACATCGACTGGGCAGAGGCCTGCCAAAGACTGCCCGCATACGAGGGCGTGCAGGCGGTGGAGTGATCATTATCTCGCACAAGCACCAAACACACGCTTTTCGTTTCGTGCGTTTGATCTGATCACGCATATACATTGCACTGGGGCTTGCAGGGAAGTAAGATTCATAAAGGCCGTGAGTAGTTACACATCACGAATTGAACGCAGACTACACTAGCACCGATCGTTGCCCATATGTATGGCCGGCTGCGCGCGCGCGCGCACGCAAGGCCGCCGCCGAGATAAGCAGGCTGAGAGCTTTCCCCATTTACATTGACGGTGGCAGCGATGGCGTGTCGGGTGCCGGTGAGGTTCAGCTCTAGCTCAGGGATGGCGAGCATGGCATGGCACGGCACGCTCGGGGGAAGAAGCCGCTGATACGATACTGTATGCATACGCAGGAAGAGGACGTACCGGAAAAGGAAGGGCGGGCCCGGGGGAGAGGGTGTTTCACGTCTCAGGCCCGTGTCATCGTCATCGCATCATGCAAGTTCGCCATCCGACGCGCTGCATGACGACGTCGCGCGCGCGAGCGGCGTTGCGCGGAAACGTCGTTTGTACGGATATACGCCATAGGTGTGCGCACGCCGGGAATCGGGTTTATTAGTGGTGGTGGTGGGATGCTTTGTTTGGCACGCACGCGCGAGGCTGCGAGGTCCCTCGGTGGCGTTGGGGCAGTAGCAAGCACGCACGCACGCGTCCGTTTGTCCGTCCGTCCGTCCAGACCAGACGGCGAATCCGACCGGGGGAGCTGCGGCAGAAGCGGCCCCGGGAGATGTCCATGTCCATGTCAACATGAGACGATGGGAAGACAGCGAAGTGCTGCCAGTGCGTGAGCAGCAGACTCCACTCGAGAGAGAGAGAGATCTGGCTTTTCATACCAACACAGCCTCCGAGAACGTCCGACGGCGCGTGCCGCCTCGAGTTTGTCGTACACGCGCCGCGGAGGTGAGTTTGCACGTCAGCAGACTGCCAGCGGGGTGTTTGTGTGAGGCGAGGTAAGCGGCCGTGTGCGTGGGACTGGGACTGGGACGCGCAGGGCTGCTGCTGAGAAGTGCACGCTGTGCAGAGCGAGAGGGACGGGTGGCGGCGAGTAGCCGTGATCGCGTCTGGTTGGCCGCCCGGCAAATATGGATGGGGCTGGCAGGCGGAAAGTAGCGGCGCGGAGTGCGGCCAAGCCAGTGATCAGACTTCGATTGAGTTTGCGTCGGATGCTTGCGACGCGCGGAGGCGTGCGAGGCCGTGGGCTCGCCATCAGTACTCAGTCTGCGGCGCGCGCGGGCGTCATGATGGGTGTGCGCGCTCCCAGGAACACAGAGTCCGACCCGACAATGACGCGGGGTTGGCTTCGCTCGTCCCCGCGGAAAAGAAGGACGGGGAAGAAGGCGCATCGGTATCGAGGTGGCACCACGCGAAAGTGCAGTGTGCGCCGGAGAAGGCGCGATAGACGATGGTGGGCTGCGGCTGCGCGCAGCGAGGCATGCGAAGGGCGGCCGGTGAGGAGCACAGGGGTAGGGTGGGATGGGATGGGGTGGAGTAGTGGAGACAAGCCATGTAATATCGACAATGTCGTCGGATTAACTGGACGATGTGGACGATGAAGATGGGAAGGAAGCCGCATTGCGCATTGTTAGGGTAGGCTTCGCAGCGGGATCGCGGGTGTTCGAGCTTCGAGCTTCGCATGCCCAGCAACCACACCATGAATCATGAATGTGAATCTGCGGAGCGAGGTCTTCTGGGTGCGACAGGTGCCGCTGAATTGGCCAAACGGGCTGCTCGTTCCGCGCGCGCTCGTGCGCGTGTGTGGCAGGTGACTGGGCAGGCTGATTTGGGGCGAGGGAGGGGGTGCGAAGCGCGAAGGAAGGGGTACTGAGCCTGGACTTGGACTGTGCTATACCGGGGACGCGATTGAGTTGCGCAGTGGCGCCCTGAGGTTCAGGCTGGCCTGGGCGGGTGCGAGAAAGAGGCAACCCCGCGTACGTGTGTGCAACAAGAGCGAGTGCTTGCGGCGCAGGGAGCAGCAGCGGCGGCAGGGAGTTCCCATGAACGTGCACGGCGTGCTGGGAGAGGGTGGCGTTGACGGCAGAGACGCGGGAGGGAAGGGTCTTATGACAGGCAACGCGCATTTCCCCAATGGCCGTGGCGTGGGTGAGCGAGCTGGGATGAATGGGAATGGATCGCGGGGGTGATGCGTCCGAGAGGGATGCGCGATCCGGTCGGGAAGGGTCATCATACTGAGAAGAGGTGAGCTCTAGATTCGTGTTGTCATCATTCAATCGCGCGCAGAGGATATCGGAATCTAGCAACGAGGCAGGGTGCGGCAGGAAATATTAGTGAACGTCTTATCGAAACGCCCGACCCTTGTTGGGCCGCGCGATTGGCCAGATGTCGCCCCGATTTGCACGTCCCAAATGTATACGCCGACTCGCTTCCCTCCCTCTCTCGCTCTGGGCCCTCCTCCATATAAAGTCTGCCTTCCCCGTCCTCTCCCTCCCTCCTCCCATCCAACGCGCTGCACACGCGCCGCCACTCTCTCCTTCCGTCCGTCCGACATTGGCTTGTCGTGAGACTCTTATTTCGCGCTTTCCTTGCGCCCACACGCGCCGCAGCTGCACCGCCTCCGATCCGCTTCCGAGTCCGCGGCACGTCCGTCCCGAACCGCCAGAGAAATCATGTCGCAAATACAAAAGTCCAGCTCCTCGTCCGCATCCTCCGCCGCGAGCATCCCGCCGGAGCACATCATCGCCCTCCCCAGCCTCTCCTGCCAGCTGTCCTCCCTCCCCGCCGCCAAGAGCATCGACAGCGTCTCCCTCCACCCGACCTCCATGTCCGCACAGCGCGCCGCGGAGAGCGAAGCGAAGGTAATTAACACCCGATTGACTGCCCGCCTCGCCCTCGAAAACACGCCGTAATGCATCCTTGTTGCTCGCAGCTGCGCAAGCTTCTTTCGAAAAACGGGGCGCCGCAATCGGGCGCGTCGTCAACAACGTACGCGTCGCATGTCAGTCTCGCCCATCTCTCGCTCTCACGCTCGACACTGATCTCGCTCGTCCTGTTGCAGCCACATGCGCGCGATCCGGCGTCCGGCTCGCCTCCGCTCATGATGCGGAAACCGGTGAGTCGCGCGGCACGCTCTCTCGTCGTGCACCTTCCTGACGCGCTGCGCCGACAGGTGAAGAAAGTCCACGCTTAGCTTCGCCGCCGCCACACCCCACACCCGCCATAGACGTCTTCTCAGACCGAGAGAGAGCTCTCTCCGTGTCTTGCCTTCCGACCCGCACCGGGACTCTGCTGCGCGCAGCGCACCCCACTATTATGCCACGCCGCACAAAAGCTCTCCATCGCACATCTCATCTCTCGCTTTGCATCACTAGACGTTCTCGTTCTGTTTCGCGTACCTAGGCCCTACTACTACTACCCGTATACCGCACGCCCGTCCATTCCCCATTCCCACTCCGTATCCATATCCATATCCATACCGCGCCTTCTTGCATGTGTCCATCCTCTCCATCTCCGCCTCGGTCTGTCCCTCTATTACTGCATAGCTTGCTCGGCTTCACTCTCTTCGCGCACACTGGTCTACATCCTCTTTGTTTTTGTCTGGTCTGGGGGTTTTCACTCGGGGGTTCCGCTCTGGTGTCTTGACTCATTATTATTAGTACGCATCCGAGTCCTGTCCATGTTGCCTACCGCTATCCGGTCCAGAACAACTCTGCTGATCGCCGCCTTCTCCGCGTGCCTTCTCTCTTTTCGCACTTTGCATATCGCACTTCGATGCGCCGGCCGTCGCCCCACGTGCGTTAATGCGTTCGTGCGTTGATGCGTGAACGGTACGTATGGTACGTATGATGGCTGGGCACGGCGCTCCGGCGGTGTCTTCCCTTGAACGCACTTCTCGGTGTGCTTGTGCAACAACGATCCAGAACTACACGTCGTGCCTTGAGTCCCGGAGCCCGATTGCTCGCGCTCAGGGCCTTCATTGTGAATATCGAATATCGAATACCGCGAAATCGTCACGGTAATCGTGATCGCGGAAGCTGACACCGAGTCGTTGCCTCCGAAGCTGAAGCTTCCGGCCTGGCCAGCCCACACAGCAAAGAAAGCACCGGTTCTCGTTACAGAAAGGGTGTTAGAATTGAATTGAATTGAATTGAATAATTTAGCCATTCCCATCGAGTGAATACCTTTGGAACGCTTGGAAAAGGCAACCTTTGCGCCTTTCCTGGGCAATAACTCGCATCACACTGACTCGGAAAATGATAGGACGCCGCATCAGGGGAGAGTCAAAGAAAAAGAAAATCCACCAATTTCCATGCGTTTCTCACCGTATGTAGGAATCGGCGCTTTCTTTGCAGTGCCGGTGATCACGAGTGCCGCATTGATTTGGCTTGCGTCCATGATCGTCCGCGGCCGCGAATATGAATATTGAGAAAGTACGCGTTCACGCTCGTTTAGGAAGGTCGAGTCTCTGACTTCTGACTAGTGACTTCCACCGCCATCGATGCGATGGCCCTGCATCGACATTCGTTGATGCATCGTGCATCGTGCATCATACATGTGCTCTATACTTCATACTCTATACTGCCCCCGCCGTGCGTTCTCGTTCTTGCTCGCGCGCTGGGCACGGATGATGAGTCGACGCATTGGTGAGACGTTGATGTGCGCCCATTTGTCTGCGCAATTGCAATCACAAGATGGCGAAGTACACTTACATTCGTTTGAACCTCGGAGACGCGTCGGGTGCTGCCGCCAGAGCGTCTGAGCGTGTTCGTCCATTCCATTCCGTTTTGTTCTCACTACCATGACATGCATGCACGGTGTATGCGCACACAACATACACGCTCCGGCATCGCCTCGTGCGCAAGCTGAACCCAAACACCGACGTCTCCCCGCACGAGGAAAGGAAATTCCGACTTCAAACCCGGCTTTCGCGCGCATCGTCCATATCGCTCGGTGGCTCTATCCTGATATTGCACGGTGGGACCGGGTGGGTATTTCGGTATCTGGGTATCTGGTCATTTAGCCATTTCGCGACCGGCGCGCTCGCCTATCTGTCCTATCTTCATCATTGATTCATTGCGACCGAGACGACCATATCTTTTGCCATCCAGATGCGATATCTAGGCTTTCTCGACTTACGTCAAGCCGTCAAGCCGTCCGGCCCACAGGTTCCTCGTGTGTGCGTGTGCCGAATGTTGACATTGCGAGGAGACGAGACGGAACCAGCCGGCTAGTTTCCTGGCGAGAATATCTTTTTGTTTTCGATGAACTTCCTAAGAGTAAATAATGAGCGATTTCGCGGTTAATGACGCAAGACTCACGTACCCTTGCGCCCTGTCCTCAGCCCTATCTTCCCGAGCGGCGAAACAAGCTCAAGCTCAGCGGGTTCACATCCGCGCAGAGTCATATTTCTGTCATGGATCAAGCGTGGTGGTTCCTCCGGTGGGGAAGCTTCTCCGCAATGGTTAATACCCTGTCTGCCTGACATACACGGCCACATTGCATCGTGCGCGTTTCCATTTCCATTTCTATTTTCTGTTTCCCCGGATGTCGTCCGCGTGGACGCACGGGGAACACAATCACTGACACGCTGCATAGAGTTTCGGCGGGCGAGCAAGACGAAGAGCTGCCTTCTGCCTTTCGACCTTACGTCCCTGCCGAACGCCAAACGCGGAGCGGTGATCCAGCCCAAGCCCAGGACGGGGCTACTCAGGCGGGGCGAGGGTGGGGGAGGGCTCCACAGAACGTCCGCGGGCTCGGCGCGTCGCTGCTGCGAACGTGCGCGACCTGCGTCTTGCATCTTGCGTCCTTGTGTTCGTACATTTCGCCAGACGATGACGAGCGGTCTTCACCTCGTGCAGGAATCGAAGTGCAGCCTTGGAAGGAATTGCAATTTTAGCAATACTCGCCGTAATGAATCGCCCGACCATCGGAGCGCGTAGATAAGCAATTACCTGTCGGGTATTTAAACGCAAAAGGTTCGTCCATTCGATTCGCGCTCACGGACGGCACCCGCATAGGACGCTATCTCGCTTGTGAGTACGCGATGTGGCGCGGTGCGGGCAGCGGGCAGCGGGCAACGAGCAGCTGCGCACTGACTAAAGGGCACATGCACGTCCTCGCCATAGCCCCCGCGCTTCGCGCCCGCTGATCCGGGCAGGACAGGACAGGGCAGGGCACGAACGAGCAAGTGGCACCCCCTCGCGCAACTCTATCTCCGGGAAGCCGTCGCGTCTGAAAACTTGCTCAATGCGGGCCTCTCCCCTCGCGCACGGGAGCTTTCGCTCCGGGGCCAGCCGGACGAGCAGGCACGCACGCACGCCAGACACGATTGCACCGTACCCGGCTCGCCAATGCGTGGTGATCCTCCTGCCCTATACAGGACAGGCGCACTAGAAGTTTCCTGTGATAAGCTATTAGAGCCAGCCCGCTGCTGCTGCTGGCGCTGTTTTCGCTGGGACGCCGGGCCTGTGCTCGACTGCTCGACTTGTTGCGTTCCGGGAGGCTGGGTGGCTGCTACGATAGGGCGGCCGCTGATCTTCTTCCTTGGGCAGGCAGCGACCTCGTTCACCCTCGCGCATGGTGCGCTCCAGCTTGGCAGGCTCAGCAGGATTGCGTTCCGAAAACTTACGGATGGTTTTCCTAACGGCTGGCGGGGAGGCGGTGCGCGCCATCTGCTCCTGCCTGGACAAAAAAGTCGACAGTGACACGGCACCGGCTAGGCTCGACAGGCTCATGCACGTTTCACTTGTTTTTCCTTGTGATTCCGACAGCGACCTCGCGGGCGGTGACGAACTGTCGATCCACTATCTCCCTGTATGGCTAGACTCGGAGGACTCTGTAAGGAGTACGTTTGATCAATGGTTGATGCAGCGTAGCAACTTACGTTGGCAGGCATAGCCGATGATGACCCAGGCTGATCGGTGCAGTGAAGACGAGTGTCCGGATATGCGCCGAACGACTGACGTTGTGGACGGTGCACGCAGGGCCGAAAGACGACCCCCTGATCACGCTCATTTCGGTCTTACCAATACATCAACAAAAAGACCCTGGTTACATATGTGGGAAGGTGCAATCAAACAATGGTACCGTTTGCGAGATTTATCCAACGTCGATCTGCCCGATCACTGCTTTTTCCCAGACGCCTCCTTTGCGATGGCCCGATCAGCCACACGCAAAGCCGTGGATATGTCCTTGCCCAGTCGCCAGATAATGAAGCTCGGGCCAAGCAGCCAAAGTCTTGGTGTGGCAACCGTTTCAACATAGAAGGAAATTCGGCGAATAAGAGACATTGCGCACCCGTTCGGAATTATCCATAGTACGATCAGATCCTTCAAGCTGTTGTGTCCCACGGAGCACCCACCGCAGTAAAGCTCCTGCAGCCAATACAAGACCGTCTTCGACAGGGTCATGACGGCACTCGCGAACCCGAGCAACGTTGCGGTTGGCGTGCCTTTGACGTGTGCGAGGTAGAGATAGCCAATGTTCATGAAGTTCTCGACGATATTCAGGAGCGCTAGGCAGGTCAGCCGGAGCGCCGAAGGAGCGTTGTGAAGAGAAAGAACTCACATTGGGCATTAGGGAACCCATCTCCTTCCTCGTATGCTTTTATGCCGTAAATCTGTGATATGGGGTTAAGGACGTGCGAAGAGCACTGGAAAGAGGTGCACGGACGTAGTCCACCTCCTGATACAATGCGTACGGCTTCCAGATCCAATGCAAGTCGCCACCGACCATGGAACGCGGTCTGCGAGTATGAGGATCAGCGGTCGAAGTTAGAGTTAGCACTATAGCGAGGCTCACCGCGTGAGGCAGTACATAGCGTCCCAGAAGATGACTGGCACCGTGAGTGCGAACCTGAGCGGTTAGAGCACCTCCTCAGTCGAAACTCTGAGATCGAGCCATAACAGACATGTCCGTACCACAGCGAAACCCAGAAATGCGTCTTGGCCGCCATGTCCGTTGGTGGTGGAGAGAGGAAAGAGATGCGTTGCAACGCCACCTGCAGGCTGCCAACGTAGACACGCACGCCGTGAGAAGAAACCTTGGATGGTGCGACTTTCGATTGAGTGGCTGCGTGGTCCTTGACCACGGTATCGTCCTCTGTAGACGAGCTCGGAGTCGAACTCGACGATGCAGAGGTTTCTGGTTCTGGACTTGGGCAGGCGGGCTCAAGATAGAAACCCATCATGGCTGTCTCGCTGTCTTCCCTGTATCCCCTCCTCCAGTGTGCCGCTGGCTGCGGTCGTGACGCTTCATCGCGTCGCATAGTGTCTAATCGGTCTGTATAGCTCGCGGAGAGATAGATTCCAAGCATTGGTATTGGCGAGAGCGTGACGATGCGGAGCGGCAGCTGTGTCAAGAAGGTTCATGGGTGGCCTGGACGCGCGAAGTTATCATATTTCATGTAGCTGTGGGAGATGCACCGCGTTGACACACGAGGCTTTGCTCAGTAGGCAACGTGGACAGCGTGCGGTGAGGAGTGGCTAGGGTAGAGGTTGTGAACGACGTCGATGTTGATAGTCTTAGCTGCAGCCACCGGCCGGATAAATGACGAGCTATTCAACTTTACAGCCACCACCATCACGTATCACGTATATCCTGATCAAAGACAACGTTCCACTCCGTTGATCGCTGCTTTGAGCTATACGATGCGTTCATTGCATGGCGAACGAAGGGCGGAACAAAGCACATCTATTCATGGGCACTTTATCGCATGTTTCGCTACCCGGATCATTTGTGTCTGATTCAGAGATTCCACGAAGCAGGTATCCTTCATGGTTGCGGCCTGTTTTGAATCCTCTCGAAATTTGTGGCGACGGCTCGCAAGGACATCATGAGAGGCAGCGATTCCTGAGAACAGTTGCCTGCATGAATGCTGACGGTATGTCCGATGCAACGTGCTCCGGAGTAAGGTAGTGATTTGCTGAAGTGTTTGCTGTTCCTGCACACAAAGCACGCGTCCGTCCACGTTTGACGCACATATGAATATGACTGTCAAAGCTCAGCTGTGAACTATGTTGTCCTTTCAAATAACTCGGCATACACCGCTTGAGCGAGTGTGCCCCCATGCGATGGGGCTAAATTCTTTCTATTCGGAGGACCCAAGCGTGATCATCGCAAGACTCATGTGCAAATAACTGCGAGTTCAATCACAACTCATATTTCATCTTTAAATAGCAGCATTGCAAGTAAAGATATCACCGTTGCAGGTGATGCCGGCTTCATCATGCCATGAGTACGGTACAGACCAGGACGAGCACTAGCGTATCGGTAACAATGAATCACACGCGGGTCAAGACTCTGAGCTCTACATAGCAGATCTCGAGGCGGCTTCAAGCACTGCAAGTGGTGAAGTGAATAAAGGCGCGACCTCTGTGATAAGGGCCACATTAGTGTAATGGTATGAGCACTGCATCAAGGGCGTGATGTATATACATTTTATATTCTGCACTGGAGGTCGGAATAAAATCCGCACAAATCAAACGGGATGCGTAAATTCTAGCCTAATTTGTACTCTTGACAGATCGTTCTGTGAATTCTGCGATCAATTGTAACTGTGAAGCAGGAAGTTCAGTGCTAACCGAGCTGGCGCCGATGTGGGGTCATACTCAATCCGAAAACGATACTGCTGAGACGCAAGTCACGACCACTGAGACGAGTAGACGGCGAACCCTTGATGAAACATCGTAGCTTTCTATGGAGGATGGGGCGTTTTCTTCTGATCAACGAACACAATTACATACCTGCTCATAGAAGGAATGCCATGGATCCAAGGACTCCCACGAGGATCACCAGTCTCACAACGAGACACTCATGAATGGGCATTCGAACCTCTACATCTGTTTAAAAATGTTATAGGTGAACCGATGAAACGCGCAAACCCACGTACGGCGACTGCAACGGATGGATTGGTTTGCACGATGCTGATGAGAGCCTTGGAAAGAAGAATTGACTGGTTGACGAAAAAAAAGTGGTCCCAAGATGCAGCGAGTCTGTTTGATCACATATACTGCATCTCCTGTCCAGATCTTGTGACGCGATCATAAATAAGAATAAAAGCTGCAAATGATCATCGAATCAAAAAGAGTTGCGCCCGTGAGATTGGATGGTATGACATACGTGACGCAGCGCATCAACATTACATGAGGTCTCGATGAGATGGCCTGGCACATATCAATAAGGTACGAAGTGAAAGGACAGCAAATAGTAAAGGCATACATGATCCACAGTATCAGGAGTTCTGCATCGACCAACATGTCCAATGCACTGGAGAGAGTGCGTACAGCGGCGTCAAGGTAGGCCATGATCCTCCTTTAGTTTATAGCCCTTCGTGCCATGATGGCCGGGACAATCCGTCCGACACCAGATTGTCTCTCTTTGCAGCAGCAGTATTTGCACAGTACGGGCTGTACATAGTCCCGGTAAATCATGTGAGCAACCAAGGCGAAGATCGCAGATCATATGCCACATCGAACGACGGAAATCTCCACTGGCACGGCGGTGCATTCAACAGATGCCTTGTCTCTCGAGCGCATGGAAAATTGATGTTTTCTGGCAATCAATGTCCACTGTGCAGTGGACAACGTCCGCGGGGACATCTGAATTAGCTGGGCAGAGTATATAGAAAAAAATGATTCCAGCATACGTGGTCCGGTAGATGACCTGATCGAATTGAAATCGACCATTTACAGGACCCTCCTGTTGTAAGTCAGGAATTGTGACACATGCGAGCATTTCCAACGACCCTGAAGTGGTCGATGTGCAGGGATCCGGGAGGGACAAAAGACGGGGAGGAAATCTATTTATCTCGCGCGCTTAGTTTGCACGGCATGCAGCAGCAATATATTAGCATGGCGGCTCGCACCGAAAATGGTATAAGAGGCGGTAACCTCTTTCCTCTGGTACAATGAGATTCTAATTTACCGTGGTAGTTGGAATAAGTTAGACAGCACATCTATTATCCTATATCACTTCAGCTGTGCAAGCAATTGAGATGCGACGTACATACAGCCACTCGTGAACAGACGAGTCATGAATAGTTGCCATCTTCGTGAATACGAGCAGTCCTCGTCATCCGAAGCATAATTTCTCTCAATATCTGCACCAGAATAGCCCGCCCTCCCATCCGTGCCAGTTAAGGACGAGTCCGCGGAGAACGTGTTTGACTGACGTCTGCCCTCCTCGATGGCAGAGTTCGCTTCGCCAATTGCCTGCAAAGAAATCGTTGCGAGCCTGTCCTCATTTGCAACAGCCGCGGCTTCACCGATGTCGCCAATTTGCAGTTCGTAGGAATCTATGCCTTCGATGCGTAATGATGCGACCGCTTGCGGATCCGTAGCATGCTGAGTGGAAAATGCGGCCTCATGTAGATCCAGCATGCATCGGGACATCATGATGGAGGTGAACCTGCGTGTAATATGGCACGATAAGATGAAGGCGAGTAAACAAGAAAGCAAGCCACGAACGAAAAGTTGAAAGCATCCAGCACATCCGACATCTGTGACTCGTCAGTTAGAGCTCATGATGATGCGACCAAGGAATGACGAACGGCGAGAAGCCACACGACAACCTGAGAGACATTGACGGCAAGCAAGATTCTGTAGCCGAGTCAGCTACATATTGACAGCGAGCACATAGTTACCGCAACAAACCCGAAGTACATTGCACCTGCTGTGATGTCAAATCATACACCGAAAAAAATAGAAGACTCGTCTACCATTTCTAAGCAGAATCAGCGCCAAAGACGAGACAGTGCCAGACGGTGGTCCTATTTTGATGGTGCCATAGGCATGGTACCATGTGAGAACAAGAACAAGCGCATCGTTGGCGATAGCGCATGAGCGTGTCGCGATAATCCCTGTAGAGAGATTTGTGACACGTGAGGGACACGAAGAAGATGAAGTAATACCACTGTGTGGAGAGCCATCAGACAGTCGGATATTAAATGTTAGCCTGTAGTAAACTTACATCCCATATTCGCTATTGGACAACGAGGTAGTTTGTACACATATTGTGAAGTTCTCGATCTCAACCGTCAGAAGTGATGCTTTCGCAAGCGATTCCTTTGCAGCAGTCAGATGCGCAACCATTCTCGAATCATTTGAATGTCAGCACGTACGAAATTGGTCGCGACTGGCACAAGGCCTAATCCCAGCACAACCACAGTGAGGAGTTTTTTTCTGTTGCTGATAGCATGAACCCTCAAAGCTGAGAAAACTGGAAAGATGCGCAATCATCAGTCACATAGGAAATGATGACGAACATGCTGGTGCATACCTGCCCATAAACACATTGAAAGCATTTCCAAGGATGTGAAAAGGTAAGGTACTGTTTTGCATCTGCACAGGAGAAAAATGAGTGACCCGTGAGCTGCCGCTGCCGTGGCCTAAGTAAGATGACGGACCCCTGCGTTAGATGACGTCAGCCGTTATCCCTCTGGTCTCATAAAGGGGCTTTGCACATACAGCAGAAGAGGATTGCAGAAGCTGAAAAAGGATGTAGAAGACAGCGACGGCTAGCGTCGTAACGCGGGTCAAGAAGTACAGTGCTACGGAGAGCGTCAACTTTCTTGACCAAAAATGACGAACGTCTTGACCCAAGGTGAGCAAGAAGTCATATATAATCATGGCTAGAGATAAAATGAGGTTTTGACGGAATGCAGAAGACGGGAATATTGCACTGCTCACTCGAGACAGCGACTTCGCAAGCAACGCTGGTGAATCTGTAAAGGGCAGTCAGTTGACTGACATGATACAATCCATAGGATGGACCTCACTCGAACGATGTCTAAGACCCGAAGATACGCCGGATCGGCAGACATACTGACCCTTGTCGGTGGGACGAGCGAAGGCAGATGTGTAGTGAGAGAAAGGATTTTTTCGGTCTCGACTATATGAAGTTTTTGTGAAATGATTTCGCCTTCGCTCGGGTGATTCACAGCCACCAGACCACACGCACCCTCGCCTTCAACGTAGAGTGGCTCAGTTGAGTTACCCACTCACCTCGCATTGCAGTGGGTTCCCGCTATATGCACGGCTTTCAATACAATAAGGAGCGGCTTGCGCCTCAGTCGCTGTGATGCGTGAAGTGAGCAACACCACAATCGCAGAACTGTGATTTTGGATTCCAACACGATTGAAGGATGCAATCGCTCCATACAAGGGTCACAGGGAACAGTGGGAACGCCTTACGAGCATTGGCGATGCCAGGCATCCGACATGGGATCGGCGGTGACTCGCACCAGCGATGTAAACGATAAATGAATTTTGAGCGGATGTATATGATAGGCTCGCATGGCGGTCACTTTGAGCAACTGAGCCAGTCATTTACCTCATGACCGGAGGCGTACACTTGCATTGTCAGGAGCCGCAGGCTTGTCATGTCGTCTTCACCGTCGGACGTTGCACCTTGCGGGTGTCACTATCAGCGGGAGATGCTAACAGATTAGCTGCTACCGATAGATGCATCTCACTGTTGAGCAAGTAAGCGCGGGCAAGCAGCTCATAGATTCAAGTGACACGCAGGGCTTCTGCGTTTAATTTCTGGTGGCGGTCGGGACTCAATGGGGACAGTGATGGTTCCGAACCTGCGCTGTCTCCACTCGTAGCGCCAAATATACGGAGTCTGCGTATTGAGCGCTAAGCCACCACAACCACTACGAAGATTTAAGAACTGACAATTTGTAGTTTTCTTTAACTTTGACCTGCTAGTCACTGGCATTCTATCACTTCGTGAGTCCATGGACTAGTGCCCAAGGAAGGTGTAAAACAGGCCTTTTCAAGCCCTTCTCGAAAATCATTTACTTGATGAGAAAGGCCAACTCCCCCATTTTGATTGTAATGTCCTTGCTGCGATATTGGCACTTTCTTTGCTGTGCATCCTGCGCGGATCTATGCGGACAGATGCCAGTCACGGTGAGCAATGGCGCTCGACGAACGAACGATACATTCTACATACTACAGCTTTCCTGATCTACAGCTCGGCTTCTGATATTGATATGTACAAACAAATGCTCATAACAACACGGTATTCAGGTCCGTTAACATAACGAACAACACCAAGAAAGCAAAATATGACAGTACGTTGCAACAAATAAATATCAGCATGGCATGGCATGGCTCGTACTGGCCCAGGAGCGAATCAAAGCAGTCGCTCTTTATCTCGTACAGTCCGGATCCAAATCTCCTCTGGTCGACTAGAACAAACCCAGGTATCAACAGGTGTCGGTCTAAAAGAAAATCCACGACGTACTTCTTTTCCCGCAAAATTCGGAAAACATTTTTGCTGCTCTTCTCTTCCTTTTCTTTCTCTCCGGTCGCACTGGCTCCGATGGCGCGAGGCGGGAAGGCACGTCCACAGCGCGCCTGCAAGTCCGCAAGGCCCTCGTTCGTCCCCTCCGCCTCCACGACGACTGTGCCGTACCACGCCGGGTCGATCAGCCACGAACCGCCTGCATTCGGGCCGGGGGGAGCAGACGACGGCACAGCGATTCGTATGAGCTTGCCCGGCGCAGCGTGAGCAATGGTGAACGATGACCGGTGCACCCAGCGCACGACCGGGTGCAAGTCACTGCGAACACGGACATCAGTACCCCTCTTGGTTCCAAGCCAGAAGGCACTCCACTCACGTCTCGGTCTTCGCCCTATCCTGAAGCAACTGCAAGTTCGCCGCAATCTCATCTCCCCACGGCGAGATATCGATATGGCAGATTGGGTTTCCGCTGCCTGTCGTGCGGATCACGCGGTGGAAGTAGGACGGCGGGAACGCCAGCGTCGGCAGATAGTGCGGCAGGTCACCGATGCGTGACCACGTGTAGTCCAAGTCCTGCGGGGAAGCATAACATAGTCAGTGAACTTGTCCCTTCAGAGCAGTCTTGCAAGACTTGAAGCCGGAAGAAAGATATACGTCTCCATCCATTCCAACGCTAGCCGCGTTCGGCTCCGTGCGCAGAACCAGAACCCACAGAGGTATATAAGCACCAATAAAAGCACTCACAATCAAATACGCCCCATCCCACACCATCCGCCCGACATTACCCTCATCACCCACAGCAACATCCCACACCACGTCTCCCGGCCTCAACAAATGCTGCACGCCCGCCCTCTTCAGCTCATTCTCGCACGCGACCACACTCGTGTCCGAGAGCCAGTTTCCCTCCGGTGACGGCACAAACACCTGCAACAACGGAGCGCGTCGCAGCCGGAAGAGCGGCGATCGGAAGCCGTGCGGGCTCTGACCCGACACATGCCGTGAATGCTGTCCGGGAATGTGCGACCAAGACGACGAGGGCGATGCAGCGCGGCTCGACGTGCGCGACACCCCGCGCTGGAGCGACGTTACGCTCCCATACCTGCTGAACATGCCCCCCGTCCTCCCTTCGGACGAGCCAGCGTTGGGACTTCTATCGGCCATCCCCACAACGGGCGCAAACTTGGCTTCTGTCTCTGCTTGAGCGCGTAGGCGCAGCACGACTCGCGAGTATGCTCGGCAGGCATGCGACAGCTCGCGCATGAGCTGTTTCTGCGCAGGGTCCTCCTGCGTCTGCGGCGACTGCAGGTACTTCATTGCGAGATGCGAATACTGGTACACAGGCATCGAGACGCTCCGCATATACTGATGCAGATCCTGCAAGATCATACGATTAGCCCATCCCGCCGTTCGTTCGCACTCGCCACTCACCTGCAAAGTCAGCACCAACGGCTCCTCGCCCTCCCTCGGCCTGCTCCTCTTCCTCCCTCTCACGCTATCCCTCTCCCGGCCCTTCTCATCCAACACAGATACCCACATCGGATTCCACCTCGTATACCCCACAATCCCCCAAAACCTCTCCAACACCTCCTCCGTCAAATCTCTTCGCAACTCGACACCATTCCTCACTTGCTTGCTCACCCTGCTCAGCAGACACCACTCCGCATAGCTCAGGTGCACGAGCAGTGCACCGAGCAGCGGCGCGTTCAAGAGGTGCGCGACAAGCGGGTAGGGTGGTCCCGGCTTCGGCGGGACGGGCGTCACCGGTTCTTCAACGGCCTCCTCAGCATCAAACGGCAGAGGAATCGCACCCGGAGGCGGCTTCCCACGCTTCGCACCTCGCCTCGTCGAACGCGCCCGCGCATACTCCTCCGCCGGACTCAAAGGCTGCCGAGCCACACGCTCCCCATACTTTCTCCTCATCATGTCCTCCTCCTCTCGCACGCCCTTCTCCACCTCCTCCTTATTCACCTCCAGCCACTCCTCCTCCTGCTCACCCACCGGCACCCTCTCCTTCCTCAACTTCATCCTCGCTTGCCTACCCTCCCCGCCCCCATCCGCATTCACACCAGCATTAAACCCAACCGTGCCCACCGTAGCAACAGCGACGATGCCCTCCCCAGACACCACACCCTCCTCTCCCTCTCCCTCTCCTTCCCCCTCCGCCTTCTCCGTCAACCTCTCAATCTGCCTCTCCGTCGATGGCTTGATCCCAAACAACCCCGCAAGGCCCGCGGCAAAACTACGATGCCTCCCATGTCCACTGCCCCTGTCCCTGTCCCGATCGACCGAGTGCGAGCGGCAATAAAGCGAACTGAGGATCCCAAGCCCGTGCCCACGCTCGCTCGACGACTCAGCCTTCTCCTTCGACCGTCCGCGGAACTTGCTCAGCTTGTTGCGTGCTCCACTACGCCCGGCCTCACGACCGCGCTGCTCGTACTCGTCAAACTCCGTCGTGTCAAGCGTACCCGGCGCCGGGAGAGACTGCGCGCGTGTCGACCCAGGCTTGCTCTTTGGACCATCTTCGCGCCCACGCGATCCTGCTTCTGCGTCTGCATCGTGCGTGTACTGCGACGAGTATCCGTACGTCTGCGCGTATCCGTGCCCATCCAGCGACTGCGAATACTGGCTATACGTACCCTCGTCGGCCATGACGCGCTCCGCGCTCCGCACCCCATCGTCCTCCGCAGATGCCGCCATAGCCGCAAATATCAACGGACGACCCTTCACGAGCGGGGCACCGACGTGCTGCACCGAGTTCGGATGCGCAGTCTCTTCTGCTGGAGTGGTGGCAGCCATGGCTGCGAAAATCCGCGGACGGCCCTTCACCGGGTGCTCTTGTGGGTATCCTGAGGTATCATACGCGTCCCACAGTTCCTGCCGAGCATTCTGCTCAAACCACTTATGCCTCGGACTCCTGTGCACAGGCTGTTCCTCCATCTGCCTCACATCCCGCTCCGCAGTCGACGGCTTGGCATCCGAGTGCGTCCTCACCCTCTCCACCTGAGGCATGCCAGGAGACCTAACGTCCGAATGCGTCCTCACCCTCTCGGCCCCGGGCACGCCGGGTGCTCTGCCGTCCGAGCGCGTCCGCGGTCTTTTGTCCTCTCTTCGAACCTCCATACCAGCCCATGCGGACTCGGATTGCGCCTTTGGTACCGCAAAGGGAAATTGCGCGTCTGCTGCGGTCCTTGCTGGCTCAGAGCGCGTCCTGGGCACCGCGAACTTTGGGATCGACTCTGGCTTGGGTGGAGGAGGAGGCGGACGTTCCTCCTCCTCCTGCTTCTCTTGCACCTGCTGCTCACTCACAGAAACCTGCGCGGCCGCCCCAGCCTGAACGTGGCTCTCGCCTGGCAACTTGTCTTGTTCAAGGCTCTGCGTCCGAGAATGAGACATCGTCTGCATGTTCGCTCCCGAGCCTGCCTGGTCAAGACTCTGCGTGCGTGAATGCGCACGCGATGGAACGACGTTCACGCTCGCGCTCGACTGCAGCGAGTGAATCGACGGCGGGGGCTTGCGGTGTACCGGCGAGCGCGGGGAAGCGACCGAGCCTGAGGCGGTGGACGTCGAGCGCGCGACGGGCGGAGATGCTGGTTGCTGCTGGTATATATGTGCGGGTTGTTGGTGGGATATATGCGAAGGCTGCTGTGGATGCGTTTGACCATGTATATGTGAAGGGTTGGACGAGGAGGTAGTCTCCCTAACAGGCAGCGGCGGGAGCGCACGTTCACGCTCGTTATCACGCCCTCGCACGCGCGTCGAGGTGACCCTGGCGTCCTCCTCATGCACGCCCGCAGACGAGCCTGCTCTCGTTGTAGACGCCGTAGCGTACTCCGCAACCGCGCTCTCACCCATAGGCACCCGCGCCGACGCCGCGCGCACGACACCCGCCTTGACCGACACGCGATGCATCGGGTGGAGGGCTCGTCACAGATGGAGATGGTTGGGCCCGTGATGACGACGGACTGGTGAGGCGTCGGGACTGGAAGGAGGGAGGGGAAGAGGGCGACGCAGAGTCCGTGGGCGCAGCAGGATTATATCCTGAGTTGGTGGGAGCACGTACTGAGCCAGTGAGAGCCCAATTCCTGAACTTGCACCGGTAATGAGCCAGACTTTTGCAGGCGTGTGCACACAATCGGGGTTGAGGCTTTCGCACAAACACGAGGAATTTATACGAATGCGAGGTACCTCTTTCGCGCGATGCGTCAGCGATGCAGATATGAGCCCTCGGCTCTCTGGGATACAAATTGACTCAGCGCAGGCTGCACGCGACTCATCAGGAAAACTCGAATCCGACTTAGGACACTGTTATCCGCTTGCCGTCACCAAAAAAGGCAGTAAGCTCAAGAAAGCCACAGGACTTTCTTCGTTTGAACTTTTTTCCTGGGTCGGAAGCTTCTTATCGTGCGCTTACTCGCTTGTACAAGCCAATACCAGCGCAAACAAGTCAAATAGGAGGTTCTCGAGCCACAAGTCGATTGGAGTTTTTCTGATGGCCCTTGGGGAAAGCGCCAAGCGACGGCTGAAACACGTCGCACGGCGGCACCTGGAAACGGAGCGGGCGAGTACGAAAGGGCGCAAAATCATATAAATACTCACCTGCATTACCATACTCCGGGCCAGTCTTTCGTGCCCTTACACGATCCACGAAACAGGTCGAAAGTGGCAGCTGGCTACTAAGCACCAGACTCCGCACCATAATTTCCTAAACAGCAAGTATGCGGGCAAACGATTGATCGATTGATAAGTTCCAGCGACACCCTGGCTTCGTCTTTAATTCCTGGTAGCGGTGCAGGATCAATGGAGTCCAAAATTCCGCATATTGGGCGCTACGCCACAACATCCTGCGCGGATCGGACGCAATCGCTATTCCCGTGTTCCGGGTACTTTGACCCAAACTACATGGATCCCAGCGGACAGATTCCCGTGAGCAATGGCGCTCGACGAACGATGCATTCTACATGCTAGCTCTCCTGATCTACAGCTCAGCTTCTGATATCGATATGTAGTAACAAATACTCATAACAACACGGTATTCAGGTCTAGTAATAAACGAACAAACACCAAGAAAGCAAAATCTTACAGCACGTTGCAACAATAAATATCAGCATTGCATGGCATGGCTCGCACTGGCCCAGGAGCGGTCAGCGGTCAAAGCAGTCGCTCTTTGTCTCGTACAGTCCGGATCCAAATCTCCCCTGGCCGGCTGGATTAAACCCAGGTATCAACAGATGTCGATCTAAATGAAGGTTCACGACGTACCTCTTCTCCCGCAAAATTCGGAAAACATTTTTGCTGCTCTTCTCCTCCTTTTCTTTCTCTCCAGTCGCACTCGCTCCGACAGCGCGAGGCGGAAAAGCACGTCCACAGCGCGCCTGCAAGTCCGCAAGGCCCTCATTCGTCCCCTCCGCCTCAACCACGACTGTGCCATACCACGCCGGGTCGATGAGCCACGTACCGCCTGCATTCGGGCCGCGGGGAGCAGACGACGGCATGGCGATTCGTATCAACTTGCCCGGCGCAGACGGAGCAATGGTGAACGACGATCGGTGCACCCAGCGCACCACCGTGTGCAAGTTACCCTGCGGCCTATGAAACGAACGTCAATACCCCTTTTGATCCCAAGCCAGAAGCCACGCCACTCACGTCTCGGTCTTCGCCCTATCCTGAAGCAGCTGCAAGTTCGCCGCAATCTCATCTCCCCACGGCGAGATATC